AATAATCCAGGCATTCCACGGACCACCACCACGAGACCACCACCACGAGACCACCACCACAAGACCACCACCACGAGACCACCACCACAAGACCACCACCACGAGACCACCACCACAAGACCACCAACGACACCACCACGACCACCAACACAACCACCCGCACGGACCCCCGCCACGGACCACCACCACGGACCAACCACCACGGACCACCACCACGGGACCACCACCACGGGACCACCACCACGGGACCACCACCACGAGACAACCACCACAGGACCACCACCACGGAACCACCACCACGAGACCACCACCGCGGACCACCGCCACGGACCACCGCCACCCGGCCACCACCATGGGACCACCACCACGGGACCACCACGACGGCCACCAGGGACCACCACCACCACCACCACGGACACCGCCACCACCACGACAAACCACCACTACCAAAGGAGCACCACCACCACGGGACCACCACCACGCTGTGGGACCACCACGACGAACACCACGGGACCACGGACCACCACCACGGGACCACCACCACGGGCATTCGGGAAAACCCCCCAAAACCCCAGCCTTTCAGCCCCAACCCCTCAGCACCCCAAAACCACCCACCCCCCACCACACCCGACAGAACCCAAACCATTACAGCAAAAGCAAAAAACAAAACCCCCCCAAAACACGACAAAACTCCGGACACAAACCCTATACATTTCTATTAAACCCCAAAACCCTACACCGTAAAGCGTAAAACCCTGAACCCGGGGCATCCCGAAAATTCCCGGAATTTAAATTCCTAGGATTTTTCGAGAGCTGTTGCTGATATGTGATCGTGAGGCCGAACCCCCTTGAACAGCTGGCGGGCGGCGACCGTCATCGGAACTACCCTGGACCAAGAGATTTCCTTGAAGATTTCCTTGAAGGTGAAGGGGCACCCACGTCATCACTGTTGCGCTGGAACCTTAAATCCAACCCGGCAAGCCCAAACCTCAATCCGGACAATTCCTAAAATTCCGGGAATTTTCAGCTCCGGGTGATTCCCAAAATTCCCAGGATTTTTAAACAAAAAGTGTTAAAATTCCCGGAATTTTCAGGATCCCCCTGCAAGGCCCTCACAAGCAGCCAAATGGACCGGAAGAGGAGGCGGGGCATCCGACGGGGCGGCCGCAGAGCGAAAATAGGGGTCGAGCCCGTAGCCTTTTATGGGGATATATATATATATATATATCATCGATAGAATCGACGGGTCCCCTCTAATTTTTATTATCTAGAATCATGAGATATTCATCTTATATCACCTCCAAATTCTAAAACTATAGAAAAATGAAGAAAAAATATTAAAATAAAAGAATTAAGATAGACCAAATCTTAATTCTAAGAAATATCTTTTCTAAAGACCCTTGAAAAATAAATACAAAATAATATCCAAAGCCTCCAAACAAACCAAACATGACTAAAAAGAAGATGATCATTCCATACATTTAGAAACCCAGAATTATTCATGAAAAATCCGACATCATTCAAATTTCAACCCAAATCCAAATTTTCCAGAAATTTTAGCTCCTGCTCATAAGACAATTGATTTCACAAGATTTCTTCTAGAATAGATTTTTCGAAAAGAATCGAAAATGCATTTTTTCAAACGATCTATTTTCCTCCTCATCATGTAGAAAACGAATGAAAGACAAATTTTAAAGGGAGAGATAGAACTAAAAATTGAAATTTTCTCAAGAAGAAAGTCAAATCTGATAACCAGATTGTATACAAAACAATACAATACAATACGATACCAATGCTCTTTTGAGATGAAAAGCCATTAGTAGCGACCTTGAGGTCATGGAGCACGGCTGCGCAGCCTGCCCCATCTTGTTGTAGCTTGGTGATCGGAGGTTCGTTTGTGCCTGCACCACTTTTTGCCTGCTCACCAACGTGAGTCTGAAAAGACGTGCTCAACTTTGCGCACAAAGCATTTGCTCCCGCGAGTGGTCTTGAAGCTAGTAGCAGAAGACTTGTATTTCGCGAAGCCGCGTACGTTCTGGAACGATTCAAGTGTTGGTTTCCTTGGCTGTGGATGCTGGTCTTCTTAGCCGTAATCCCCCAATACAACTGTTGAAAGCCATCCTTACTTCTGATGGTCCGGGCATCCAACTTGGTAGAAGTGACTGCCGGCCTGCAGTGTGACGGATCTGCGAAGAAATTCGGACTCCAGGAATGCTGCGTGGCCAGGCCACTCCTGGGTTCAATCTTGCTCTCCTACAATAACATGCACCTGCTCTCTGAAACTAAGACTCTCAAACTAACAGAAAGCATCTTGATGTGCTTGGACACTGTCTCGGGTATCACGACCACGAATGCGAGCATCTTCTTGCCAGCCCTGGCCCGCTCCAAACTTTCTTGGCAAAACGCAGCAGTTCGCCAGATGATGTCCTCGTCAAAGGGAGGATTCACTTCCACGATTCCCTCCTGTACATCGGCCTCGAAGAAGGATCCACGAGATCCAAACAAACCATCCACATCACCGAAGGCACTGTGGTAGCAATCCCTTCCAGCCAGTGTGTTGAGTGGTGACGCGAATGCTTCAATGATGGGCTCTGACGCCCACTCTTGCAAGATGCCGAAGACCGAGTTCGGGAGCGCTCCCTGATTGCCACCTCCTTTGTCATGAACTTGAAGAATACGATATCTTGCCAGAACCAAGAACGCAGCCTCACATTCTCCAAGCGGCCGTGCGTTTTATGACTTACGCTGTGCCGTTCCGAGCCCAACGACAAAATCGAGAACATTTAGCAACATTCGCGATACCAACATCCATACAAGGCTCCAAATGAAATTGGGCTCCTGAGCCTGTGTGCAAGTCGCGGAGCTTCGAAAAGTATCGTGGCAGAACCTGCACTGTTCGCTTCCCGCAAGTCAGCTTCACCGCGTCGCCTTGCGGAGACAGACGTGGTAGGGGGGGTTAGGGGGCGCTAGGGGAGGTCAGGGGCGGTTAGGAGGGGGGGGTTGGGGGGGGGAGGTTACAGGAGTTTAGGGTCGCTGCTACTCCAACTTCATGGGTCTTAGCCAAGGCACTATTCTCGTCCACTTGCACGCGTGTGCTTTCCTCCGGCAGAATCTCGGAAGACAGGATGACTGCCAGCTTGCGGACTCGTGCTTTGGCCTCCTTGCAAGCTGGTGCCTATGCTTCGACCAAACAAGCTACCTGCTTCTTCTTTACTGGAGTATTGATATACTATTGATGGTCTTCTGCTTCAGGCTGTCACAGCTAAGATGCCTTCTTGTTGACGCCTGCGTTCACGAGCTTCTGCAGAAGCTGGTCGTCCCCACGCTTGATTGCTTCTTGTGATGGCTCTCCCAAAGGCAACAAAGGGTGGAACAAACGCGCCCAGAGCCTTGGCTGGCAGCAAGACCCAACGCATTTCTCGCTGCGAAGCGCTGGAGACTATGCAATGTCGGGACGGCCAAACGTAAGGTGGAACGTCTCAAAAAAGCGTTACTGCGCTCAAAAAAAGCCACCAAGCCTCTAAATGCCTCTTGCGTTTCTGCTCATTGCGGCTGGAGTCTGCACCGCCCAAGCTGGGTGAGATGTGCAGCTCGTAGCCAGCTACCAGTTCGTCCATGACATTCCAGCGGCCCAACTCAAGCCCGATCCTCAGATGAAAGAGAAACATCGTCATTGGTCTCATGGATTCATAGTGGAGTCTGGCAATACTTGTGCAAAAGAAAACGCTTTGGCGAATCATCTCGAAGATCCAATGCTGCAGCTGATTCTTGGAAACGTTTCCACGATGCCCTGTACTCTTGGATTTCTTCGCAACTCGCACACGCTTCTTCGATGGACCGTCCTGGGAAGGCGTCGGTAGAGGCCTCTTAGCGAATCGGGATTTCAACTGCGACCAGTTTTGGCTGATCATGGGAACTGATGGTCAACCACCAACCATGATGTAGCTCATGCTGCGCTCTGCACGAAGCATGTGCTTCTTGTCTTGAGTTGTCATGCTGACATGCAAGGCCAACAAGGATAGTGGCTTTGGCAATGTTCAGGGAAAGGCTGGAGGGGGTCTATCTGCGAAGCTCTGCACACTGTCCACATCGGTCCACCCTGTGGCTTGCAACAACCTACAATGTGCCAAAGCTTGGCTTGTGTATGCTGAGATATTTGCAAAAGTATTGATGCCTACTTTGAATGTTATGTTGCAGTAGAATGCTGCTTGCAGCCAGACATCACGGACACGATCAAGGACTGATATGTGCGCCCATGGGCAGAACCCTCTGACGGTAACCTTCATTACATGGAAATGATTTATACCCTGCTTGCATATTGATGTGGTCCGAACTACAAATGCGTGAGCCTGGGTAACCATGGTTCTTTACGGTCATCGGTCTTCATCGGTCTCATTGTGGTGCGCTTTGTGGATTCTGCGATTGAACTTGTTTGCACATGTCTACATCTTCTGAAAGCCAATGGGAGCCGCTACGCAACCGCGTACGTCGCTTAACAATCTAGACCCCTGGAGACAGACATGCCAATCCAGCTTTCAATAACACAGCTGGAAATTGCTACATCCTGACCCGAAATCAGGCCGTTGGGACGGGAACGAGGAAACTTTCTTTGCCTTCCCCATAATCTACTCGGTGTGGAGACTGAACCCTGCCGTGGCACTAAGAAGCATCTTTTCCATAATTTGCGCTGATTGGGGCCAAGGTACTTGGCAACCAATGCTGGCGGATAGACGAGTGGAAAACTGGTGGTTAACATGCAGTGAGAACCCGATTGCGCGAGAGCGGTCTTTGCAACTCTCAGATCACTTCGGCAGGGGATGACTGCTCTGAACATGGTTGATGGTATTGCTGCATTTAAAGGGGCTGCGATCCCCCAACAAGAACAGGGCCACTCAGCAAAGGGCACGAAACCTGCGATCCCACCTGGCGTCTTCCGGATGGATGCATGACATGTGCTAACCAGCTAGCTCAACAGGGCAGGCAGCACGCAAGGCGGAGCTGTTCCAGAAAGACGAAGGTCAGGGTGCAATACCTTCTCATTCGAACGTAGTGCATAGATGCCTGCTACAAATTTAACAGCATGGCATGGGACTCATGAATCCCGGTGGCACGGTCCAAAGCGCACGTAGTTTGCTGCGGCTCCTTTGTAAAGGCCAAGCCTTGGATAGAAAGACAGACGAGGGCTCCTCAGTGCCTTCATGAAGGTATGCAAATGTGTGCAAGTTCACAATAAGGAAGTCAAAGGGGGTAGGAACCCAAACGACGCGAGGCAACATGTCAGAAGGATATACAATTCCTGCATGCCAGAGAGGTGGCGTCATGGGGGCATTTTGGAAGGGGCGCTTTGATCAAGACTTTTGGGCCCCTGCTCTGCGCGCATGTGCCGAACAAAGTACTTGTCGAGTGCTTTCGCAAAAGATGACCTGAGCCTCTGTACACACATGCCGAGGCGGTACCGCGACATTTACTTGTCTGGTACGTACTGATCGGCCCGCTGGAAGCCATTCTTCAGCATCGACTGAACCATTGCTTCGACCTGCTCCTGAGCAGACTTGAACTTTGCTCCAAGGAGTCTCTCTGCTGGCGAGACGTCATACAGAACAGGCAATGGCGGTGCAGGGCCCATCACGGTTGGACCGAGTTCGGATGACAACTCCTCGGGCACATTGGCTTTCAAGTCTTCCGGTAAAGCCTCGCGAACGTACTCAGCCACCTCCCTGAAATGAGGGCACCCCCCAATCAAAAGAATCCGCTGTCCACCATACTCACCTCGGACTGCCTCAATGTGGGCTCGGGAAACGTCGCGAACATCCACGACAGTCTTGCAAGCATTCTCGATCACTTTGAGGCTGCCGTCCATGTAGCCAACTAGGCTACTCGCCGACGTGTTCATGTGTGGCTGCCCGGGCAGCATGGGACCCCAAATAAGAGTTGGTATCAGAACTGTAAGCTGAAACGGGCAGCCAGGCTCTTTGCTCATGTCCCAAGCCAGCTGCTCGGCCAACAGCTTCGACAAACAGTACCAGTTCTCCTTCTCCCGCAGCACATCCGCTGGAGAGAAATCCTCCGCTGTGTAGACGTGATCGGCTGGCAGACTTCCATAATTTGTGTACACGCTCGCTGTTGAAGAGGTAAGAGCGACTTTCTTCACACCTAGTCTGTGACAAGAGTTCAATACGTTGCGCGTCCCCTCCACTGCTGGTCTGACAAGCTTCTCTTCAGAACCCCCTTTGAAATAAAATGGGGAGGCGGTGTGCAGCACGTGGCTGCAGCCCCGAATGGCGTCATCAAACGCTCCTGGGGTCAGCAGATCTACTCCATCCACGATCGTCAGCCGCTCAGCGCCTGGTAAGCTCTTGAGGTATGATGCCTTCTCGGCGCTCCGAGTGGTTGTCCTTACGGTGAAGCCCTCCTCCAGCAGCAGTTTCACGCACCAAGACCCCAGAAAACCCGACCCTCCAGTAACGCACCAAGGAGCACCAGATGTGGACATGGCGTGACGCGTGACAGTCGACAGCCGGTTAAGGGACAGTTTCATCGTTTTGAGCACATGGCAAAGCTGCAGTCCACACTCTTCCTCCAAAGGTTCAGGGCGGGTGACCGTCACGACTCGTGGTGGATACGTGTCAAGTAAGCTGCCGACACCCCTTCTGCCTGCAGCATCTGCTTGAAGCAGTCCATCGGTCCAGAATACAGAACCCCACTACCACACTCTCTGTGTGGTTGGTTCATGAGCCTGTCACAGCATAGACAGGCCTAGTCTGAGAGCAACAATTGCTGCCAGCAGAAGCATCGACTTCCCGCCACTTGCCTGACCGCTACAATGTCAAAGGGCTGCATCGCAAAAGTGACAGCGACGCCAGACCTTGCCACCAGAACATGTCCAAAGAGCACTCCTTTGTTGTATTACATCGTTCGTCAACATTGTCATGGACACATGCATAACCCATAAAGGCCGGATGAAACTCTTGTCCGAGCTCTCCCTCGGCCACGAGAAACTCTTCTTGACAGATTGCGCTGGCTGAAGCAGCTCAATGATGGCTCGGAAGGTCGTGTTCGTCTTAGCTTGCTACCTAGGACTTAGGCTACTTGAACTGTTTGCCGACATTCTCTCCGGATTTTGTCGCCTTTGCTGCCACATGCTACACGTCTTCCCTGAATGCGCTCGATGGTCATCTGCGTTACTGGGCGCGTGGCAGGAGGCTAGCAACGAAGTGAGTGGCAACTCCTTCCTGAACCTTGCGTGGGCAAGCTCACCGGGCAAAAGCCTGAAGCTGCACGCCCATGCAATGCTGCAAGCAGCAAACCCGTCTCGATCCGTCACGCACCTTCACCCATCGCAGAATGAAGTCCTTGCTGATGTCGTATGTAGACAGCTGCACCTGCCAATCTCACACAAACATCAGAGGACTTGATTCCTCAGACACCATCAAGTACATATGAGTCATGGGCGCGCTCTTTGTGAAAGAGTGTTAGGAACAGTTGGAACACCATATTGCAGTAGCTGTGAGACAAACTCGCACTCGGCACCGATGTGGCAGCAGCAACTCTTGGCCTGAAAAACGGATGAGAAATCAGAGGATCTGTGAAATTCTGAGAAGACATTCTTTGCACAAAGACTTCAGAGGTGACTTCGCCGGACCTGAACCCTTAGGTCGGCACACAAAGGCCGAGAGGCCGCGGTAGTAGCCGCGAAAGCCCTGAGGAGCCGTTGTATACAAGCTCTAACACAGCAAACAACAAAATCCTGTGCCTGAGCCTGCCCAATCTCCGAGAAGGCTTGCCTGGAGTTCAATATGATCTATATCGCATGTCTACGAATCTACTCCATGGCAAAATACGGAAGAAACGGCTGGGTGTCGCTCCTGAGAGACTTGTGGGTGTGCTGATGAAGCACGTCTTCACTTCCAGCCGCTTGAAACCGCGACTTGAGGAGGAAGAAAGGGTTGGAGACCACAGCTGCGAGCGAGCCTGAGGCTGCTCCCAAAAGCATGGACGAGAGGCTGTCTGTCGCGGAAGCCCCGGGCTTCACCCCAAGGAGCTGCTTCAAAGAGCCGTAGGCACCGAAGCGGCAGCCCACGTTGCTGAACTGCAAGAGGTACGCCGCCCCCAGGCCACGCTGAAGCCCCCGGATTCCTTCCTTCCGCGCAATGCGCAGCAGCGCTTGGCCGATGCCCGTGTATGCCCGGTCAGGGCCTCGAGCAAGTTCGCCTTGCAGTTGCAACCGGGTTTTGACCACGTCGATGGGATTTGTCAAGGTGATGGCGCCGCACGCCGCGAGGCCAGCCAGAACGAACTCAGCACCCTGGGGGCGACTTTGACCAGCCATGACTGGCTGCTAGAGTCTGCTAGAGTGTCGACATCTGTGGCTGGCTGGTTTCTGTCCCTTCCGTGACGTGTATTCCTGAGGCTTCCAATTTGCTGTGTTGGGAGTGTGCTTCACACATGAGCCTGTTGAAGCTCGTTCGTCAGCATGCGTCCAGAGCTTCGATTGCCACACTAAGTTTGGGAAGGTCTGCAAAAGCTTATTTGAGGTAGAATGGCTTGGCCATGTCAGACATGCGATAAACAAGAGCAGTTTATCAGATCTTTCCGGTCCCGCAGTACAATCAGCTGTCTTTTTTGTCGATGAGGCTGGCGTGAAACATCTTGTCTACAGCTCCTGCGCTTCCTCACGTTGCTTGTGTGGCCTTTCAGGCACTTGCTGCGTTGATGCTTGACAGTGGTGCTCTGTGCCAATCTGCTGGACCGCCTTTCCAGGTCGCTGCCAGGCGGCTGGGCAAGTGCCTCCGGCATCGTTTGACGACATGGGATGCTACCAAGAATGTTCTTTCGCGACGGTGGAGATGCTTGTCGGTCCCGGTCTCTTCCCTGCATCACCATCGGCACGCCTCTGTGAGTCCGCGTCCTCGCAAAACGAACTTGCTGAGCGCAGTTCGACAGCCTCAGCTGCGGATCTTGATCTATTCGAAAGCTGCGCTGTGGGACATGAGGGAGGTGCCGAGCAGGCGCCGTACCTGACGGCATGGGAAGTCTCATGCAGTGGGGGCCTGATATGGCCTGATTGTACTGAAACTCGCTGCATGGTCTAAGATGTCTAAGGGCCTCCATCTCCATGGCTTTTCGAGTGCCCAAGCGAAGTGGTTTGCATGAAACCACGTCTACCACCTGGCCAATACTGAAGCTCACATCACATCGCGGTACCATCTGGGAGATCTCGTCCCTTGTTTAGGCCGGGGACAGCATAGCCATGCTCTGGCCACGTGTGGACCTCAATGCACAACTGGGGCAATGACTCGTGTGTGATGTTGACACCAGCTGCAGGCAACAGAGCTGCAGACAACATGAAGAGACATGTTAAAAAACCGGTAAATGCAGAGGGCACCCTTTGTGCTCAAGCACAAACGGAACCCTTCGAGAGACAGTGGCAGCGCAGCAGGTGCTCTTATGGTGCTCTGCAGAGGCCCCCGGCAGAGAGGTGGGACTCCGACACCAGCAGCAAGGCAGTCAAGCCCTGTCGGAAGCTGTGCCGACTGCTCTCACTGCTTGCGATACCATGTTTTCACGTAAAAGCCTGTGGCTGGAACTTGTGCTCGAGATGCCCTAGCTCGGTTAGGTCACCCAGGGAAGCCTGAGGTCACGCTTTTGAACAGTGTTTCCATGTGTGTCTATGGGTGCTTGCCCGAGGTGGGCACCAGGGTCCTCAGGAGTTTGCCTGAGCTCTGGCTGCTTGAACTTCTGTGCTTGGTGACCCCTTTCCGAATGCCTGATGAATTGTCATTCAGCAAGCCAGCCGAGCACCCGGAGGCCTGGCACGCTGCTTAGAGTGTCATGTGCCAAGCATGAGATGAATGGTTAACCGGCCAGAAATGCCTCGATCATGAGCGTGTGAACCAGATGAGTAGATGCAGCTGCCTCATAGAGAGTAATAGACAGGTAGCTTAAGGTTTGGGCCAAGTGTCTGGAACTACACTGCAGTGTGTCGGCCTCCAGCACTTCCGGTACTGCAGGAGGGAAAGCATCAAATCTACCTTCCACCACAAGTTCCAGCACTGCAAGTGGAGACCCGGGAGGACCCAGGCAATGCTTCAATCTGAGGGTGCGGCTCTGCATCTCTGCAGGGAGCACAAACAGCGAGCCGTGCATGCCCCTCAGGTGGAGTACTGCGTGGCATGTGCATGTGCCGCGGTCTTCAGTAGGTCCACTAGATCCGCTAGGGCCAGGGCGGATGATAGTAGGCGGTTGCATTGCCTGATGAGTCGGCAAAGCCTGGCTTGGCAACCGGTTTGGTGCTATGGTGCTATGTGGTGTATGCACTGTATATATGCTTGCGTCGGGGTACTTGTCCAGCACGCGGAAAGCCAAACGTCGTAAGTGTCCGGCCCTGCCAATGTTTCCAGGACGCCTCCTGACATGTTGCGGTCCGGTCGAGTAGCATAAGATCCATCGAAACTGACACGGGCGCTCCTGCACCGGGTTTGTGCTTGCATCCGCACTGCTGAGCAGCAGCAGCTGCGGCAAACCTTGTAGACATGAAGCATGCGAGCTTCGGCACCAACGGCAGCTCTAAGACTGAGGTGCAAACGGAAGTACAGACCATCAAACTCGTCGCCTTGTACCTGTCTGACCGCAAGCATTTGCAAGCAAGTAGGCACTCCAAATGATCATTCCCGACTCTTTTTCTGGGAGTAGCCTTGTTTGCAGGCAATCTAAGGTTCCGTCCGTGGGATGCGGACTGGAACTGCTCATTGCCATGGGCCACCTGTACACGTTACCGCCAACATTATTCATGTGAGCCCCTATACCCGTACCCCTGAACCACAACCTCTTGCACAGCTTATGTGAAAACTGTTGGCCCTGAACCCTACTCTGGGCCAGGGTTTGGGAGGGGACCGTTGTGTATCAGACACCCCCCCCCCAAAAAAAAACAAAACAAAACAAAAAGAAAGAAAAGGTGCCATGATGTTGAGAACTGAAAGCGCCGCCGTACACTGAGCCCCCAAAGCCCTCAGGGCATCCGCGTTCTTGCGAAGACGTGGCGATGCGTGGACAGCCTCGGAGGTTGCAACGTGTAGACTGTTATTGTTGCAGATGCCGAGAGCTTTGCTATGATGTCGGTGGCTAATCTTCATGACTACTTTTCAGCACACGCCGCAAAACCTATCCAGCCAATGGAGCTTGATTGTTTGCCTCGCTCAGTGCACGAATCCCCTTGCAGCATGATTGTGTCGTTTTCCACATGGGGAGTTCGCAGCAGGCAGTCCGGTGTGTCACTCTCTACGCTGTCCCTGGACTGCGGTCCTTCTCATTTTTTGTTTTTTTCGCAGAAGTCGGCGTCCCCAGCCGGGCGGCTGCTTGCATTGCACCAAGTGGCGTTCATCCATTGGACTTCTTTCCTTCTTTCGTTCTTTCCTTCTTGCCTTCCTTCCTTCCTTTCTTCCTTCCTTCCTCCTGCACGCATTCGGAGGCGTGCGGGTGATCCCTTGGACTCTCGTTCAGTCTCTTTATTCTTCTTTTTCTGCTTCTTCATTTCTTCATGCTTTCTCTTCTTCTGCACTCCTTTGTCTTCGGAAGAGGGCGGCTGCAATGGCCAGCAGGGAGGGTTCGTGTGCAGTCCGGAGGCTTGCCATCACCGTGTTGGCGAGGACTGGGTTGAGTCTAAGGTTCACCGCACACTGCCGGGCCCCGTCACTCAGTGGCCCTCTCTCTATACTTCTGAGCTCGTTCTCCGTCTCCCTCTTTTCTTCGTCTCCCTCTTTTCTTTTCTTTTTTGGGGCATGGGGCTTTTCTTCTTCTTCATGGGGCTCTCTCTCTCTCTCTCGCTTCTTCTGTTTCTTCTGCTTCTGCCCAGCGAAGAGGCCTCTGCTGGGCCACCCTCTCTCGCTCGCTCGTGCTGTGCAAGATGATCAGGGCTTGGCAAGGCTCCAAACTCTTCTGGCATGCCAGCGCTGCCTGCCTTCAGAAGCACACGGAGGCAAACCGCCGAGGCAGCGTTTGCACAAGTGACCGCGTATGCAGTCAGCAGGCTTTGTTATGGCGTTGTAGCGCTGCCCCAGGCCTCCTGGGTCAGTAGGCCTCCCACGGCCATCTTCGCCTCAACGAAATGCGTGGCACACTCTTTCTAACGGAGGGTGGAAACGTGCCGCGCAAGCTATAACCTTTGAGTCGCTGGCGCTCTTCAAAAACCCCGCAACAGCCCTGTTGAAAAGCGCGCGCTCACGCCGCTTCGAGCTTTTAGTGCTCTAGGGCAGCCTGCAACTTCGGTAGTTACCCCGTGACCGAAAACATTCAACTGAAGAAAGGAAAGACTCGACGAGCGCTTCTCCCGAACACGAACACGTATCGAGAACATGCCTTTCAGCGACAGTCGAGCATAGTCGAGAACTTGCTTCAACGTGGTCCGGCCACGCCGCTTCGGAGACACAGACACAAACAGCCCATGGAATGATCAGTGGTCCTTCCCCGGGTAGCCCACACATCTTTTGGATGTTGGGCCTTTGGCTCCGATCTCCAGGCATGAGGATGGGGTCGTGACACCTGCCCTCCCTATGCAAAGCACGAACTCCATTCACTTTTGTTCGAAGGTTCTCCTAAGCCTCAGCTGTTGCAGGAGGGTTCGCTCGTGACTAAACGAGGCATCCCTGCAGAACACCACCAGCTTCCTGCTAGTCTCCACCGACTGTTGCTCCTCCAGCGTGCTGCCTAGGCCTAGGCGGATGTTTCAAGGATGCTGCGCTAGCAGCGTATCTGCGTCTTTTTCAGGAGCCCGACCGGGACAGGACATCAGAGAAATGCGCGCTGACCCCGGCGTAATGTTAAAGGAATTGCCCAGCATGTGCTGGCCCGCTGCAGACACAGTGACATGTAGCCGATGCTCACTTCATGTCACGTACGAGAGGAGCACTCAGGTCATCACCAGCAGCTGCCTTGGCCCATGGCTGCAGCATGACCAGACCATCGACATTCGCTTCAACACAGACGAACTTCAAGCTTTCGTGCTTGTCTGGCCTGTAAAATGCTTGTGTCCTGGGCAGTCTGGTTGTTCTTCTGGAAGGCAACCTGCTGGCTCACGCTGCATCAAACTCCACCGTTTGTCTGCCCGTGGCGGCTAAGCAGCTCGGGCGCGTGCCAAGGCTGATCCAACATGTTCACCACTACCAAGTCGAAGCTGCGCTTGTCCTGTGCCAGCCTCAGGGAATTGGCATTGGCCTGTCAGTTACGCTGTGTCGAAACGAGCTGAGGAGCGCAAGAGATCTAAGTTCAAGTCCACACGTACACGTCTTCAATGATGAGCTCGACCCTTACGCACCAAGCGCAGTCCGCCAAAAAACAACTCCTCTGACAACGTCTGACTGCTGCGAAGACATGACAGGCAGACCTGGGGTCGGAAAGGACTTCAGCCCGATGGGGGAAGTACTTCCTGACAACCTCCACTACAATCTCATCCACCTGCCAGCGTTTTTTTGTGCAGATCGTGCAGATCGTTGCTGTCTGTGTGAGACATGATGATGATGACGAACCTCAACCACAACGATTCTTTCCACACTCGGCCAGTGAAGCGCAAGTGCTGCTATTCCACCTGTCCTGCCGGAAGAGCGCGCAGTCTCGCATTGCTTGAATTGCTTGACTAGTGAAGGCATAGATTCTTCATTTCATCTCGGGCCAGCTGCTTGGTCTATTTCTGGGTGCAATGGGTTGCCAATGTTTGCAGTGCAGCGAATGTCCCGCCACCCAGCACAAGAACCTGAGCGACCGGATTTGACATGCAAGATAGAAGGGCTGCAAAGCTACCAGTAGGTGCCGAGCAGATTTTGCACGCTCACCGAGCGCGACCAGAGCTGGGAGCAGCAGGATCTCGTCCTCCGATCTGGGAGGAACAGCAGCAGCTGCAGTGGCGACATGCTTGGGCCCCTGGCTCTTTCCAGGGAGTTGGAGTCGACAAGCAAGTGGCGGTCTTGATAAAGACCTCGCACGGGCGAGCTATCACGGGTTCTCGGCTTTCACCCCGCGAGCTTTCGGATCTTCCAAGTTGACTTCGGCAAATCTCGCGGGCAGACCGGGCCGTGCGGTCGTGGAACAGTTCAGATACAAGTAGTGGTGAAGTCGCTCATCACCATGAGCAGCACCATGCAGCAGAGCGACTTGGACTGTAGCTAGCATGCACATCTGTGGCCCAGGCTCAGGGAACTTCCCTCGGCCACTACTTTCACCTTTTGGCAAGGTGAACAGGCCGAAACTTCGCCACCACCAACGCCGATCATCAAGTTTCAGCAAGTGATGCTTGGCCTTGCTGCCATCGACCCCTTTCGTCCTGAACACGACCTGACATGGTGCTCTTTCCGCTCTGTCGTCTTTGGTCCACAACCACATCTCTCCGCAGCTGTCACTGGCTGCCTGCTCCCTGCCAGACTTGCGGCTTTCGAAGGAAGGCAGTGGAAGTGCAACAGCAGATGGAGCTGGTGGGGACCCCTGATCATTGCCAAATCTCATGATGTCCTGCGTTGCCTGGCAAGAAGAATGCTTACGCACCTTCCCGTCCAAGTCGACTGATAATCCCAGCAAGTGCGACCTTAACAAACAATTGAGTCTGCCATGAGAAGCTGTTTCCAGTGCCGTCGATGTAGTTGCATTCTTGTCCCTTGACTATCCTGAAAGAAAAACCAGCGGTTCAGGGTTCAGGAGGCTTAGGTTTTTCTTCCACTGAATAGACCGCGGGGCGCATGATGTAGACGAATTGGACTTCTGATGATGATCTTGAAAAATCTTGATTCTCAGCCTGGGGCACGTCGGCTGGGACACCCCTGAGGAGGGCCTCGTGCTGCGCTGCTCCACCCTTGGAGAGGCGAATCTGAAGTTCGGGGGCGTGACGTGACGCGGCCTCAACGCTGTGGACAAACTGCGCGAACCCTGGGCCCTTGGCATAGTACTGGCCGGGAATCTGCTGTCTGCAGGGCGAAGTCAGGTTGCTCGCGGCAACATACCCACTTGACAGGCTATTTTCAACCTTGTTCCTCATTGCTCATGACCCATTTCTTTTGATTCCAAAGAGGCCTCTGCCAGAGGTCCCAGTTTACATCGGCTGGATCCAGCTGCTTCATGCCTTGAGACGCATTCACTGAGAGTTGGCACAGGAGCTTCAGGAGTTTCAAATGTGCAACTTTTGAGGCGCAAGCTGCTCAGCACCAGAATATACGGACCCCTGCTTTGGATCGAGCATGATCCAGCACGACACGATGGGCACACTCCAGGTTTCAATGCACGTGCTAGACAAGGCATGGCGGATGCGCAAGTAGTCCGGTATCATGGCGTGCAGTGGAAAGACCTGCCACGCACTTGGACCATGAAGCAGATCTGGATTAGTAGCACCCTCGGCAACAACAATTCGCTGGGTTGACCGCAGAGAACACAGCTGCATGAATGCTGAACAGCGTGCGCATGTCTTCTGGGTTGGCGATCCTGAGAAGCATGGACGCTCGCTGCAGGCCCTTGCTCTGCGTCAACGTTTTGAGACAATGACGTGCCGACATTCTGCACAACAATGCCATCTTCAGCGAGCAAACCTTTACAGTACGCTGCGCTGCTCAACTTGCAGTGCAAGCAAGCCAGCTCTGACTCGGCATCAAAGCTGCCTCTCACCTGTGAGAAGAACTTGTTCGACCATGCCCTGGGCAGCCAGTCAAGGCCACTTGCTGGCTTCATGCGTCAACACAGCCATTATGCAAGGGCACCCCTTGACGGGCTCATCGGTAAAGTCGATCACTACAAGATCAAACGCAGAAGTGCCCTTGCTGTGCTGCTCCTCCACCTGATGTGTGATTGTGCTTTGAGATGCATAGGAGGTGCAAGAATTTTTCCACTTTGGACATGCTGCTGAGACTGCAACCCATGAAAAAGCATCAAGGTGAAGCATCTCGCATCTGCTGTCATTGAGACCCGCTGCCACTTTGGGAAACCACCTCAATGCAATCTAGGCGCTGCCTTTGCTTCTGGCTTGCAATGCTTGCAAATGCTTGGAGGATGTCTTGCAAAGTGATCTTGCGGGTCCGCACCTTGTAGCTGCCTTCGTGACGAAGCTGTCAATGTCAACATTGACGACCTGCGCCGAGGCGTTGCAAGCTCAAGGCTCCTATTGAGCTGCCTGCTCACTTCCAAAGGAAACTTGGAATCCTTGTACAGACGTGTCTGAGTGTGATGCAAGAGGCGTGACTGACACGTTGCCTGCTCCACCGTGTCAAAACGTAGCGCAGTGGTGGCAACGCCGCCGTCCTTCAGAACTGCAAGATAAGCAAAAGCTATAGGATGTTGCCTGGCACGAGAACCTGGCTGTGGCGATCAATGTGAAGAATAGATTTCACATGTCATGTGTGGCTGGCATGCGCTACTGCAACCTTTGAAACACTCCTGCAGCTGTTCAAGCTCTGCTCAAGTCCGCTCAGAAGCCCACGCCGCCACCCAGGATCAAGACCTTCCGCTGCTTGTGCAGACCCAGCCTTGGGACAAGGCTAACTTTGAGTTGCTGAAAGCTGTAAAGCTGTACAGCTGTACAGTATCTCCTTCCACATCCTTCAGTCTAGCTCGCAGTAGCTCGGCATGATGAACTAAGCCTCTGTCAAGCTCATCGCCGGATAGACCAAAGCTTCGTGGTAGTACCGCCTGGATGTACACGTGTTGGACAGATGGCCAGTTCCCCACACAAACAAGCAAGGCAATGGCGGCAAAACTGCAGCAAAACTTAGCCAGCAGGACTCGAAACCGTCACTGAGCTGACGGACGTCGCTTAACCTTTCATGTCCAGACCCACAAGTGGTCCACCTCCCTCAGCCCTAACTCCTAACCCCCACTTCCCCTAGGAACAACTCCTGGCTCTCTAAGGTTGGCACACGAGCTCTCGACAAAGCTTGTCCCCGCACATGTTGAGCCACACCTGGCGAAGCTAAAGAAAATATCAATACTAACCATTGCCTGGTGTGTATAAATATATACATATATATATATATAAATGATTAATACATATGCTACCCCCCAAAAAAAAAACAAAAAAAAAACGTGAGGATGGTGTAGCGGGCAGGGGGCTAGCCCTTTACGCCCAATGTAGGTGCGGATGGGTGGGGGGGGGGGCAAGCTTGATTCATGATTCAATTCAATTCAATGTTTGAGTCAAGCCGGGATCAAGATTCAAGCAGCCCCGCCACAAGCCTTATTCATTTTATTCACTGTCTTCAGGATGCAAATCTTTCTCCAGGCATCTTGAATCTTGAATCTCCAACCCCGGCAGAATCCGCCGCGATGAATTTATTCCATACGGTTTCGCTGAAATCATATTCGCAGTGCTTCCTTTAATCTGGGGGGGGGGGGGTACCATATGCTCGCATGATATGGTGTCTTCGCCACTAAACCCTAAACCCTAAACCCTAAACCCTAAACCCTAAACCCTAAACCCTAAACCCTAAACCCCTAACCCCTAAAGCCTAAAGCCTAAAGCCTAAACAGCTTTCCGGGCTCCTCGGGCCTCACCGACCTGGTACTGGGACTCCCATTTGTCGAGCCTGAGGGATGTGGAAACAACAAAACAACAAGCGAATGGAGAGTTGTAGGCCAGTGCAGAACAGACCCCCTGGCTCTTCGTAGGGAATGAGGGAAAATAGGGCCCTATATATACCATCTGAGGGATTATATAGTACCTCATCCCCTACTCAGAGCCAGCAGAAGAGTTCCAGCATGTCCCGGTGCTAGGCGCCAAGACTGTCTCTGCTTCATGCTCGTGTGAGGTACTGTGATCACCTGGGTTGCTGTGTGACATTGTGAGTTTGCATCCAGTTCCTGACTCAGTATCCTGGCGGGCGTGATGCACTGTGCCCGTGCCAGAGGCTGAAAGACAGCAGATGCGTCATAGTTGCCGTGGGGGTTTTGAAGCCAAGCTGCAACTGAAGAGGTGAGCGCCCGCAGGATTCCCTTGATTGCAGCCTTCAGTCAGTGCTGATGGAGTCTGTGCTGCTTTCGACACATGCATTTTTTTGTGCGATGCCTCAGCAGCAGAGACATAGTCGCCTGATTGCAAGTAAGCTCGGCAAAGTGATTCTGCCTTGGTGGACTAGAGCATGAACAGAGTCACTTCGCATCTTTCTGTATATACATTGGCTACATTGCATTTGCACGGCATCAATTCCTGGCCACATCTGGCTGCGTGTGAGTTCGCGGCAGACAGCCACTCGCTGGATTCTAGCAAATGCTCCTTCCAGGTTGAGCTTCCGAATGTGCTGTAGGAAGGATTAGTGGGTTGACAGCAGCGTCCTCACCGCCGACTGTGTTCGCTTGCAGCAGGGACCCTGCAAGATGTACCGAAGTAGCCTGCTGTGCAGACCCAGTTCAGCGCCACGTCGAAAGGTCAAAGTTTCGGTGTGACCGAAGACTGGGATCTGAGATGCGGGCGCTCAGTACTACCAGCACTCCAGGCTTGGCTCCGCTGAAACCCAACTCCTGCGATGCTGCTGGGGAGTCATAAGGGGACTGCGCAGCAGAGCACTCACGCGCACTCTGCCTCCGCCAATTTGGGGGCAGAGGGATGCATGCCGACCTTAGCAAGGGATAGCAAGGGCACATGCAGGATGATCGCGGCAAATCCCTTTCAGGACATTTTCAGGCTGAGGGCATTGCCGAATCTACGAAGGCAATCCCCGCGTGCACGGCAAACTGCGAACGCTGGACACTTGTTGAATTAGCGTCTCCAGTACGTGTATGGCCCGCACAGCACACCTCTACAATCCTCCATACTGGCCTCGCCCAGATTTCGATCGCTCATCCTCGTTTGGAAGTTCTTCAGCAGAAATGCCAGCGTCTCTGCACCATCCTCCTCGCCATCCTCCACGCAGCTCTACGATACACTAGTGTGCCGCAAAGCCCCAGGCTCCTTGGACCAGGCACTCCGACCCAGCAAGCCATCCGGATCATGAACGACCACGCCTTCCAGGCGCTTCACGTGTCTCGCATGCGACTTCATGCATGCTTCTGCCGTGGTCTGGCAATCTTCGTCCACAAAAGCCATCCGTCGCCACAATTCTGGGGTCGTGGCTGGACTTGTGCTCCTTGCCATCCAGACATCCAAGTGAGATTGCATGATCAACGGCATGGTTGAGCGAACTTGCTCAAGCCGGCTGAGTGCGCTGAGGCTCGGACTCCTGTCTGTTCTTTCAGGGCAAAGGCACCTCCCCGACTCGAAAGTCTCAACTACGAGTTTGTCCCAGAAAGGTTGAGGGCACATCAAATGAACACTGGCGCGCAAAGGTACCTGATAGAAGGTTCGTCAGCAGCAAAGAAGCCTTGGTCAGGGCCCCTCCGCGATTGAACTGCATGCGTGCTTCACATGGAAACACTTGCAAACACAGTTTGTCGCTGCAGTGAACGAGCCCAGATGGCCGTAGCGCGAGCTTATTGCACTGGTCTCGTCTCAGCTACCAACCAGCAAGCAAAGCAGCCCATCATGGAGCCCTTCTTTACGGCCTGACGCTCAAAGTTGCTCTCAATAAGAAGAGGGTTCACTGGTTCACTTGTGAAATCGTGGGCCCAGCTGGGCTAGCCAAGAATCTGGCCGCTGTCTCCCATGGCACCGGGCCGTGAAAGCTGGAATGGCACATGGCATGCAGGAGCTGAGGTGAGGTCCTGCCCAGCGCATGTAAACAATTCGAATGCTGAGTGTGGGGTTTTGGGGACGGACGGATCTTGTGGTCTAGAAGTTAAACAAGATGACGCGAGGCTGCTAAGTGATGCTGCGCGGGTTCATGAGTTCGAGCCGAGGGACTCACCATTGTTCGGCAGCTCGGGCCAGTGTGAGTGGGAGTGTGCAAGACTGAGCTGGCACATGGGCATGGGACGACCAGATTGGTTTTGCCCTCTAGGTTGCACTTCGCGAGCGTGAGCGCGATCGTGAGCGCTGGCGCGGTGAGAGGCGCGGCTTGTCCAGTGCATCAAGCACGAGCTGCAGGTCGGCTGCCTGCCAAAGTATGAGCCACTTTGAACTCATGTCGTCAGGGATGCTTCAAACATTACTAAGCGGTCCCGCATCTGCACACATCTATGTCTTGCTAGATCTATATCTCCTCACCTCCCAGTCTTGTACATCCAGGCTTAGTAGGCTAGACTTACGCCTTGACTGATATCTTGCTCTTGGCCTCGGATATTGGTCTTGGCCTTACATCTACACCGTCAGTCTACACCTTCATAAGCCCATCAAGATATACTTCATTCAACATGTAGTCAAAGTGGCAAATGCAAGATAATTGTGTGCGCATGACCCAATGATGTTGCGCACATATGGGCTGTTCAAATAGATGGTTTAGGACCGCTGCTACCTGGCTTGTCAAATTGCTTTGTCCTTCAGAAATCATGTCTTCTTTCAATGCTTTCTCTACTCCATTAAACTGTACCTGAGTGGCATCTCCTACTGTCCTTTAACGTATTGCATACAGTCACCACTGCAAGAATAGGTGTTCAGGAACTTGTGCGCTTGGCCCGAGTCTGACCTGCTTGCCATTCAGTCCCCCGACCGGCGAATTTCTGAAGTCCTACTGGCATCACAAGGTATGGCTTCACCACCTCTGCATCCGCACATCTTTTCCTGCACCGCTTTCTCTCCTAAGGGGCATGGTCCAAGGCCGGAGGCCTGTAAGGAACCTGCCCGTTCGCATTAGCTGTGAAGCTTTCTTTGGCTTCCGTGTCTCGAAGTCCCTGTCCGGACTAGGAGCTCCCAATCTTGTCATACCAGGTCTGGTGCCTCAACACAAGGGTATCTATCAAGCGTGGCTGTGTGTGTGTGTGTGTTTGGGATTGGTAGGGGAGGGTATGGTCTAGTCTACCAAGTCTACTGCAGCTGCCATACATAGGTCTTGGCATCCAGACCGTTGCATACCGTCGGAACTTGCGCGAGCGAAGGCTCTACAGTATGTACATGGGCTTCGCAAAGCCTTCTGCTCGAGGAACGTGCTGCTGACGCAGTTCAGTAATACTTCGAGGCCTATGCGAGTCACGGAATATCCTTGTGCCTGTGGCCAACGCTGCGTAGACCTTTGCACATTTTGACCGTGCCAAGCCAAAGGTGCACACTTGAGGCCGACTTTAGAGTCAATTCTGAAGTGTGCGAGCTGCGCAACTCAGTTCCCAACGAAGGAGGTATCGCAGCTCTCCGCCAACGTCCGTGGGATGCCAGGACAGCACGGCCCTTGTCAAGCTACTTTAAGCAAAATTCACCAGAACCATACAGAACCGCAGTCAGGATGCTGACATGAGAGCTCGCATGAAGCCGAGGGTCTACCCGGAATGCGCGGTAACTTTGCCGGTGGACGTTGGTGGCGAGCGATTTCGGCGCAATCCCTGGCTGGCTCTTGCCTGCCGCTTGATTGCTGAGAATGGACATCCATGGACTACTACCGCAGGCCTTCGTGGAATGTGCTTGTCCTGCAGCGGCTGCTTAGCCGGTCTTCTTCTTCTTTTTCTTGTCACCATCTTCATCCGATGCGAGGAGCTGGTTCAACGCCTGGCCCCGGCTGATTCGTGCAAGCCAACAAAGCCTGTCACGACCTTCACCTGGCACCTCAAACATGCTGGGGGCCTGTACTTTTTGGGATTGCTGAGTCACGATGTCCCGCAGCTCTTTCATGTCCGCCTAGCACTCAGCGGGGACACTCTCAGCGTCAAAATTTGGGGAAGCATATTAAATTAAGCCATTGAGCTCAGCAATCACACACCTTGCCTTCATCCCCCGTTCAGTCTGCATCATGATCTCAGTGTCCTCTGCCTGAGGCGCGGGTTGCTCGCATCGGGGGCCCCTGTGGTAAGAAGTTGCTTCAGGCAGCTGCCAGTCCATTGATCTTCTCTTTGAACTCATCCAAGTCTTTCACCTGCCAGTGTCACTGATTGGGAGCCCTCGGCCATGAAACCTGAATTCACTTATCTTATCTTCTCACGAAGACATCTTCACCAACACGCGCGCCCGAACTTCCCTTTCAAGATGCTCTTCACCAGCATCGCTCGACCTCGGTCAAGAGTCGCTCGGCGTGGTTAGCAGATACTCTCCTTACTATCCTCTAGCACTGAGCTTGTGGCTCCATTGCGATGCAACGAGCGATTGGGAAGAATCCAGTGTTGTTCTCCTTTATCTGCTGCCTCTACAGAAGCAGCGCGTTCAAGGGGCCAGGGCTCTCAATTCCACTCCATCCTCTGTTCAGGGCCCCGGCTTGACATAGCTCTCTGGGCCATTCAGCTCGGCAGGATCTGTCTCTTCCAGATACAACAGGAAGCGGGCATATGCCCACATGTAGTGATCCTGCAATGTCACATACTGCATCAACAATGTCAAAGTGTGCACAAATCTGCATCAACGCTGTTCTGTCTAACGAGCTGTGCGGAGAAAGCACCATTCGGAGCAGTCCTTCAATATGTGGTTCCTGCCAAACACACAGCCGTGAAACACGTCCAAGTCGCTGTGCAGATGGAGCATGAAGTGCACGGAAGCAAACAGGGTGGCAGGGCTCGAACTTCACCCTTTTGCGCTCCAGCTCAGACCTTCATTGCATCATCTCCATGCCCCATGAATGTTTCTGTTTGCAAGCTGGACTGTTCTGCAGCATCTGATCCCGTGCACCTAGATTGTTGCGCACTGGAACCATGCAACTGATCCGTGACCACCCGTGTCATCCAGGCACATCCCCAGCTTGCCGACCCCTCCCGGTTATGTCACAACCGTGCATAGCCAGGCCAGCGGCTTGCTGAGAGAGCAAATGAAGCAACTGGATTTCATCTTCTCCTGGCAAGCGTAAGCTTTGCATGTGCTACACGAGCAGCTTCTGCCAGCATTGGGGGCGAGAGGGTCCTCGATGCTCTTCTGTTCGTCTTTCAGGTCTGCAAAGGCATCAATGATAATTCCTGCGGTAACAACATCAGAGCAACTCAACTTTGCAGCAGTGGGGGGGTTTGTCTCCAGCCTGAGATGATTGCCGCCATAATGAGAATGATGACCTGCTTATCTGCACTGAGGCTTACGCAGAGCCACTGCGGCAGAAGCAAAGGCCAGAGTCCAAGGACTTGACCAGGTTGTAGACGTAGTCAAACGTGAAGCGGGTGTAGGTGAGCTTTGGACTGCTCCATACCTTCAGACGGTCACAATTAATGTCGCACAGATCCATGTTGAGGTTCCCTTTTTGAAAGCTGGGGCGCTGGAGCACTGCGGAAGCCGTAATCGAAGTGGGCACGGAGGCACTCCATCCTACGAATGGACTGAGTACTTCCTTCCTGTGCAAGAGTAAGTCGGTGTGCTCAGGTCAGCACAGGGTGGAGCAACCAGAGGTATCCTGTGGCCGTGGGACGGAATGGGACAGCTCAATCATCTAGCGCAACATGACCCCAGATATCTGATGAGCAACTGGGTCCTTGTCGGCAAACCCATAGCCCTGACTGAAGAGCAGAAACCCTGCGCCTTTGCTCGAGAACTGCGATCATGGCATGTCATGGCATGAGCTTGAGATCAAAACAGCTCTATGAGCCGAGGCTTCCGCCCACGGCAATGTACTGGATGCAGAAGCCCAGCACCATGGTGCCAGCGACTTGTTCCACACCTTCAGAGTCAGTCTTGAGCCCCCTGTTGGCCTATTGGGCACGGCGTCTTACAAGCTAATACATGTATCAGGGGTCCTAAACCCTAAAGCCTCAACATCCCTCAACCCTAAATCGGGGCCCTGGCTTTGTGTCATGGACTCAATGACCTTCGCCAAGATGGGGATGCGCATGCACAAGTCGATGGTGTTGACGGCGTTGAAGAGGAAGCTGACCTTGCCGCTCGGTTCTTGAATGCTGGTGTTCAACGAAGGGCCACCTGCATAACTTAGGTCGGCCAACACAAAGTCGCATGGACGTGGAAGTGAGAATGGAAGAACGGATCTCATGCTGTGAACGTGAGGCTCCTTGAAGTTCCGTGCATTGCTTCCACGATGTTCTGCATGCCGATCATGGGCATGCCCCCACTCAAAACAAGCAAGGAGAATAGGACAGCACTATACCGAGTAGCTTTAGACAAATCTTTTTGCAAACGTTTCAACACCTTGCCGAAGCCATGGGCTCAAATCTGTGCTTGTGTGCGCAGGTGGTTCTGAAGAAAGAAACAGCGCATGAACTTTGCTTGCGCATTGCAGCGTCCCGTCCACCGTGCTCTCCTGGTTTGTTGCAGCACGGGTGGATATGGCAACGTTATGACTGCAGTGCCACGTTCAGGCCGGACAATCAACATGTCCTCGGTTTCCTTGAGATGATATCCTTTCCGTGCCTTCTCCACTGAGCAATCGGACACCGCAGTCGCAACGCCTATCTTGTGTTTTCCCAAGGTACAAGGCTCACACCGGCCCTTCTGATACCATGTTTCAAGCAAACAAGGCCACTTAACATGTACAAGTAGTGGCATCATGACGGTCATTGAAAGCTTGACAAGTCGACGTTGCTGCTGACTCCCCGTGACTCGGATGTCGTTCAGCTATGTGCCACGCGAAAAGCCCCAAGAAAGAGAATGCCAGCAGGAACAACCTTGGCACACATTGGACACAAGCAAAGCTTCTCGAGCATGCATGCAAAGCTCCAAGGGAGGCTCGTGTAGAGCAGCTGCCCATCGCTGCAGAAGAACTTGGCCTGAGGAGGCATGCTGTGAAACGTCTCATGAACGGAATTCAACCCGGCAGTCCATCCATCACCAATCTGGCACCCTTGTGGTGAGCTCGAAGGAGCTTTTGAGCAAAGTTAAGGGCTTTTCAAAAGGCCAAAAACCTGTCAGTGCCTGCAGGCTGAGCCTGTAGAGTGGATTGTTCCTTGGAGAAACCGATGCGTTGCGACGCTGCAGAACTGACTTGCGTGGCAGAAATGCGAAGTTGCTCAGCATGGGGCAGCTGGCTCTGCAGCTGTGGGTTCTCATCACGCCACTTGTCCACCTGCAGCCAAATTCGCAAGCAATATGCACGCATCTGCATGCAACCCGGACATCTTGCCTCAGATTGCACTTGTAGACAGTGCTTGAAAGAAGCTTACTGACCACGAGTGTTCCTTCCCAGCCTTCGTCTCAATGATCCAGCCGCTGTAGGAAAGTACGTAGAACCCGAGCCACAACCTCCAAAAGGCACTACTGTAGCTCATCACCATGTCGGTTCATCTGACTATGATCCGGGCAAGGAGAGGCTGAAGTGGAGTCCGGCAAAGAACGTGAGAATGTACACCGACAGCTGATTCCTCAGATGCAGTGTACTTACTGTAGGTGAATAGAATGAAAGAGCGGAGGGCTGGTTGCACCGTAGTGGAACGGTGCTGCATTACAAGTACAGTGTTGCTCATTGATTCCGACATTCCCTTCAAACCAACAGTAGGGGCAAGAACCTGCCACTGCCGGATGCCTTGCAACATCTTGTAGCCCTTCTTGCCGAGGCACGGGTAGTGGATGTCTTGCTCGAGAATCGAGTGCTCAGAGTAGGAGCCTGCCAAGTCACAGAACTTCTAAGTCTGTTCGAAGCAAGATGCTTTGCGCCGACCCTGTAAACTTGAGCCAGGCGACTTGTGTACACGAAGACCAGGATACTGTTAATGATGGCGGTCGTCAGCATTGTGGAGTTGATGCAGACCCTCAGCTGCATTGCATGGGCGGGGCACTGCGATCTGTATGTGCCATCACGTGTTATTGAAGGAGATCCCGAGATCTGCAACTGCTAAGCCAGGCTGCGCGATGACTTCTCCGGCTCGATTGAATGGCCATGGCCTTGGGATGCTCAAACACTCAAGCTCCACTGATCTCAGGCACACGGTTCTTAAAATTCTTGAGATCTTGACTTTCCCAGGAGGTCGTACTGTTTTTGCACGAAGGAAATGTACCTGTGAACTCGGCCCTTGCCCCAAAGGCCACCAGAAACAAGCCGCTGGCAAACAGGCGCACTCCCCGTTCACCAAGTCTGCAAAGTCATCAATCTGTGCCTGCCGTGCGGAGAGCAAGGGGGTCATGGACGCAACCCTGACAGTGCGATTTCATGTAAGGCCTCGGGTGAGGTCCGCTTCACGTTCACAAGGCATTCCTCCTGCCTGGCTGGTCAAAGTGTGCCATCGGTCTATTGTTGGATCGTTCAGTCTTGCATGGTGGCCATGTTTCTCGTCAATGGAAACACCAGAGATAACGTCAGACTACTCGCGCGCATGGAACGTGGTCTCTTGCAAGCAGTATGCTAAGCAGGCTGCCACTTGTGCACAAGGGAGTGGTTCTTCAACACTCTGATTGCCTCATTCACGTGCCAAGGCTTCGTGGTTGCGGCAGCCTTTCTCGATTGTTCAACACGGAGTTCAAATATCCCAGACCTTCGGTACCATGAAATACACGCGTTGAAGTCTGGATCCACGTACGATCTCGACCTTGTGCAGAGAGTTTCACTGCTAATGCATTGCAAGGCCAGCAACGAGCTACTGGGTACTAGCCAAACCTCTCACTGAAAGAGACACCAGAGACATCAACACAAGACATCGTCCTCCGGCCCCTGGCCTGTCCGAAAAGGAAATGCAAGTACTTCTCTCCCAGCATCCTTTGTACCTTTTCCAGAAACCTTAGAAACAATGAAGGCCGGTAGCAAATTTATGTTGCTCAGCTCCACCCGTGCACAGCCTCTCAGGCCCCGGCCTGTCGAATATCTTGGTTTTCGCAGCGCCCCACTCCACTTTGCTATAGGCCTGAGATGAAGTGCTGGGATGCTGTGCTCTTGATGCCGTAAGGATTTTCGAACTCGAGAGCCCCGCTGGCATGTCAGCTGGAGGCTCAATTTTGACATCGCGGAACAACTGCGTCTTGGTCCTTGGCATCGCAGCCAATTTGCGCATGTATGAGCCCTACGACCACTGCAGCATACTCATTGTTCACGTTTTTCTGCACGCTGAGCCCGCCACTCTGGCGCTGTGTGGACTGCCTGGCTAGATGCAGTCTCTGAGCCTACGACCGAAAAGCATTGAGGCATGATGATGCCGACGAGGCGTAGTTGTGCCAAAGGACAGCGGAAGGACTGAATTACGGCTTCCTCAGGCTTCCGCATGGAAGAGTGAGTAGCATAAACCACAAATCCTCAGGCAGTCCTGGTGGTACAAAGAGTCACCCCACATGTGCAGCAAGAGCTCTGCCATGCTCTGCCCTAGTTCACGGATCCTCATACTGCTCCTCAAGCGTGTAGGTCAGGCAGGCCTGGTGAAAGTGCACTAGGCATCAATCACTCACCCGAATCTTGTGGTTCAATCAGATACCTTCTCCCGCTTTGGCCGAATGATCTTTTCGTCGGTTTCTTGGTCGTCTGCCTCAGCCTGCGAGCAACAGTCTCAACCGCTCGGTAAATTTCGAGGAGCATTCTGTGCCCACGCTGCGTACGAAGGGCCTCATCATCTTCTTCGCTCACACCAACTTCAAACTGCGGATCAGCTGCCTGCCCAAACTGCTGCAATTTCGAGGTATCCGCACTTGAGATCACTTGAGCTGGGTCAGCAATCAACTCGTTTGATGCCTCTGAGCTTAGGTTCCAGTGTGTGATGACCTTCCAGCACAGCATTCTTGGTGCCAGCTCCTCAACAGAAACAATTGAAATAGCCCTGAAAAGAAACTCGTGGGAAAGAACAAGCCGACATGCAGTGTATGTGAGAGGGGCAGCACGCGTACACGCTGTTTTGCTCAAGATCGCTCATTGTTGGCGCACGGCCCGTACGGCGGCAAAGGAAAACTCCATCCTCAGGTAGTGTGCTGGCACAGGCGCATACATTTTGGACAGGCTTCTCTGACACTCCACGTTTCGTACATGCAGCCGTTCAGCGTGAGCACGTGAACATCTGCGAGTAGCTCTCAGCTCTGTGAACATCTGCATATCACAGCGAGTTGCTGTTCTACTTGCGCCGTTGATGCGAACGAGCTCCGCTTCAACCTCACCTCGGGCTTTGAAGAAACCTTCACTGTTGAAGAAACCTTCACTGTTGAAGAATATCTCCGGTTTCACTGTGACACTTTCCAAGATGCACAAGCTACTGTAGCTGGGGACCGATCTTGATGAGTCTGGAAATTTAGTGCCTTGCTGACAGTACTTTTGATGGCACGTTGAGTGGTATTTCGGGACCTTGCGATGTTCGAAGCACGATTCGGAGCTCTAAGAAGAATGTGACATTGTCACCCCGCTATCCGTCCTTGTATTCCTGCAAACGTGAGCGTTTAAATTGAGCCCTTGTCTTTTCAAAATGTTGGCACACAACATCCATCTTCACAGGGCTTCTTATTCTACCGGTTTTCGGAAAGCCGGTATTCAGGCCTCACGGCCAAGGGCTTGAGATTGTCCAAATCAGGGCTTGGGGGTATCTGATTCCACTTGCGCCACTCTTCTGCAACTGGACCTTACAAGACCATACGACCCAAATCCAGCAACACCTTGTCGTTGCTTTTTACCCCCACACCTCGGGGTCACCCCTTACTGAACTGCATAGCATTTACAACCTGGTGGCTGGGTTTTGCGAAGTGTGTTCATCCTTCTGTACCACGATGGTCAGTGTGTTGTGTCATTTCGGTATTCTACCCGCCTTTCTGAGGCTGAGATCATGTGTTATCCTGCTTTCCCGTTGCTACTGTACTTCCTGGTTTGTGTCGGGGAGTTGTGATCAGCGAGAATCCACAGGCTGGGTTCCTGCATGCTGCCGCTGTGTGTTTTTGGTAGTCGCAACGCAAGAGGCCTCCGAAGACAAGAAGGGGGCTGGGAGGCCTACAAATGAAAACGCTTTGAGGGCAATGAAATGACGCACGCCACCACCAAACCGCATTTGCAGTTAAAAAGGGCGGAAGCCGCCCTGGCCCTGACTCTGTGCCACAAGGACAGAGCCAAATCGCACCAATGTCAGTGTCGTCGGAAACACATTTGTCTGAGTCTGTGTAACAGCTTCCAGCAAAGCTGCCTGCCAGAATCTGGACTTGTCGAAGGGACCCGGCCTGCAGGCAAGCTACGGAAGGGACCATTCGAACATGACCGCCAGTCATCGGCGGCTGAAACTGTTGAACATGTAACCATGCCCACGCTCGACTTCTTCGCCCTGCAAGGAACGCAAGAGCCGAGGAACCAAGGGTCGTGAGCGACACCCCCGACCCCGTGCTTGACCGGCATCGAGCACCAAAACCTTAACTCGTGAGTTGCTCTCCTCTGACACCACATGCAGGACAAACTTAAAACTCTCACAGGAAGTCAGTGAGCACCAAAACCTTGCAATCAGTTTGCAGGCCAGCCCCGGGCCATCCCAATTCAGTCAACATCTGGAATATTTTGCAGCCCTTGCAGGCGTTCTGGGTGCCATCTGCAAGAAACCGTGCCATCGCAGCATGCCCAGAGATCCCGCAAGAACTGCAGCGGTGCTTCCCCATCTCCTCGCCCGCACTCTAAGAGGACCTGCACATGCTTCGGACTCTTATGATATCCTCAAATGGTCAAGTCAGCCTAACTCAGACTGACGCCGTTCAACTCTCAAGTCGCACCAAGAGCACCAAGGTGTGCTGAGTCTGCCACATGGGAGAAGATCAGCAAGTCGTACCTTGGATAAACAGCCAGCAAGCTGCTTCGGGAGGAGCCCTTTGCTTCGTGGCAACACGAAGCCTCCATGGAATGGCCCAAGTTGCTGCAGGTCAGCAGGCTGCAGGTGCCCATTCACGCCGTCGAAGAGAGACTTGGATACATCACCTTTTCAAAACTTGGAGCCAGGGCAAACTTTGAGGCAGAGATGGATTAAGAAAAGAACTTGCAAAACCAGAGCAGTCCATGCGGGCCCTCGGTTGTGCGACCGTGCGGGTGCGTGTCACTGATGTCTATGTTTTCTGAAAGTTGTTCGCTTGACCGAGGACCCCTGCTAGGCAATGCTAGGGACGCAGAATGATCAAGTGTCGCCATGCGCGATCTGGATCCTCACTGGATTTATGTCAAGCGCCACATGCTATCCTTAGAGCCAGCAGGCACTGGTGATACTCGATGTCTTCGCCGATCAGGTCAGACACCATGTCCACAATTGGCCGCCATGTCTCCACCCACTCCTCAGGAGACATTTTCACACACAGTGGGTAAAAGCCGCGCCTGTTCTTCGCTCTGCGCAACAAGCAAACGTGCATCTGGGCTTATAAGGTCATTCCTGGTGGCCCCGCAAAAGCAGCCTGTGCTCCTACCTTGCTGAAGATTCTACACATGATTCAGGGGGTTTTAGGGTTTAGCGTGACCAGGCCCAATGCATTCGAGCGTCGTAAACAGCGAGTCGGGCGCGCGTACCGCCTGCCAAGTCTCTGGCCACCTGGCAGACAAACAATGATCTTGTGATGCAAAGGGTAGGACAGGCAGGAACTCTTGCAGCAGTCCATGTCAACTCCATATGCCCGATGCACATTGTGCCAACAGATGTGGCCAAGTGTCCACAGCGGCGAACAGCTCGGCCGCAGGGCCCCCACCGAAAGCTGCCACGCGCAAAGGGCCGGCCTTATATGGAAAGTTGTGCATGTTTGGCGTTGCAGAATAAGGCCACCCGATCTTGCTCATGAAAAGGCCCGGTGGGCCCCCTACCAGCTTTGTTCGTAGCTCGGGCGGCGCAAACTTGGTCAGGGCATTAAATGCCATCGTCGATCGCAGGGCAAACTTCTCTTTGGCATACCTCATTCAACTCTGGCAAAGTGCAATCAGTCCCCCTAACCGCCTCACCCTTCCAATCGGTCACGGCATGCCCGGCACAGGACATTCTCGTCATGCCGTGAGCGTGGGCACAGCGTCGTGAGATGTCATGGGGCTGCTCCTACACCACGCGTGCGTTAAATGAAAAGCACAGGTGCGGACCCCCACAATGCTTCGACGTCTGCGAAGTCGTCTGGCTCTTGTTGGCATCGCCGCATTTGGTCCTGGACTTCGCGTGCCTTTGCCAAGATTGAGGTGCCGGCTTCAGAACCGTTTGAGAAAGTCTTACAGGGATTCACAGGGTAGTTGCAGTTCGGTTGCCTTCTGCGCACGGATTGCTGCAAGGGAAAGCTCGGAAGGTGTCGCAGCAGCTTTCACATCGTCGCCAACTTCGTGGCTTGACCTTGCGAGACCCACATCGAACACAAGATGATTGCATGATCCGATGCGGAATCTCTGCAAACGCGGGTGAGCACGTGCAATGACTGGCCTCTGGCAGAGGTGGTTGGCGAATCGCTCAGCCAGCCTGTGAAAAGTTGTATCTCCACCCGGCCAGGGCCAGAATCGAATGGCCTCTGCAGCGAAAAAGGCTGGACATTCCGCCCAGACGGGCTCGTTGTGACTGTGATGGCACGCAGCAGCTGTTGCGATGCAAAGCTCTTGAGTCACTTGAGTGTCAGGCAGACGCCAGAGTTGGATTTCTGGAACCAACAAGAGGCAGTCGCGACCACTGAGGCCCAAGAGCCTCAGCAGAAGGCAAAGATCTCGTGGCTGATTCGAGCTCGTCAATGTGCGAAGCTTCAGTTTCACACAGCTTCACCCAGCCTCCCCGCCGTGGTCAACTTGACGTGGATTTAGAAGTCCTGAGGCAAGGAACGGGCCAGGCAAATGCTTATGCCTAGGCTAGCGATTTTGCTCCTCAGCCAACTTACCCCTAACTTAGCTTTGACCATCTATTTGAATGCTGCTCGAATCATTCGATGCTGTCTAGTGAAACGGTGTGTGACATCTGAGAGCTCGATGCAACTTCGCGTCGCTTGCGATGAGTCTTTCCGCTCTCGTGTGTCTGCCAGGACTCAGCAGGGCCAACCCAGGAGAGCTGGCAGATCGCACAGTGATGCGCCTCCATGTCCTCAAGCAGAGTGTGAGAGCAGTGGGCGGACAGCGGGTGTGCGTTGGGTCTGAGCTGGATTTCCAATCCCTGCCTCCATCCGGTTGACGACTTGGGGCAATCAGGCATGGCAAGCCAGCTGCTTGTGGCATGACAACGATTGCTCGCAAACAACATAGGCCATCCTACGATATCATACAATCGTGCTGCAACTGCCTTCTGACACTGACACGGAGATCGTCTTTGCAGCTAAGGTTGGCTTGACTTCGCGATTTTGAATTATTGCACACTTCTGAAAGCATGAGCGCAGCAACATGAGCACAGCATGCACAATTTCAGGGCACTGCCAGCTCAAAGCAGTTGTGGCCACAGCAGCAACTCCTGGATCATCCTTGCTAGGGTCTCGGTCTTGTGCTGCACGACCTTGCAATGGGCAAGGATGGCACGGACATATATGACAAATGGATGCCAACTTGTAGTGCCTCCTTACGTGCTCCCACTGGCTGTGTCCAGCCTGCTCTTGCTGCTTTGCGAAGTCATTGTCATCCTCGGAGAGCTCGAGCTCCTGCCAACAGCTCATGACGAGCGCATGCGATCAGATTTCTGTCTGTGCATCTTTCTGCCGCCACTCTTTCAAGTTCCGGAGCGTCCTCCAGCAACGACATGGCGAACTTCAATGCAGCAATTTCCGCTGCCCGCATCACCCTCAACCTGAGCAACTTCTAAGTGACCTTCGTGGTGCAGCTGTGAGTAGAGCACGTCGATCACTCGAACGTGGCGCGAGGCAGCTACAGGTCCATCCACGCATCAAAGAGCTCTTCATTGTCCTGCACCATGACATAAACGAGTCAGGATTACTTGAGAAGCCACTGAGCCATTCATATTTTGGAAAACCCCTGCTTTTCCATCACCGGGCTCCGGAAGGCTATGTATGCGGATCCTGGATCAGGCCACGAAAGGTGCCCTCGTCCGCTCTGAGGATCCGCCATAGCATGTTGATGTCAGAACCTTGGGGCAGATCCCACAAGACAGAAGAGCAACTGTTTTGTAGCTGCTTGTTCAATGGAAACGGAAACCCTGACCCAGTCCCGACTTGTCGTGGAGCGTGCAAGCATGTACCGGAAACAGTGCGAGGCAATGTTAGCAGGCTCAGCAAGCCCAGCAATCAAGTTTAGGCTGGGAGCAGATGCCATTCTCCATCAAGGTGGCCTGGTTCTCCTGGTTCGGTCCTTCCAAGAGTATGGCCCGCAATGCACGCGCCAAAGACGCCACGCTGTGAGATCAGCCAGAAGCACGACGAGGCAAACAACGGACACGCATGGGAAATGCATGGACATGCCTTGAATCAGCTCTGCAGCTGTATCAAAGAGCTGCTGCACCAGCACCTGCAGAGGCAGAAACAACAGAACAAGAGAGCACGGAGACACAAAAAAAAAACGCCAGAATACAAGTTGTGTGTGGCTGCGCGGCACTTCAGAACCTACGAGCACTCACTGTCACTAGTAGGGTCCTAGACTCGGTGAATTCTGCAGTCGCATCGGCTCGGCCCCCTGCGTACTGCTTCTCCCGACCATTCATGGTGGCCTGTTGTTGCAGTCTTGCGCATCTTACACGCACGTAGACACACACACACACACACATGCATCCTGTCACTGTCACGACGGCAGACGGCAGGATACGGCAGGCCTCCTGCATGCTCTCCAGAATCATGTGGATCCTTGGCTACTAGCTATTGTCTATCTATATCTATCTATGTCTTGCTTCTCTTCTTTCTTTCCTTCTTTCTTTCTTGAGGCTTGAGGGCCGAAGCCTCCGCGCAGTCCGAGCGCCCCAGTGCGGGTTGCGGCAGTCAGAGGTGACATGGGTCGGAGAAGTTGTCATCACCCCATAGCCCCCGCCTGGGTGTAGCCTTCTTTCTTTCTTTTGGTCTCTCTCCCCTTCTTCTTCTTTTCTCTTCTTCTTCTTCTATTTCTTTTTCTTCATCTGCTGCTGGGCATGAAAGGGACCCCCCCCCCCCACTCGTCCGATCCAGTCTCGGCGTAGACCTTCCCCCGAGAAACGGGCGTGAATCCTCCCTCCCTCCCTCCCTCCCCGTCACTCTCACATCACGTTACACTATGTCTCGTGTGCACGTTGGCTGTGGTTGGCTTGGTGCCCGTCATTCGCGATATCCATTGCACAATGTTCGTCGGCCTCAGCGAAGTTTCGATGAAGCGCTGCAATCGGAATTTCGCTGCGCAACTCAGCTGTCACAGAGCGACCAGGTGCTGTGCTGCTCATTCTTCTTCTCCAGCTCTTGTTCATGCCGTCGACCTTGTACCTAGTAAATCGCTACGTTGCTAAGCCATGAAGTGTGATTCATTATGAATTGGTCCTGCCTTGTGGTCATCGTCGTCTTCTCCACCAGGAAGAGTCTTTGCTGAGAAAATGTCCAACTCCTGAATGCAAATGCGCACAAAGATGTTCTTCAGCAAAGTTCCATTCCGATGCACAAAAAAGCCCTTAAATTGCTGCCTCCACTGTGTAATCGGCTCCGAGGAACTCTTGAAGTGCTTGGAGATGGCCCTCGCCTGGGATCTCAAAGGAGATCGCTGCCCCAAAGCTGGTGACATGTTCGACCTTTCAGCGACTCTAAGTGCATGGCACAGCTGCTGGATGAGCTTCAGCCTCCCAAGGCTTAGTTTCTTTTTTGAAGCCTTGCATTCTTCTATAACTCGACACGCATGTCACCTTGGGCCCGCACATCGCTGCCATCATGTCGATGTGGTTTTCGGTGTACGTGTCGCCTCATGACCGCAAAATTACAAGTGACTCGCGCCGGCGGCTCTGGCAGATCTCAACGCAATCGCGAACCTGAGTCTAGAACGCTTGTATAGGTCCTCGAAGACGCAGAACTGAAAGCCAACAGCCTCCAGGTCCATGGTGCTTCGCTTTCTGCCAAACAGCCACCCCCCCCCCCCCCCCCCCCCCCCAACCTTGCCCCAGACATGGCATTTGACAGGGCGCCTTCTGCAAATGCATTTCGTCGCTGGTGTGCGTCTTGTATGCCTGCCGCTGCATGTCTGAACGGTGTACCGCCAGCAAGAAGCATCCTGCGCCCACATTGACATGTTGCCTTCTGTAGAACCTCGTTCGGATCACGTAAGATTCGGCAGCCCAGCTTGAACGCGTCCAGCCGCATCAAGGCCTCTTCGGCTATATGCTCTCGCTGCAAGGGGTACCCGGGTATCCCGCTGACATTGCCAGACCATGGCAAGTCAAACAAGCGCAAGAATCGAGAATGTCGAGAGGTGTTGTGCTGCCTGCGGGTGGTAGAGCAAGACGGAGACCAGCATCAGGGGGTCCACCTCCGGCACCTGCGCCTGCTCGCGGAAACACGTTTCCAAGTCTCAGGCCGAGCTTCAATGTTTCATAGGTGCCACTACTAGCACGCCACTTTGCCTGGCTGCGCTACGTGGCATTTGTAGGAAGGGGGCGCCTCTTCGAAGAAGCTCTTCAGCTTCATGACGGAGCCCGAGCTCCCTGCGCCCGAAATGGCCTCTAACGGATCTCAGTGCAAAGTCCCTTCCCAGTCCGGTCGCATCAAGAGACCAAGTTGGGGACTTGCTGGTAGCTGAAGGGACAGAAGAAAGTTGCCTGATCATGAGGCTCCACAGCACAGAACCTCGACGACCCACCAGGAATCGCTAGATTTCGCTGCAAAGCCCCCCCCCCCCACACCCCCCCCACCTTCTCGGTCAAGAAGGTGAGGTTCATCTTCCCGTTTGGGCTGTTCACGATGCATTGGGAGCCTGGGAGCTGAGTGGCCCTAGCCTAGGCAGCTTCTCTCTTTCTCTCTTGGGACCATGCTGGATGCCACGAATCTGGCCCAAAGCTCTTCTATCTCGTCGTTCCGGCTCAGAAGTTCCTGTTCAAGCAGTGTCTTCGCTCAGCTAGACATCAACAGAGAAATTATCCCGGGACCTGGAGAATGTTGAGCACAGCTCGACAGGAGGACCACATGGTAAGTTCCTCATTCACGCCGAGCGTGCCAGCGAGATGCCGGACAGCAAGGGGTTTGTTTCGGGGATTCGGCTTTGGGGCCCCCCTGCTTCGTTCGTTCATGAAGTTTTTCCTGCACATGCCGACATGGGGAGCCCACATGGGGAGAATCCAGAACTCCCACCACCTACAACAGACGTGGTCAAACTACGCCGTCTATCCTTTCATTCGGGTCCCTGAAACCTTCGTGTTTTGCAACATACCAATCCTGAACCAATCTAATGAATCTCTGGCCCATAACATTGGCAATTGTTTCTTGCATCCGACATCTGCCTTGGTCTACAGGCTTGGGGAGTCCAATTTCATGGGAGCAAGGTATTTGAGGGCAGGATGCAACATAGAGCGGCTGAGGCCGAGGCTGCTGAACCACCTTCTCCCTCCAGCCCCAAGTCGTTCTCCTTTTCGACGTCCTTGCATCCAGGTCACGTCTCTGAGTACCAGACCACAACCAAAGGCCATCCCAGCCTGCTCGTCTTCCACACCTAATTGCACATGAGGGTCCCTTTGCATCCCTTTGCAACAGGTTCAATCGATGAAGCTGATTGGCGCACGTCCGCTTGTTCTTGGGGCCCCGCCGTCTGTTGCACTAAGGATATCCATCCGCTGGATTCCGAGGAAGGCAACCGTCCGGATCGCGTGGCACAAGCGCCTTAACGTCAACGGAAGGTCCCGCTGAGTCTTTTGCCGCGTCCGAGAGGCCGGCATGACCCAAGTCTGCACCAGCAGAAGCCTCGCCTCACGTTGTGCAGGCCCAATGCAAGGCCACAACACATCACAAAGCCCTCACGGTACACTCACGATCCTTACTAGCCAGGCAAGCCCACTGAGCTTGAGGCCTCTTGCGGAATCAATTCGCGGACCTTTGCCAACACGCTCTCAACTTCTCGAGACATTGTCATTGCAATGGCTCTCCGACCGCAAGCCAGAGGCAGAACCTAGCCGACTTAGCCAGGCACCCCTTCTTCGTCCACGCCTCCGTCATCAATACGACGCTTCAGGATCCTGACAGGGCCATCCGGAGCATAAGCATAGCTATTCATAGCTGGAGGTGCCCAAGGTCCACTTCACCTCCCCAAGTTGCTTTCCCACTGACACCTGGTCCGTTGCGACCCGTTTGGGATGAAACCCGTTCCTTTCTCTGACTTTCTCCCCAACCTGGTTCTTTAGTGTCTGGGCCCTCCTCGTGACCTTACGCCTAGGCCTAGGCGGCGGTTGGTCCGCTGGTTTTGCGGTGCGCCAGGCCCCAGGGCATTGTTTGGTTTTCTCGTGATTGCATCTGATTCTACTTTCGAACTGCTCTTAGCATTGGTCTGACAGGCTCAAAGCTGGCAGCTACTAATTGCGTGACACCCCACGTTTCCGTCCATGCCTGGGAATATCATCCAGCTCGTCATGGTCCACGGAATCTTCTTGAATGGTCTCGAAGACCTCAAGTCAACTGTCAGATCTCCCCTGTTTGAAGAAAGTCTCTGCAGAAGCTCACACGAGAAAGCCAAAAGCACAAGGTTCTGAAACCGCGCTGCAAATGGACTTTAACTCGAGCAGCCTCGACCAGAGCAGGATACTGGACATACAGCAAGTCGGGATTCTCCACTTCCAGCTTTTCCAGGAAGACGTCCAGCATGACAAACGACCTGCAGCACTTCGCCATGGCGCAGGGAACACTCTGGGCAGTGGCGGTAGTGTTTCTGCTACGCCAAGGCCCATGCACGGCCCTTCTGAGCATTGCAATGATGAAGTCGTGCTCATGCTCTCGGGTAGCCTTCCGATCTCTCCCGATGGCACAGATATGCACAGCTACTGAGAATTCATGCACGCGCCTGTAGGAGTTGTTCATCGAGTCCCTTGGACTGCTTCTCAAACTTGAAGCACCTGTCCTTTCTGCAGGGATTGCTGTCAGACCGCTAACCAACTTCGACCCCCCGCCCGCGTCAGTTGTCCTTCTGCCGTTCCCCCCTCTCACCCCCCCTTGGCTTGCAGGGGCGAGTGTGGCAGAGTGTGGCCAGGCCAATCAAGTGAGGCAAGTGGGGACGTATTGGCCAGGCAGGGAAGTGTTAGGACGGGGGGAAGAGCCAGAAGTGCGCGGTGAGGTTGTGGGTTGTTGGCCTGACTGAGAGTCACATTGGGCTGACTGCGAAGCAGATTTTGGGAAGGGCTTGCCCGACCGGCCCCACCACTGACGCCAGCAGGCAAGTGGGCAAGTGGGGCAACATGAATTAGCTCTTCCGGACGAGCAAGTGGGGAAGTGGACAATATCCAGTAGCTCTTCTGTTGAAGCAGGTGGGGCAAGTCGGGCAAAGAACATTAGTGGTTGTCGTGCGTGCTCGCAAAGTGTCAGCGGCAGTCGGAGTTTGTCGTTGCACATATGACAACGGACTCAAGCTGCTATGATCGGTCCTCCACCAAATCGATGACCTACAACACATGAAAGCGTCATGGCAGCACAGAGCAGTTGGACGAGCTTCAGTCAGTGTCAGAACAGCCACGCCATGCACCGCCCACCGTGCCTTCTCTGTGAATTTGGGCATCAGCTCGTGAATCACGCGCTTGGCCATGCTCACCTGGAGCAGTGAAAACATGGAGACATGGACGCAAAAGCAGCTGCACACCGCGGCGTCGCGTGATGCAAGGATGCAGGCCTTCTTTCCTCCAAGCTCGAGCCCTTCCGTGGGATTCTCTTGGTCCGCAGCATTTGCCTGCTGATGTTTGACGTTTACCATTTCTTTACTGATCTGTCTTGTGTTGGCCCTGACGCCATGAACAGCCAGCGCATCTTGACATCTCTCTGGCAGCAGCTTGGTTCCAGACGCTTGCTGCGCCCACCTCCTGCAGTAGATGAAGTCGCACACAGCCCAAGACTTGAACAAACAGACGCGTGAATCGGCACCCCTGTCCTGTTCAGCATCTTCCCTGCATTGCCGCTAGTACGATGAAACAAAGGACTTCAACCGTGAAGTCAAATGAGAGGCGAAAGGAATCGTGCCAGCAGTGCTCATGGCCGGACGTCGCCACAGGTCGAAGCGCCTCTGCTTGCCTGCACTAAGTATGTTCAAAAGTCGACAGGAGACAAGGATCTCCTTGAAGGACCCTTTCCATGAGAACACTTCTCACACGAGTTGCACCTCTGCGCACCGACTTTGGCTGCTCTCATGATCACCTCTGGCGCGAAAGCCTGAACAGGAGAGGTGACACATCCTCTGTTCACGAAAGGGGTCGGTCTATCCACCTGACTTTGGGAGATAGACGCTTAGAAAAAACGACAGATGGTCTGTCAGACCTGCATACCTCAATGTTGCCTACGTTGTGAGCAGCGTCGTCGAGGGTAGCAGCTGTCGGAGCAGTAATGAGCGCGTGAAAGATACGCCATCTGAGAACGAGGGTATTTGAGGGTCCTTTCACATGCTTTCAAACATGTACTTGTATTTGTTCTTTTGTATTTGTATGATACATCTGTTTTATCATCAGTCAGTGTATTTGATAGTTAACTTGATTTTCACTATGTCGCGGTAAGGTTAGGTAAGTTTGAAGCCTGTCTATTGCAAAATTCTGTAAATCTCTACCATTTCTTAGCAATTGCTGAGAGGTCAGAGACATTTGAGGTTTTGTTTGCACGGATGCAATTCATGCCGTGCAGGCCAGGGTTGAACGATGGGCATCGGCGTGGCTCAGAAGTTTCAGTTTTTGCATTTTAGGTGTAAGTAGTAAGAGGTGCAAACAGGCACACATTGGCCGACGGGTTCTGGGTGTAACCGCTGAGCGCTCATGTGGGTACAGGACTGCTTTTGGAGACGTGCACGGTTTTAGGTACGAAGTGGCATTTTCACGGGTGTCGGTGGTGGTGGAAGTGGTGGTGGTCGTCGTCGTCATCTGTCGCGTCGTTGCAGGGACCGTGCTGTTGTCTACACTGTGACACTTGTTTGCAGAATTACAATGGCAACAATTTGGATTCACCGAAGTCCATTTTACTACCCCCAATCGCAGGTCTATATGATGTAGAGTAACCGTGAGCGCGGCATCCATAGCTGGCCCCTTCGAGACATACCTGTCTATTCCACTAGCCCCGAGCAAACCAGCAGCTCCGAGCAAACTAGCCATAGTCTCAAGCACGCTTGACTACTCAGTGGCAAACAGGGAGAAGGGCAACCCTCGGTAGTCAGAGCATCGTTAAGTCTGCCTACCTGGCGATTGGCGTGATGCAATTGGCGTTGTATGGCTTGATGCAACCGCGCTTACTCCGTGTAGCGAAGAATCGTTGAATAGCGCTGATCTCATGCGAGATGTCACGTCCATGCTGGTACCAGTACCGCATGCAATGTGCATAAGCAACACGTTCGCACCTGCATCTTGTCATGCTTGTGCATGCTTGTAACGAGCAGACTGTGCAAGAACAAGCTATGCTTGCTTGGTTGACTGACCGATGGAATGACTTGAACCTGTTGGCCTTCGTGAAATGTGCTGCGCTTAACGGCATCAAGACATGGGAGATGCCGCCCTCAAAAAAAGTCGGGATCGCGGGCTCCTTTCTGAGCAGCTCTGGGCAGAGTTTCGCACTTAGGATCAAACGCATTGGAACCTGGATTGGTTCCCTGAACTTGTTCCCTGAACTGGTTCCCTGAAAATGACACTTTGCGGCAGACTTTCGGCCTTGGGTGATGTCAGAGCCACCATCCGCGGATTGGAGACTGCGAGCTGGAATTCGGCTGTGTCAAAGAGGCAGCGGCTCCGCCTTAGTCCCATTTGCCATGTGAAAGCTGGATAGGTCAGGCCCGGCTACTAACTTGCACCAGATTGGAGCAGGCTTGGGTTGCTTTCTGCTATTGAAAGGATCTGGCCCCAAAGTATGCCGAGGGGCAGTGTGAGTGTATGGCATCCCAGCAGTTGCAGCCTCACCTGCGCCCACGCAAGCCGCAACACAGGCAGCTGGAAATGCAACGAAAGCCGTTGCCTTGCAAATGATCCAACTGCATGTGAAGCCTCCGGCCGACTGGCCTTTGAATGATATGGCGATTTCCGCTGCTCCCAACCTCCTCCCACACCCGACAATCCCTTTTTAAAACCCCCCGCAGGTGTCTTATATACGGCCCCGCGACTATTCCACCTCTGGCTGGCTTGCAGCTGTTCCTCTCGTGCCCCACACGACAGACATGCAGTAAACAAGGAAACAAAACCAATCACCAAGAGTTCGGAGAGAAATTTTAGGCAGCTCTCAGGGTACCTAGCATTAGGCCAACTCTTTCGCATGCTCCACGACACCGATTGCCACCAAAGGAAAGCAAAGAAACTTTAGGGTCCAGTGCGCGGAGCGCTAACGGCCACCTGGTCCTGTGCGAAAACAATGATGCGTGCGTGTGCCTTGACTCTGCCGATATTGCTCGACATGTTCTTCAAGAAGACAACATCTCTTCCTGTCAAGAGGTGCATGTGTGTGCGTGGACATTGCCTGCCCCTGTTCTTCCATCAATAAGGCCCACTCCGTTGACTTCGACCTCGAAGTACACTTGGTTGTTGACGAGACCTCTGCATTGCAAAGGAACCGCAATCACGTGTAGAATCCTTGTGACATAGCCATGTAGTCTATGTCTAGCCGACTCGGCACTTGCATCAGCAGATGTCAGGAGCTGTGGTGTCATCTTGCACGAGCCTTCGCCAGCCGTCCCATGCCCTCTCCACTGCGGGCCTTCCTAGGCAAGCGAAGTTGGAGCAAGAGCTGACCTTCTTCAGGAAGTCGGAAGGCTCCGCACATTTCCCTTTCGTTTGTCCTGCTGCAGGGACAAGCCAGCCACGTTGCCATCTCCTTGCTCAGGAAAGTACCAGCGCACGATACATGATGCACCAGTGCACTTCAAACAAGCTGTCAGAGCTTGGCCTGGGCGAAGAACATGGACTTCGCAACTAAACTCCTGGTAAGGAAGTTGTGAGTGTTATTGTGCCAACTTCAACTGGATGGCTGTCCTGTAGAAGGTTCTCTCCGGAGCTCAGCTTGAAGCTCAGACCTGGATGCAGCAACACCGGCTTTCTGAGTCTAAGTCGCACCCAAGCAGATGCCTCGCAACCTTTGCACGATCTCCTTTCCGACATGCCACATCCGCTCCTGAGCGGATCGTATTTTTCCAGGGAAGACTCCCTCCACCCCATGTGGCCGCTGTCACCGAGATGCAGGCATCACTTCCCCGCAGCACAAACGTGGGATGTTGGATCAGTTGACGGCCTGAGAATCGTGACGCCGAGTGGGTCGAACCGCTAGGAACGGGAGGGGACTTGAGGTGCGTGCGCCACAGATTGACATCCACGTGAAGCGATTTCGCCAACCTGCACGGCTGTTGAATCAACGGGCTTCTTCGAAAAGGCCATCTCGCCAGGCAATTTGCTGACAGGGCACGTCATGTCCGGCATTTCTACCAACTCGTACAGGAAGTCCTGACGCGGCATTTGTTCACAAGACAATCGGCAAACATGCCATCCGTTAAGGGCACAAAAATGCATAGACATACATATGAAGTCAGAAGTCATATACACACAAACATACACAAACATGCAACAACATAGACAAACATAGACAAACATACACAAACATTCACATGCATGTGTGTAGAGCATCGCCCCCTCCCCCCCCACCCCCTCCCCGCCGCCCTTCTCCCCCTGCTCCTCCCCCCACCCACCCCTCCCCCATGTATCAACATGTGTCAAGTATGCAGTCCTGGAGTCGCTCTTGCTGTCGGATACCTATGTCCGACTGCTGGTTGCGCTTGACATCTGGCAACCTGCCCCCAAAGTCCTGCCAGAGCAAGGTCAATTGAGGGATTGAGTGGGGCATTTTTGGTGATGAGAAGAAGGTCCAGCACAGTCAGTATATATATATATATATATATATATAATACTCTTCGGCTGTGCCTCCAGCGGCTTCAAAGTTTTGAAGGCCGGCGTGTACAACTCATCTTCTTGACCAACAAAGCCGCGGTGCCTCGGGAAACGACATTCTCCCTCTCCCTCCCCCTTTCTGCGGATGCTTCTGAAAACTTCAACGTCCCTCGAAAGCTAGGTCGGCTAAGTTTCAGGCAGCCCCACGATTCGTGTCCGGTTCCGGCGGTTTCCTGCGAAACACGCGCTCTGCGAGACGTTGACGGGATTGGTTTAGATGGAATCTCGATCAAGCGAACAATGCCGCCTTCATCATCGGACTCCTGTCGAGGACTTGACAAGGGCACATGTCTGTTCAAAGCATTTCCTGTCTCATCTTGTCTTCAACTACCGCCAAATTTTGCGAAGTCTCATGGCAGACCTCGTCCATACCAGTTCCAGCCCCATGCTGCTGTTCCGCCACGTCGGGGTCTCCCCGTGTCTGTTCGACGATCCGGAAATCCTGTGGCACTTTGAATCTCACGGTTAAACTAGGCTTCAAATCCAAGAAAAGAGAGACCAGTCAACCAATGCATCGCATCCTGTTCCATGCCCACACCAAGCCGCTGCAAGCAATGCTTGGCAGCTTCTATCTCGCTCCTGACACATCCCGCAGTTTCTACACAAGCGCCGCTTGGGGGCTGCTAACAGTTCGGAAGCTGCAAAGATACAGCTGTGCACATGACGACTGCCCTTCTCAGTTTTCGACACGTTACAAAGGCCCAGGGAGAGCGTCATTTTGATGATGTGCATCAGCTCCTGGGTCAATCCCGCCACACAAAGCAAGTGCATACCTGGCCGTTGTGTGACGAAGGCTCCTGATCGACACCCCAATCTTCAGCAGCCCAATCCTGTTGCTTGAAAAGCACCTGCTTTCGGCAGCTTGGTCATAGTGTGTCATTGCAGTCAGGTACCCCCTGCTGTCAATTAGCGGAGCCACTTTCTAGAACAAGGGTTCAGGGGGCTTTAGTCTATGAATTCGAGAACTCGGTACTGCAATCCGCGTCGCTGCAAGACTGCTGCAAGACGTGCCTTAAACAGCTCGCCGATGATGTCTGTCCTCGGCACTGCATGATGAGGATGCTCGCAGCAGAGAGGAAGCAATTCCGAATTCGTATTTCTCAGGACTCTACATGTTGGCTCTGGCATCATCGTCGGCTTCTGCTTCTGCATCGCCGTGTGCCTGCCGCTTCCCAACTGCTTTTGGAACGTAGGACTTGGCTTTGAGTCTGGGGGCATTCCAGACAAGGAAAGGTGGATGCCGACGACCAGAACGCAACATGTGCAAGAAGGACAAGCAGACAGTGGCAACATGTTGGAACCACCTCCATGAACCATTGAAACTGCTAAACTGGTCGTACGCCACATGGATGCTACGGCCTAACCGAATTAAAGCTCGTTTTGCAAGACCAGCTTCCTCCCCTTACCTGATCTGGATTGTGGAGAGAACCGTTTCATCGAGCACCGATCGGCCACTTGAGAAACTCGGCCGCGGCTTACCTAGCTCTGTGCCTGTCAGGGCAGCTTCTGCCACTCAAGTGCACCTAGAAGTCCAACAGGGCCAACAGGGCCTTGCCTTCTTTGCGGAAAGCTTCGGACCAAGACCACGGAAGAAACTGAATATTACCAGTTCCAGTAAAGCTGGCTGGAAGCCGGTGCGCGAACGTGGCGCTGGCGTACTGAGTGGTCCACTGGATATACTGTAGTGGACAAAGTGATGGAAATTCACCAGAGGGTGCAGAAGCTATTGCAGTCCTTGTTCTACGTCGTCGTGCAACATGTTGATACTGAGACAACCACGCTGGTTAGTTGGACGTACTCGGATCCTGTTGGCTCCGAGAAAACCTACTTGGAGGGCTGCTCCATCCCTGAAGTCCCGATGCAAGAGGGTCCGTATCCAACATTTTTCGCATATGTGAAATCATGTATACAGAAAATATATCCGGACAATTATTTGATTATATATACAGAGAAAAAGGGAGAGGGAGAGAGAGAGAGGGAGAGGCCTGATGACCACCCGCGTCGCCCTCCTTCTCGAGAAGCTCGAACGCATGTCGGCGAACCAAATCCTGCCACTACTTGCGCAGCGTGGTTGTGTGTGTGTGTGTGTGTATTTTTTTCGTTCTTGTTGGTGGAGACTGACGTTGCAAGCTTGCTGCAAGTGTGCAGGAATGGGTCCGCAAAGATCGGCTCCGAGATTGTCGGCGGCTGGTCCTCCTGTCCTTTAGGACGAACACCGGGTACTACAGCAGAGAGCTTCACAACGATCGCGACTGAGCACGTGGCCGCCGCGAACAGAGCTGGAGAACCAATCCTAGGGCACTTAAACAGAACGAAGTGACCCCTCCATTGGGGTGGGTGCTCAGCAGGGGATGGCAAGTGCGTGCTACAGCTGATGAGGTACATGGTACAGGTTCAGACATGTGCCGGAGTCATGTCAGAAAGCTGAACACTAGGGCCAGGTCTTTGCCCCAAGTTCTCTGAATGTTGTAGGCTTGCAGCACCTGGGCACGAAGTGCAACGTATGTCTTCTGGAGCTGCCCGTCGCCAACCTCCCTCAGGCCTGCGTAAATAGCAGGAAGATGTGGTCGCGCACGAAGAACGGGGACCTGAGACAAGAGCCTCCAAATCCCTAAACCCTAAACCCTAAGCCCTAAGCCCTAAACCCTAAACCCTAACGGCCCTAAACCCTAACGGCCCTAAACCCTGAACCCTAAACCCTACTTGCGGCATCCTGCGGCCTGCCCCAGGGGGCTTTTGACCGTAGGCCCCGCGCAGCTCATAGGCGACGCGCTCATCGATGGCCTGCAAGGATCGTTGTGTTGGCCACCTGTGAAGCCAATGGATCCTAATGGTAGAGTGACGTGCGCTACCTCCACCACAGGGGAGATTCGGTTGCCAAAGAGGTGAAGATCCGGAAAGCGCTTGAAATACTCGGTGAACCTGATGACACTTAACACTCATGGAGTTTGAGGAGGCAAATGGCAAAACAACCAGACTCAGCTGCCGACCACCTGATAAGCAGCAGCACCTAGATGTCCAAAGTAGCACGCTTGAAGGCCATCGTCAGCATATTGTCAGCGTGAGGCGTGAGGCGTGAGGCGTGAGGCGTGAGGCGTGAGGCGTGAGGCGTGAGGCGTGAGGCCAAGAGTGCACAAACATGGGCTTGTGATGCTCATGACTGTTTGCAGGCCGGCGCGCCGTGTCCGTAGGCTTGACAGCGTTGCTGCGCAGACGTCGCTGCTTGGCAGTGAAGCGGTTGTGGAGAACATCCTGCGGAAGAGTGAGAACGCTACAGCACCACATGCAGAGGTGTATACGATGCAGAAACTCTTGATTGCCTCGACCTCGTGGGGTTTCAGCAGGATGCACATCATCCGAATGAAGCCATCCTTTGCATGATGTTGCTGCAAAACAACTCTCGCCAACAGCAAGAATGTAGCAGACCTGCACAATCAGGGGAATGTTGATGATGTTGTCTTGCATATGCAGCCAGAAGATCACGTGGCGAAAGTACCTGCCACTGACTGTCAATGCGAAATCCATGCGGAGCAGCGTTGCGGCTCAACTTAATGAGGTGCTCATGGCACTTATCAATCGATAGCCCTCCTCTTGCATGCGGCCTGCGAGCTCTGTCGTTCTCTGCAAATGCTGTGGTTTTGTTTGTCGGCCCTTCTGATTTGCTGAAAGAGTGTGGGTGTGTGTATGTGTGTACGAATGTTGCAGAACCATTCCGCAAAAACATGTGGAGGGCGCTTCTGTCTGGCAACAGTGCCATCGTCATCTTGCTGGTCCGCATCATCTGCATCCTCAACAGCACCCTCCTCGGCCTTGCCATGCGCATGCAAAGGGCCGCCCAGGGAAGACCATGAAGCCATGACAGTGGCCTCCTCCATGTCGTCTTTCCGCAGCTGGGACTCCGTGATGCTTTTGCTGAACCTGAGGTGTTGAGCAAGAGGGCGTTTGCATGTATTTGCATGTCATGAGCAGAGACAATCTGAGCATCTCTCTGCTTGAGGACAGTCTTGTTGAAGCCGAAGGAGGAGCAACGGATGACAAGCTCAATGGTGGCCTGATGCCGTCCCGTGCAGGGTGGGCAAACGAGTCTTGAATGCAGAGTCCGCACGTCCTGTCGGCCAGCCAAGGCTTCGGCAAGTTGGAAGCACGTAGGGAAGAAGTTTGCAAGCACAAGCCTCAGCGAACAGGCGTGGCACACATGGAAACCTCGGGCTGGCTCGGACGCTTCCAAGCAGTCCCAAGCAGTTCACCCATCCGTGCTTTCGCGACGCGCGTGGCAGATGGTATATTGACTGTGCGATGGTGGCAGCTCAATGGCTGGCAGCTTCAAAGCGCAGCTTGACCAAAGTCGGTGCAGGAATCTGGCCGCTGTGTACAGTTCTGGCATCAGGGACATCCTTTTAGGAAGAGCTCTGATGCCAGGTGCGCCGTTGAGAGGCAAGCAGAACTTGTATCTGCACTCTTCGCCCTACTCTTTGCGCGACTCTCATCCCACAGAGGAGTTTTTGGGGAATCCCTCACCAATTGGGATGGTGAGCCGGCAGGTAGCCAATTCCCCTCCTTTCGGGCTCCTCGTCAGAGTCTGCCTTAGATTCGATGCAAAAACTGATGCTGTGATACCTATGCAGTGACCTGTGAGTTGAGATGTTCCCCCCTCATATTCACAATCCTCCATAGGGATTTATGGTACCCCCTACTATCATCCCTTTTTTAAGGATTGAGCAGCCGAGCTGCATCTCTTTTTTCCCACCAGGGCTTCGGTTCGGGAGGCGGTCCGAGGCCCATGTCCTGGGCTTCCTTCATCGGGCAGATGAAGGGCCCCGGAATGACCTCATGGCTTTCAGGGGAGCAAGGGGGAGAAAAGGGAAACCTTCAAGCAACTCCTGAAAAAGCATGGCCGTTCGCTGACCCCATCAGAACTCACATGACTAGGTCTTCAAGGAGGTTTTGTGGCTCGGCTCATCTGTGCATGTCCAGCGGACGTAGTCTTTCTGAGCACTTCCATCTTCTCCGTAGATGCCTCCTTCCGTTACAACCTGCTTCTGACAAAGCAAGCGCCCTCTTTGGATCCAGTGAAAGGCTGCAACAAAAAAAGTTAAGCAGATGCACTTGTGGAGCCGAATGACAAGGAGGTCAAGTCATCGTGGGCAACTCACTAACAAGCAGTGTCTGGGCCGCCACTACATTCTTCTGCTGGGCTGATTGCAGCTCGAAAACATCAACTCGGTTCAATTGACTATTTTTCTGGGTCCTTCTCTGCACAATGCGACCAGCCAAGCAACTGCTTTCTCAGTCAAATTCCTCCATTCCTTCTTTTGCACTTTTTGTTTCTCCTTCCGAAGGCCATGAGGAGCTGGAGGAGCTACATCTAACTTGCACAGACTGAAGATCATACTTACACGCCTTGTGCTGTTGCAGCAACTCTTCTCGCTTCTTCTCCTCTTCCGGAGACTTCTCCTCCGCTCTACACACAGCTCTTTCAGCACTTTCAGCAGCTCTGCAACCAAGCAGCTCGGGGCAGGCTCATGGCAGCTCTCAGCCCTCTGAGGATCTCCTTGGGTCCTTTCTTGGCCTCTTCCAAGCTGTGCTCCAGCTTCTGCCGGATCTGGGGCCTTCGTTGCGCATCTTGCGCCAAAAACCACACAAAGGTCTACCTCGCAACCCGTGGAGCCGAGCGACGTGGTGTAGAGCTTCAGACCTTCCTTGCACGCCTTGATGGCCCCCTCCATGTCTTCCATCCCACGGCAGCAGATGGCCTGAGCAGAGCCCTAGTTATAAGCCCTGCGAAGCCAGCGGTAGAACTCCCAGAGCTCCCTCTCGGAACCTCGTTGCTCAACAAAACCGCTACGTGATGGCCGCTGACATCTGCCTGCCAGGACTTCATAAAACAGAGGGTACTATATCGGATTGGGCATGAATTCTGTGCCTTCTTCCAGATCTCACGGGCATGCCTCCAGGCCTGGCGTGGTTCTTATAAACAAAATTGCATCCACCCTATGCTGTCAAATAAAACAATGTTGCGAATCACCCAAACAACTCTCAGAGACTTGTGGCCCCCAATGTGCTGCCCGAAATGTGGCCTTCAGCGCATCCTCGTGGCGCTTCTCCTTCAAGGCCTTGTTGCCGGTCTGCTTCAGTTTCACGGCTTCCTCTGCCTGCACATGTTGAACATGCAGTAATGACAGTAGTGCTTTCAATTTCAGGCAAGCTGACGGAGCAGAACTGCCTGTTCCAGGAGCAGATGGATAGTTTTCGCCGTCTCATCGAACTTGCCTTTCGCAGTCGCCACTGCTCGTGTTCACTGGCATCGTGGGCTTGACTCTTGACTGAGTCCGCTTTGAAGCCAAGAGGCGTCCCAGCTGCTCGTGCGTCCGCCATGGAGACCTACTGCAGCACCGCGCGTCACGAGACAAACGGAGCACTTCTCATATCTTCTCATCATCTGCGACTCGATGCTGCTGTTGTGGACACCTTGCAATCTCTCGGCGAAATGTCTCCAGCGGAGTCATGCCTGTCGAGGCGCATGTTAGTAACTTGGACTGGCCAAGCCGATACCCCGACCTTCAGAGCGGTGCGTGCCCTTGGACATCCCCTCAGTTTGGGTCGGGTCCACACCGTTGTGGAGCATCATTGCCTGACACACACACACACACGAAACATTCAAAAAGACGCTTCACAAAAGCTCCAAAAAAGTGTCGATGAGAAGCTGGGGGCCGAACGATCACTTGTCGCGGCTCCTCGCCGGTTGGGGGGATGCCTCGAGGAGAGCACGAAAGCGCGCACACGAGGAATTTATGCGAAGGGCATATGCAGTCACTTAGTGCCCCGGCGGCGCGCTGCAATGAAGCTCCTATCAACTGCTGAGCGTGGCGCGGAGATCCGAATTGTGAGAGCTTGCGATCCATGCTGTGGCAACCTGAACATTCATTCACGGACATGCTCGTAGCAACATAAAGCAACGTCTTGCCAAGCAGCATGCAGCGCAGTTGCACCATCATGGTGCTTCCATTGCACCTGTGATGGAGTTCATGACTGCTCTTGCGGAAAAGGAACACTCGCAACAAACTAACAAATCGCAAGGCAAGGCAGAATGTCGCTTTCTGTGAGAACGTGTTTAGAGTCCTTGCGCTTCACCTTGGTGTAACTACGGCAGACAATGCGCCAATTGTCTGGCAAGGCACATCAGCATTTCGCTTTAGCAGCTCGAGGCAAACCGGTGCATTTCCAGCCTCGGATTCAAAAGGTACGAGAAGGGGGCAGGTGGGGCTTCGTAGCAGCAGATGTGAAGTCATATCATGACTAGTCGGTTCCACCGAGACACCGCGATGGCGGTGTTGAGTGGAGGTGTGTCCATCTTCGGCTCCTTGGCCTCCGTGTGCAGCGGCCAACAGCAGAATTCTGCAGAATTCTGCAGAATTCTCCCATCTTCAGGGGCCTCCAGGTCCGCCCTGAACTCCAAGAGAACCTGCACAACCTCCACCGATCCATGCCAGCAGGCGCTGTGGATTGCGGGTCCTGTAGTTGCTGCAGGAACCGAATCAGACAAGGAGCTTCCCAGGCATAACTGCCGTCCTTGGGTCATCGGATCTTCCTTACAAGCAAGTACTTCGAGTGTTGGGAGTGGCCGTAAATATCTGTCTCTACACATGGCGAGAAGGCAGAGGCTCATCAACCGTGGACAGGCAAGCGCAGACTAAAGCCTCACTACTGACCGCCTCCCAGATGCCTCCGCAATATCTTACTTGGTTCGAGTGCGGAGTTGTAAGCCCGATGTAGTCTTGGATGGCCCCAGCCACTGGTAAAGGGAAGGGTGTCATGGTAGCTGCCATTGAAGGCAAACTCTGCCCAGGCCCCTTGCTTCCTACAGTGTACTGTGCTGAGCCGGCACCACAAGCGGCCAGGGACTACTTACGGGGTTCAAGAAACGCAAGATTAAAACCCTCAAATGCCTTCACAAAAAAAAAAACCAGGGGCCAAGGGGGGGGGGAGGGGCGAGGGCACGGGAGGGGAGGGGAGGGGGGGTTGGGGAGAGGCAATTCTTTGGGCCTTACTGGAGAAGGCTACACGAACCTTCTCTCTTCTTCTTCTTATTGCTGGCTTCGCTATGCTTAGAACTACAAAGATGAGTACTGTACCATGTTTGTCGCTATTCTGACTATTGCTATGGTTGTCCCACTTCGTGATATTCTTCTTGTTCTTATTGCAAATGCGAATCTTGTTATCATGGATTGATATGCTTATGATTGTGAATCTGCTTATTATTACTATCTTGATCTGCAAATAACGATGCTTTCATCTCTCAAGATAGGAAAGTCGTTTCACTATACTTCCTCCGGGAGGAGCCAACACACCTTGATTGTTGGTGGCTCGCGGCGAAAGTTTAGTGAGCCTTTGCCAGTCGTCCCGTCTTGTCTTGTAACAGCTGAAAGCATCGGGACCTGCGATGCTTTCGCGATGGTTGCAACACCCAGCTCTTTAATTGTGTTCGACAAATGCTACAAGACACCGTTTTTGAAGAGCTATCCTGGCAAAACGCTGCAAATGCGAGTGTTCTGTCCTGTTTGCAGGCATGAACATTTGTGACAAAAAAGGGAATCGGGCATGCTCGCAAAAAGCAAGATTACTTGTGGCAACGCGTCGTGTTCCAAACATCCTTGTACAGAATGTTGTATTGTATAACGAGGCAAAACGATGTAAATTCCAGCGTCGTGGGCATGGTCGCCATGAACGGACGTCATCACCCCCGTCCCGCCTACTACCAATAACTCCCGCTGCCACTGCCACTAGCGCTACCACCACCACCACCACTTTGCCAATACGACTAACATCGACGACGACAACTACGACTTCAGCTCCAACAACTGCGACTACGAGTGCTGTTTTAAGTTTTTGCTTCTTACTACTACTGCAGGCCAGCTGCTGCGTTGGCGCGGCCTTTGCTCTCGAGGAGAAGCCGGAGAACGTCTGGCTGCGACTTGATTCCTCGCGCCCTGCAACGCGCGAAAACATCGCCAGTCTTGGGAAAACCGAAGCTACTCTGGGAGCTCCGGACCCCGAAGCTGAGGGCTCTCAACGGATGCAAGCACCCAAAGCCTCATGCCAAAGCAGCCGATGACCAAGCCTCGGCTGACTCGGAAACTTCAGCTGGAACGGACCACAGCAATCTAGCTGTGTGGGAGCATGCCCAGGATGCTGGCCGTCGGGGATGCTGCTCCCAAATTTCAGGAATTCGCGAGCTTCTTTAATCGCATCCTGCAGCCGCTCACAAAAAGTGGGTCTTCATGGGATTGCGCTTTGCAGTGTGTACTCGTCACGTTGCCGGAGCTGGCGTGATGGGAGGGTGTGTGGCCTCTCCCTTTTGTAGCTTGGCCACAAGGGTGTTGGCAGCCAGCTGGGCTTGCTGCACCTGCGCGTCAAATGTGGCCAGGCAGAAGCTGACAAGGACCAAAGCGAGCAACAGTTGAAACTACGCTGGCGACCTCTGTCATCTTGGAGAGGTCGATCTCGTGGCAGCACCAGGGCCCGGCAAATGGCAGAGTCCCAGACGGTGTCAAAAGAAACGAATCGTGTGCATGTGTTGCGCTGCCTCACACTGCACGGTAGCTGCACATCTATTGCGTCTTCGGGGGCCCTTGTGCAGCTCTGGGTATGATCCGGGCAATGCAAATGGTCTCTGTGGTTGGTGTTGTGCGTGGCTCATTTCGTGCTCAGAGGCGCTTCGAGCCATTCGTGGCAAGGCACTTTGCTGGTCTTCAAGCGCGCTAAGGACACCGCAACGGCTGCGACTCGGAGTGGGGCCCTCTGAGCCTGAGACTTCTTCGTGCCAAATGTGGCAGCCGCCTCTTCTTCGGCTTCGCCTTCCGCCGCATACCACTCCCGCTCGACAAAAACAAGCAGTAAACACAGTTCCCCACGGCCTTGGTCCTCTGAAGGATTGCTGTCAACTGAGTACGCGCATCAACGTGCACACGATCGCTTCAGCTAGTGGCTAGTGACGAGGTGTTCATGATGCCTTCCATGATAGCCAGAGTCAACGGACCCCGTGGCCCACGTTGAGTTTGCCGCTTTCTCCAAAGCTATCGTCATCAACGCCGGTACTGGCAATAGCGCCACCAAACGCACCTGGTCACCAGCGGATGCTCTGAACAGTGTTCTGAGCCAATGGCCCTGATGGCAATGCACACAGGCGGCATGCGGCTGTTTTCGATCCTCTTGCCGTAACGACCGTGCAGACTGTCTCTTGCAAGTCTGTAAAATCTGCGCATGGCGCAGGCCGGAAAATGTGCAATTGTGAGACCTTCGGAAGGGGGATCTGGACAGCAATCTGGTGTACCTTTATTAAATCATGTCAGATCCCCCTCCTACTGCGTAACCAATGCTACGCGGCGGTACTTGAGAAGTACCCCACGAGCCATACAAAAGAGTTGCCAAAACCGTAAGTGGTGCTCACTTGGAGCGTTTGTACACTTTTTTCAAGAAGATATCAATGATCTCCCAGGGCAGTCCGACTTCTTCCACCCGGCCCTGAAAGGCCATGATGTCTTTGTAGGACTGGGCCTCGTAGTTTGTGTATTTTTCTTCAAGGCCGATGTCCCTGTAGATCTCCTTGATTTTCTTCTCCTCCTCTGTCTGCACCTTGCACTTTCCGTAGTGTTCGTCCAGATATGCCTTCTGCTCAGGGGAGCAGAGTTCATGGTACGCCTGCACGAAGAGCCATCCGCACTTCTTGTCCTGGATGTCGGTGCCAATCTTTCCCAGGGTCTCAGGGGGAGCAAAAGCATCCAAGTAGTCATCCTGTGCCTGGAAGTACACGCCCATCAGCAGCAGGGGCTCCCGGGCGGCATCATAGGCTGCCTGATTCTTGATACCGGCCACCGTCATGCCTAGGGCCACTGGCAGGTAGAAGGAGTAGAAGGCGGTCTTGTACTTCACTATCAGCTCCCAGCGCTTGTAGGTGAAGTCTGCCAGCCCCAGGTTCTTACACTGGAGATCCAAGAGCTGCCCGCACTCGGTTTGGAAGGTTGTCTCCATAAAGAGATCGACCAAATCCATATAGTACGGCTCAGCCCAGAAGTGTCGCTTCAACACTCTGAAGACCAACATCTCCAGCAGGAACGCATCATTGATCGCAATCTCGTCGACGCCCTCCTTCTTGTACCAGCACACTTGGCCACGGCGGGTCTCAGAGCTGTCCATGAAGTCATCAGCGACTAGAAGCCAGGCCTGCAGCCATTCGATGCACCAGCCAAGCACTGCCAACTTCTTGAGATCATCATCGGTGGGCTCCTGGCCCCGTGACTTCATGATCACCTTGCCGCTCTCCACAACCATGAGGCCTCTATTCATCTTGCCGCCTTTGACGTTGTACTCTAGCATGTCTACAATCCACTTCTGCTCCATCTTCGGCAACTCGTGCGTTGAGGGCAAGGACGCTGTGCACTCTTGAATCAGACATTCGCAGACCGATTCAAAAGACTTCTTTGGCTCCTTCTCATCGTACTTGGGATAGGAGGCTCTGATGTTCGTCTGTGGCAAAGCAGACTTCCAGTCAGTTGCCGGATATCGATGCGGCTCAGACTGGCTCTGGCCCTGATTGTCAGGGATGAAGCTCAAGGCAATCAAAGTTGCAATGCTCGTCAGTAGGCCAAACAGCACGTTTGTTGGCAGAGTCGCTAACCAGTTGGAGCTTCCCGCCAGGACTGCCACGCAGCAGGCCGTACTCGCTAATCGTATCGCGGAAACAATGGCCATCCGAGCTGGATGAGCGTGGCTGGCGGTCTACGAAAGCCTTCCCCCCGTCTTGTGCTGAAGACAGCTGAGGATCAGCCTATACCGGGATCTGGTCAAAGTTATGATGCAGGCGTTGCCCCCCAAGCAAGTCAATCTGTGTCGAGCAGACTATGCCTGGCCTTGCTTGGAGCTCTTTTGGGACTGCTGAGAGCCCTGTCAGATGCAGGGATGTGCCAGGCTAGGATGGCCAGGTGGCACAGTGAGTCACGTCGCTCTAGCCTGCACTGAGTCGGCTTGAGATCCGCTGTGAGCTGAGGCAGCCGGACCTGCGAAAGCCGTGACCGCACACTGATATCTGGACATTTTCCCACCTCACATCAAGCTGGGTGTCGTACTGCTCTCTTCCTCTTTCTGCGTTTGGCCTTGGAGGACCACTCCGTGAATCGTCTGAAACTGACAGCGTCAACTTCAACCTCCAGATACAAGAATGTCACTACTGCATGCAGTCAGGTTATGAGCAATGCACCCTGTTTTCGCCGACCTCAAGCTGTGAAGGAATGCAACGCAAGCCATTGCGGACTCTGGACAGCTTCACTGATTGCTTAGGATCATTCGCCTTGGCTTGCGTACTGCAACGAAGTGACCCATCCCCTGATGGTAGCTCGATCGGCTTCTGCGTTCCTCCTGGAGGAACATGCAAAAAGCCCTGAGGGATCTTCAAGAAGCAACACGCAGCTGAGACGACCTTCTCTTGCTTCTTGAGCAGCTCGATGTGCTCCGCCATGTGCTGGTTGTCAGCTATCATGAACTCGACGGCGTCGCGGAATGCCTAAGCAGGTGCAGCAGCGAATCTAATACCACGAGGGGGCACTGCGAGATAACTGTTGGCCTCAAAGGCCATGGGAATGTACGGGTTTTCGATGCGCTTCTCCGTGTTGTTGTCCATAAAGAGGCGCATGATGATGTTGCCGTTGTCTCTGGTTTCCACGTTCTCCGCCTCAGCCCGTTGCTTGTTGAAAGTGCCTCCAGGCAGCGTCATAGCTCTCAGTGCGCTGCGAAAGTTGTCACAATGCTCTTCAACACCAGCAGCGTGTTGAGAGAGGACTGCTGGTTCTTCGAGAAGTTCTCATCCACGGCCTATGGGGCGGCCAGTGACTGCATCCTTGCAAAGATGATACGGTGGTGACAAACAGGGCTCCTGGATCAACTTTTCCACAAACTGCATGTTGATCCGCATGTCGCTGTTGGCAAAAACAGACCTTGGAGCTATCTTCTTCATGTCTCTCATGACTCTGCCTGTTGGGCGGAGTAGATCAAGGGCTGTGTCAGAAATAGGTATGGCAGCTGGTATGCATTGAACACCCGTGAGAAGGGCAAAGCCCGGCTCCGGCCCTGAACTCAACTTGTCCACTGCAGATTCCCCCAGGCTATGGCTACGGAGGCCGAGCAGTGACTTCCTCTAAGTTGGCAGGTCCAAGTTCAAAGCGTGTGACGCTGATAGCAGCTTCGGGGGTCTCATTGAGTGTGCCCCCCCATCCCGTTCACAGCCTGTCAAGAGCCCGAACTATCAATCTGCCTTGCACACGTAAAGCTCGGAAAGATTCCGCAAGTTAGCAATGTTGGGAAAAGGTGGGCATATGCAGCACATGCAAGCTGAATGGAGCCAAACGAGCGGACTGACAAGATAAGGCCTCCACACAAGCATCTGTGAAACAGGAACTTGCTCAGCCAGCGCAATGCAGGATACCAAGAACTCGAACACCTCGGCGCGTTCAGCCATCAACCAGATTGCCGAACTCTATCTGCGAAAAAGCCTGGACATCTGTGGTGCTGGCTTCCTTCTTGACAAAAAGCCCGCGGTAATGTGGCTCGCACTCGCAGAAGGACTTCAAGAACTCGACCTGATGCAGATGGCCATGGCAGCTGGTTCCCTCCTAGTCTGATGCCTTAACACACGAGGTTGGAGCTGTCGCGTGGAAGGCTGTGTACGCAGCTGAGTCCTTTGGAGCGGTGGAGCATGATGTGTTCAAGCCTAGCCTAAAGCTCTCACATCCACAAAGAGCGTGCCTCCTCGGCGTTTGAGTCATAGAGGAGGCTGTTTCTGAGCCGGTCCGAGGCTTTCAGAAGCTGCAGAACCCGAAGCGCCACCAGCTCAACCTTCTTTTGAAGTGACATGGTAACAATGTGCATTCTTCTGCTCTTTATGCTCTGAACTCTACATCTCTGGCTACCTTCCCGCCTTCTTGTAATGAATCAGATGACCATCGCCTTGCTCTGCCACGGCCTCAGCGAGTTCGACAAGTCTCCTCTGGACTCTGCGCGCATCTGCGCACCTCCGAGCTCTGAGATCCCTGTGAGGTCTCTGCTCCGAAGTGTCGGAAGAGTTTAATGAGCTGGTTCTTCGGACCTGGAGTAGGCCCCGTTGTGAAGGAGCAATGGAGCAGTGCTGATGGCAACTCCCCCCTCTCCCTTCTCCCGGTTCACGCCTAGCAGTGGCAGATGAGGTGTCAACTTCAACCTGGGCAGAGAAGCACCTTAAGCATTTTGTGTCAACTTTTGTGTGGCCCCCCGTAGCCGCACGTGGCCTGATGGTAATCTGCCGATCGTACTCCGGCGAGAAATTCTGAGGATCCTCTGCGTTGAAGGAGATGAAGAGCCTTTAATCGACCAAGAGTTGCCAAGAAGTCTCATGGCAACACCCTCCATTCTCAGTTCCTGGCTTGAAGGCACCATGGCAGAACTTTGCGTCAAGCTCAGTGATGACCTGCGGAACGCTAAACCCCAACAACACATTCAACTTCAAGCAGACCCCTTAGCGGGCCCGTATGCACTAAAAAACATCAAAAAACCACACGGCTTGCCGGGGCCAGTGTTTAAGTCATTTTTTGGGGGCTTTGGGCTCTACATGTTTTTTGGAGGGGGTTTGGGGGCTGAGGATGTTGGGGTTTAGGGTGGACCTTGCTAGCAAAACCTAGCTCCAATGCCTACAGTTATGTGAGAGACCGAAGTTCTGCTGAGCTCCCTAAGCCGTTAGAGCGCAGCATTAGGGATTTGTATCAACAAACCATCATGCACCCGCCCACTCAGCACACACGAAACCTCACCCCCCCCCCCCCTCACCCACTTACACTGCGCTCACCCATGCAGCCATCACACCATGCAGCCCCCAGGCGCTCACGTGAGCGTATCACTGCCTTGTCCGCTGTGGTACACTTTTAGCTTTGCCCTCAAATCTCTGAACGGGCTACTCGGCTACTCACTGCTAAAGGAAGCACTGCGAAGCCTGCAGTCTTGGATTTGCTAGACGACCGAACTCGTGATCTAGTTTACGGGAGCTCAACCCCCTTTCCGAAAAGAGAAGTTCGTCCAAAACTCCCCCGCAAGACGCGAGCTCAACTCAGCTTGCGGAATCTCTTTGTTTTTTTAGGAGGAAAACAAATCCTAAGAACCAATTGCGCGACATTTCGCCGTGATAAGCAAGTTCAGAGGGAAAGCTGCAGACAACACGGGGAGACCAATCCTGTCCTGTTTGAGAGTCCGACATCCCGAGTCTATAGAATGCAAAAACATCGGCGAACCCGCTTCATAGCCGTGCCTAGAGTCTTAGAGACATCGTGGGCTCGTCTACGTGGTGGTAAAGAAGTTAGATTGTTGCCTGAGGTTGAGGACACGCGGAGTCGTGCTCTGAAGCCTGCTGCGTCTCTTCTTCCATGTTGTCGTCACGGGGTGCTTCTTTCCAGTCCTCATTCCAGGCGCGTATTGGCCGTAATTCTCAGATATCCGTGCACCTCCTGCATATCAGCACCAGGGCGTGCACCGACGCCACCTTGCGGTAGTTAGGGCCAGTCTTGTCCGTGTAGAATGACATCCAAGCCTGTCGTTTTGCTCAAGATCCATGGTGCACATTACGGTGCCAGCCAGCCCTGAATGACCAGCCTTCTGTGTTGCAAGGTGATGACTCCGCCTTACCCGGTTCAACGCGCACACCGCCATGGGCTTGTCTGGTGTAAAAGCTGAATCGCGAGCCAGATCTGGGCGGAGTCAATGAACATTCCCGTCAGCGTGACCTCGATGCTTTCCGAAGCTTCCCTAAACAAGGTGGAGGGCTCTAGACCTTGACGGCACGTCTCCGAGACACGTGCATTGATGCACCAGATGCTGACCCGGCCTTGCGAGCAGAGACACGTCTGACACCCGAAGCCGACAGGTCAATCCCAGAGGTGTCACGGATTCTTGGGCTGCAGCGGGAGTCCACCTGATAGTGCCTTGAAAACGCCTTGATTTTCTCGAGCTTGGCAAGCTGCTGGTCCTGCATGCCGGTCACATCAGGTGTCACAATGTCTCCCTGAGCAAAAAGCTGGTTTTGAGGCTGGTGGAGGCATGGCCTTGCCTTCAACTGAACAGCAAAGGCCGAGTTCCAGCCTCAGCCAGCCAGGATTTTGGCTCTAAAAGAGGTCCACAAAACGAGCTCTGAAACGGCTGAGATGGGCTCCTTCGTAGATGCAGTCCTCCTTGAAGGCCTTACCTGCCTCGTCGGACTTCACGCGAGTGAACCATTGGTCCTGCAGCTATGCAATTATATTATATTATATTATATTATATTATCTTATATTATATTATTATATTGTATGATATGGTATTTTATTATATTATATTATACGATATTATACGATATTATACTGCATTATACTATATTATATTATATTTCATTTTGATTTTATTTTATTCTATCATTCTGAGAAGCAGTGCCCATTGCTGATGCATCAGGAAGCCATGTCGGCAAACGCTGTGCTTGAAACAGAAGGGCGCTCCCTGCCGACTTGGTATGTCAGATGCAGCACCGTGGTGTCCTTGGAAGGTCAAGCAACAATACGCACAAAGTACTACTGGTATCAATGATGTCTACAAGCAGTATATAATGTTGATTAATGTTGGTTAACGTCGTTGAAGCTGATGACGCCGTTTGTTGTGGCTCTGCAGCCTGGTCGTCTGACTTTCGGAATGCCCGTTGGGGAGCTGACGCTCTAAGAGAGGCCCATCGTCCAAAACGAAACTGTTGATGCCAGAAAAGCCGTTGACGCCATGCCGTTGATGCCGCCGACCGTTGACGCAGTGAGCGGTGATGCGGTTGATGCCGCGAGCATAGGTTACATACGGAGCACAAGGTCCAGCTGAGGGCGGCACTGGCTCTGCATGGTCTTTGTACAGCGACTGCCACTCCTCTTGGATGGTGTCCTGCGCCGACTGCAGCATCTAGCAAACCCCTAAAACCACAAACAGAACCCCCAAACCCCTAAATCCCTAAACCCCTGAAGCCCTGAGCCCTAAAACTAAACGCCTAAACCCCCAAGCACCCACAAGCTGACAGGCTGACACGTGCACGGGTGCTGTTGACATATTGTTCAATATTGACCCCCTCCAAAAGGCCAGCGTTCAATATGGAACCCCTCATACCCCGCCCCACCCCCCCCCCCATCCTATGATAGCTTCAGTAGCTTCCGGCTTTCCAGACTCCGACCCCACCTGATGTAAACGGGCCTCAGCAAGCAGCCCCAAACTCATGAGTTGCGTGCGCGTGCGCCTGCGTGCGCCGTGCGGGTGTTCCTGCATGTGCGCAGGTTCCTGCGCGTGCGCGTGTTCATGTCGAATTGCAGGGGTTCTCAGTCGAGGTTCGGAAACGCCTCCGCATATTCACATGTCCAGCAGCGTGCACAAGTGGCGCTGCAGATCTAGTTTCTGCAGCGCCACCTTGCAACACATGTGCATACTTGCACTAGGTGTTGCTTGTACTGGCATCAGGCGGTGCGCACAAGATTCTTCACTGGCCGTTTCTGCCTTTGTATGTAGCAGGCTCACAAAGGAACTTGACCAACTCAAGATGCCATGGACACAGGCACAGGAGCGAAGGCCTCCCGCTTGATGAGAAGGCCCTTCCCGCGACGCGGTCGCCCTACGTTGACGCGAACCACCTTGAATGATGGAAAGGTAGATAGAAAGGCTAAGGCAAGTGAAGGCAACATCCTCAAGGCTGCCTGCCCCATGCCATTCAAGATGATGCATGGTACCATTCCCTCCTCAGTGGGAAGTCGCTTGAGCCCAGAAGTGAAAGCCGTGCACCCTCTTAGACTCCAGCATCAACTTCTCTTCGGATGGCTCCCACTCTGAACCTCGTCTGCATGAATCTTGTCTTTTTGCCTGATGCCTCCTCTCACTGAAGTCCCGGCCCATCAACCACGATGAACATGGCTCTCTTGGCCTGCGCCATAGTGCCATCCATGACAACAATAGATCGCAAACAAACCGACTTCTTTTGATCACTCCTCGTCTGAGTAGTCGATCTCGACGCCCACTGTGCTGCCCTTCCTGAAAAAAGGTCACGTGCGATGAGGCCGCAAACTGCGAAGACTTCAGATGGGGCCCCCTGCTTGAAACCGCCAAACTTGTCTTCAATGCGATGTCCGCCTTACAGGAAAACACGCCACTTTCCGCCGAGAAATTCAGTCATGCAGCCGTGCCACTGATGTAAAGGTGCCCGAACTCGTCGCAGCCAAAGAACCCCTGAAAAATGATAACAGCATCTTCGAACAGCGGGCGAAAACAACAAGTTCAGGCTTGCAGACCTCAGCAGCTTGGGCACGTCTGTCTCCTGTGAGCCTGTTGTCCTCTCCCAGGTGGACTTACGTTTGATCTCAAGGGCCGGTGGATCTCCAACATTGCTCCGCTCCTCGCCGACGTACTTGGAGGAGATGGCGCCCACGTAGATGGGTGCCAGCAAAGCATCCTCACCCTGCCAAGGATTGCAACATCCTCCAACAAAAACCTTCAAACCACCCTGGTGGTCGACCAACCACAAAGGACTGCTACAACCAGCCATCCATGTAATCATATGTAATCTGCTGCACCAGTACGAGCCTCATTGTCGTCTTCCTCGCCAGTCTTGCAGACAGACTTGATATAGAAGTCGACGTTGACCACCTACAGACAAGCTGGCCGGCAGGGTCCACATGAGCACCCAGCCCTTTTCAAAGGCCTTGCCATCGATCAAGGCCATGCTGGACTGAGACAACCGGACAACAACGCCACTTGCCTGGCAGCAAGATGTGGGAGTTTACGAAAACAGGGGACCCTAAAATAGCTCCCCCGCTGGTAGGATTCCCTTATAGTAAGGACCCCCATAAGGCACCCCCTATTTTCGGAAACCCCCATGTAGGCAGCTCGTCTCCGGCTCTGTACGAGCCAGGCCTGATGCTTGTCGGTGTACTCAATGGTCCGGGAATCTTGAGGCTGCTTCTCGACGGTCTTGCGATCTCCTAAATCCTCAGCACGCATGATTGAGACTGTAAACGCAGAGAAGGATCTTCATGAACGAGGCTGCGGCATCTTCGCTGAACTCAATGCTGTCCGCAAAGCCGATCCTGTGATGCACAAGCTGCCGGCATCTCGGGTCAATGAACCCAACGAGTGAGAGACATCCCACCGGTCGTGGAACCAAGCGTCGTGTAAACCTCCAAGTTGGAGTCTCTGACATGGTCCATCACATCCTTCGTTCGTGCTTGAACTGGCGATCTGCATCTGCAGGGCAAGAGGGGGTCAGAGGGGGTTATACGTGGCAGGGGCCTCGAAATCCTTGCCGACTTTGTGCACCAAGTCCAGCTGGCGATTGGCCTCTTGTACCTGCACCAAGCTCCCTTCGCAGGACCCAAGCATCGTGCAGATCCCCATCATTCATCAACATGTCGACTTCGTGGGCTCACCCAAGGTTCCAGCGCTTCGAACTTGGGCTCATCACCAACCTTCAGCTCATGCCGTGTCTCAAACTCAACAGAGCACGATCTCTTGTGCGAGGAGCATGGCTGTCCTGCTTTCGCATGCTCTAAGGGACCAGGCATACAGGAGCTGCAGTCGCTGGATTGTCTCCAGAAAGTCCTGCGATTGCACAAGCATGAAGAGGCCGAGGCCTAGGCTTAGAAGACAAAAAATCGTTCCCTTCACTCTTTGCCAGCACTCTCTCAGGACCTCAACCTCACCAGCTGCCTACTGAAGGCCACAGAAGTGCCTGGTGTGGGGAGGGGTCTCGGGTCTCGAGCCCCCCTCGTCGAACCCCCTTTGAAAGGCGCGAGCATCATGACGTGTGGGGACCCAGGCCTAGACCTGCACCCCCAGACCTGCTTGGAAACTGCAACGTTGCCCGGCTCTGGGCAGCTTGTGTCACTCCGAGGTTTCAGATGGCTCATTGTCGCTGAATGTGGCTGAGTGCTAGGTTCTGAGAGACAAGAGAGACGCCGTGCGTTGGTGCAGCAGTGCGGGACCTTCCGGCGCCGGCACAAGCGCGAGAGAAGCATCACCTCGAAAGTGCGAGTTGGTGAGTGCTAAAGACAAGGAGATCTCCGACTATCCCTTAGCTGCCCTATAGATCTACACAGGCCATGCCATGAGACTGCGTGTGCACTTCCTTAGGCGGCAGACTGCAGCAATCGCTAGAGCAGAGTCATTCATAGCCATGAAGTCCAGCAGCACTTGGACAAAGGATGCCAGTGCCTGTAAGAGAAGCAGCATGCTGCATCTTCAGTCACTACATCTACTGCAGCTGTCCTGTCTGCAGGCCCGGTCGCCAGAATCTGGTGGCTGCCATGGCAGAGCGACCTGTGCTTGCGGGTTTCATGCGAGCGCAGCCTTCCTGCCTGCCTGCCTGCCCGCCTGGGGTGTGGGTGCGGGTGTGGGTGTGGGTGTGGGTGCGGGTGTGGGTGTGGGCGTGGGTGTGGGCATGGGCGCGGGCGCGGGTGCGGATGCGGGTGCGGGTGTGTGTGTGTGTGTGTGCGTGGGGAACCTGAGTCTCAAAAGGTATAGTTCTTTTTCTTTCGAGGGTGCTCTTTTCAGGTTATTAAATCTCTTTCAGCAGGGGGGCAAGGGCTCCAGTGACAAGCCTTGCCCAACGAAGCCAGTCACTGGAGTGGATGCAGTGGCTGATCACCACTGTGTACCTGGACATCATTTGTGACATTCTGAACAGTACAAGCTGTGCATTGTTTATCATTCGATGGTACTCGCTGCGCAATCCCAAAATCCTGGTTCGCCTTCCTCAATCATTAGGAGCGACAATCAGATGCTTGGGTCATCTTCGCACCTTGGATTCTTTTGTTGATCGGTGACTTGGACTGCAACACAGACCTTAATTGTAAACTGAGCCTATTGAGAGATTCACTGAACATTTTGAGTTTTCTGATCTCCCGGATGGAGTGCATTCATTGACGTGTCAGTCCCCCGAGACTGTTCGGTGTCAAGTGTGAATTGGCATGGCCTTCCCTCTTGGGCGCCATAACCGCGGGACATAAAGAGCCCGTATCCCTTGAGATGTCCTTCGGGGCAATGCCTGATTGGCTTGAAGAGAGCCCCGGAGAAAACAAGGCCCACAAAACCAACCTCACATCAGACACTAACTGTAATTTTTGTTTTGTTTTTGTTTAGTAAACCTTCAACGTAGGAATGAAGCACAAATCAAATCGCAACATTCACGCGAAGTGAGAGTGAACAAGAGTGATCTGATGAGCACTCCTGATTCCAGTGACCACTCCTGATTCAAGTGAACACTCCTGATCTCACGCACCGGACAGATGCGTGACCTACGTAACGACCTTTGATGTAGGTTCCTAGCTCTTTTCCTTGTTTCTTTGCTTTTTCTTTTTCTGTTTCTTTGCTCGTGGTTCTTTGTTGGTGTATTTGTTTATACTTGAATCACACACCGAAGCTCAGTGCTCAGTTCGACGACCTGGACTACGACAAAACGCTGCTCGGGACTCATTGGCTATCAACCTGGTAACGGCTGGTCGTCATGGAATGATGGGAAGCGAGAGGAGAAAGCGTGTGATCCCGATCTGCGGCTGGTGAGGGTGCATGTGTGTGGGGAACCTGAGTCTCAAAAGGTAAAGCTCTTTTTCTTTTAAGGGTGCTCTTTTCAGGTTATTAAATCTCTTTCAGCAGGGGGGCAAGGGCTCCAGTGAAAAGCCTTGCCCAACGAAGCCAGTCACTGGAGTGGATGCAGTGGCTGATCACCACTGTGTACCTGCTCAAAGACATCATTTGTGACATTCTGAACAGTACAAGCTGTGCATTGTTTATCATTCGATGGTACTCGCTGTGCAATCCCAAAATCCTGGTTCGCCTTCCTCAATCATTAGGAGCGACAATCAGATGCTTGGGTCATCTTCGCACCTTGGATTCATTTGTTGATCGGTGCCTTGGACTGCAATACAGACCTTAATTGTAAACTGAGCCTATTGAGAGATTCACTGAACATTTTGAGTTTTCTGATCTCCCGGATGGAGTGCATTCATTGACGCGTCAGTCCCCCGAGACTGTTCGGTGTCAAGTGTGAATTGGGCATGGCCTTCCCTCTTGGGCGCCATAACCGCGGGACATAAAGAGCCCGTATCCCTTGAGACGTCCTTCGGGGCAATGCCTGATTGGCTTGAAGAGAGCCCCGGAGAAAACAAGGCCCACAAAACCAACCTCACATCAGACACTAACTGTAATTTTTGTTTTGTTTTTGTTTAGTAAACCTTCAACGTAGGAATGAAGCACAAATCAAATCGCAACATTCACGCGAAGTGAGAGTGAACAAGAGTGATCTGATGAGCACTCCTGATTCCAGTGACCACTCCTGATTCAAGTGAACACTCCTGATCTCACGCACCGGACAGATGCGTGACCTACGTAACGACCTTTGATGTAGGTTCCTAGCTCTTTTCCTTGTTTCTTTGCTTTTTCTTTTTCTGTTTCTTTGCTCGTGGTTCTTTGTTGGTGTATTTGTTTATACTTGAATCACACACCGAAGCTCAGTGCTCAGTTCGACGACCTGGACTACGACAAAACGCTGCTCGGGACTCATTGGCTATCAACCTGGTAACGGCTGGTCGTCATGGAATGATGGGAAGCGAGAGGAGAAAGCGTGTGATCCCGATCTGCGGCTGGTGAGGGTGCATGTGTGTGGGGAACCTGAGTCTCAAAAGGTAAAGCTCTTTTTCTTTTAAGGGTGCTCTTTTCAGGTTATTAAATCTCTTTCAGCAGGGGGGCAAGGGCTCCAGTGAAAAGCCTTGCCCAACGAAGCCAGTCACTGGAGTGGATGCAGTGGCTGATCACCACTGTGTACCTGCTCAAAGACATCATTTGTGACATTCTGAACAGTACAAGCTGTGCATTGTTTATCATTCGATGGTACTCGCTGTGCAATCCCAAAATCCTGGTTCGCCTTCCTCAATCATTAGGAGCGACAATCAGATGCTTGGGTCATCTTCGCACCTTGGATTCATTTGTTGATCGGTGCCTTGGACTGCAATACAGACCTTAATTGTAAACTGAGCCTATTGAGAGATTCACTGAACATTTTGAGTTTTCTGATCTCCCGGATGGAGTGCATTCATTGACGCGTCAGTCCCCCGAGACTGTTCGGTGTCAAGTGTGTGGGTGGGTGGGTGGGTTGGTGGGTGGGTGGGTGTGTGGGTGGGTGTGTGTGGGTGTGTGGGTGTGTGGGTGTGTGTGGGTGTGTGGGTGTGTGGGTGTGTGGGTGTCTGTGGGTGTCTGTGGTTGTGTGGGTGGGTGTGTGTGGGTGTGTGACACGGTCGGAAGCACGAGAGCATGCAGAACGACCAGCCGGAGAGGAAGCGCCCAAAGACTCAGAGGAAGCTGGGGTCAAGACTTGTGCCAAGTCGGAAACGATCACAACATAGCTCGGCACCTGACGATTCCAGAAGCAAGACGTGCTATGACATGCTCTCTTATATGCTCTCTCATATGCTCTCTCATATGCTCTCTCATATGCTCTCTCATATGCTCTCTCATATCCTCTCTCATATGTCATATGCTCTCTCATCTGAGTTCATCCGCCAAGTGCATCGAACCAAAGCACATGACTTGAAATCGGCTTCCGGCCTCCTCGATGGCCTCCACCGTAATCGGCTTACCATGATCCGCCTTGTGGATTTGAGGACATGCAGACAGTTCATAGTCCAGAGATGTTCATAGCACGTGCCATTTTGTATTGCCTCCAGGCTGTTCTGCAAGTGTGGAGGGCGCTGGATTCCCAGGGCCATGTCTTTGACCTTGCTCTACAAAGAGCTGATGGAGCTGCCTACGGCCCCCCTGGTGGGTGTGGTTGACGTAACTCGAATCTCGGGTTGCTGCTGACTGAGGCAGGAATTCACGGAAGGTCTCCCTGGCTGCTCGCGTTTTTAAATGTCGCTCACACACACATGCAAACATGTGAGGTTTAATCGCGGCAGCTCCACATGAAGGATGTAACATGAGTGTTGACGCAAAGTGAGCAGCACATGTTCATCAGGCGGCAGATGTCTTTCAAGGCCTCTCGTTGCTCAGCGCTATCACGACATCAATTTTTGAAGGTCGCCAAGAGTCGCGCTGCCAGGTACAAATCCGTGGCCAAGCTCTTGTGCACCTGGCAGCTGTTGGCATTATCAAGACATGCTCACAACATGTTCACGCTCGGGCCATTCCAGGCCATTCCGCCAAGGCACTTGGAGCAAGCGATGCATGGCACCGAACAGCTCGGTCACCCATCGAATCTGGTAGCTTTGCACACTTCCGTCGTCCTGCACGGGGCTTTGTTCCGTAAGTTTCCTCTGATCTTGGGGGCGATGTTCACAAGCAGCCGGACTGCTCCATACTGCTCCCTGTCCCTGTCGTCGCTGTTGGCCTGGAGACCCCTGTCCAACCGTTCTTGCCTCAGGATCATGGCCGGCGTATGTAGCAGAGCTGCAATGCTACAACTGCGGTCGGATCATCCGGCTTCCCGCGCCTCTCCTGCTGTCGTTGCTCAGCCTCCATGCGAAACCGCTCAAAGTATCCCAAGCCTGCCGCCAAATGCCACGGGTATCTACCGAAACATGCATAGGCATGATGGACAAGGAATCGGAAGAACAGGAGCCTATCAATTTGGACAGCAGCATACTCAGGACCTGTTGCTCATTGAGCAGTGCAAAATGCCGAATGCTAATGAGAAGAGACTGAGCGCCAAACGCTAATCAAGTGGGCCATGCAGTCTGAGAAGTCTGTCCGTGGCGGTGGCCTGGGCAAGATATGACGCAAAGAAACTTGTGGTGAAGCCGGTAGTTCCAGAGGATCAAAGGCCCGTGTCGTAAGAAGCCCCAGCAGGACACATCAGAATCATGGGCAACTGTGCTGGCACAAGGTTTGCTGTTTGACAGTCACAGCGTCACCAAGACCGTGCGAGGCCCAAGCAACCCGGGACTCGCCATGTCGCGACAAAGCTCTGCCAGTGAAGCAAACTGCCATGAGCACATGTGGCCTCAGCAGTCAATTGCCCCAGTCACAAGAAATCTCCAGAGCAGTTTCAATGCGGTTAACCGCACCTTTAGCTGCCAAGGTCGCGGCAAAGTCTTTGCAGGTCGGTCGGCCTTGTCGCAATGCATCATACAGTGTATTGAGTAGAATTATTCTTAACGCTTAACTGTTAGCTGTACGAACTCTATACGAGCTGAGCATGAAACGTCAGGGGCGCGGATCCGCCGCCTGGCAGCTCCTCGAAAGCACTGTCCTGGGGCTGCCGATGCAACAGCAGGAGCTGCAAGTTTCAAACGCAGCTGATGTCTACAGCAGCAGGGCCCTTGCATCATCATCTGCCCGCGTGCCATCCAAGTACACCTGAAGACACTGCCCTGAGCCGCCTAAGCCCTTTACCCGATTAAAATGGAGGACAGGACAGCGCAAATTCAGCAGCTTGGGTGGCCTGTGTAATCACGGAGCTTCGGACTGACTCATCAGCAAATGGAGGCTGGCCTCCATGCCCATGAAGAATGAAGAGATTCCAGCAAGGTGCTTGCTCCACACCCCTTCTCTCTTTCCATGGAATGCCGGCTCTGAGATCTGCTCCCAAGATGGCATGCAGAAGCAATGCAGTGTGGGAAGAAAGCCTGCGCGCAGGAGATTCCAGCGCCAGCGAAATCGCGATCACGCTTGCTCTCCGAAGCGTGGCGGGCAGACGCTGCCAGGTCGCTCAAGTCTGCAGCATCCCGGCTCTCATTGATCTGGCCTGGGAAGGTGTGGGACCTTTTATTCCCTCTGCCCGCAGAGGCCCCGCAACTTTCCTGCAACTCCTTCAAAACTTACGCGTTTACCAACACTGCGCAGGAATTTGAAACGGTTGATCATGGTTGGCCTTGTTGGCGTCGTCGCTCTGCCAGGTGTGATGGGCAAAAGACCAGGCCGGCATTTCTCAAAACCTTCATCTCTTAGAGCTGAATGTCGATTTGGACTAGAAGGGCCACAATGAAACTACAGGAAGGTGCCTCACGCTGGATGAGCTGGCCACGCACAACGCTCGGCGGAATGACCCCCTGCCAAAGCTCAATGCTGCAGTGTCTGTAAAGCCAGTTACTAGTCGTGCCAGTGTTTGCCGCAGAGTCTGCAGCCAAGCAGTCCTGAAGGAGTTGTGAGTTGTCCGTGTTGCGATCTGCTGTCAAGTGGGCCAGCAAATTCACCAGCGCCTGGGATAATGCAGGAATGCAGTGGAACGCGTGACATGTTGCTTGAGCACGAGTTCCTTTCCAAACTGTGAATGAGCTTCAGGGTCTGGCAAAGTAGAGAAACCGGCATGGCTGAATCATCTGGTTCGGCTGAAGAATCTCCAAGTCCTCATGCATTGAGCATTCTCACACGTGCGACGCAGAGATACGCAGAGTATCCAGAGCATGAGCGGCCATTTGAGGCTACCACATCTCGGAAGTAGCCACGCCCTTCATAGCGCGGCGGCTGCGCTCGCTGCTGCATCCACAAGACTCTCCTGCCGTGCGCAATGAGCACAATGAGCACACAGGTAAGGCACATGCCCCAAGTCAAGCATACGGGTGCAAAAAAACAAAAAACATGCCAGCGGTTCGGGACCATGTTCCGCACTTGCTGCGCCAGCTCCTCCTCGTCCTCGACTTCAGGCATCTGCACCTGTGCGGAGCATTGCGGAGAGGCTGGGGGGTAAAACTATGTAAAACTCCAACATCCCGCTGTCATGGCCGCCTGTTCTAACGCATTCTCGAAATTGTCGAAGAAGATGGAGGTGCCGAGCTTCAGCAAGGTGAACTCGTCCTGGAGCCAGCCAGACAACGCATCCCTTGGGGTGAGGAGCACATGCTTGCAAGAGAGCCTTCTGGCTCATCAGCTGCTGCAATCCTTTGCCTTTGCCCACAAAGTGTGGTACCCTTTCAATCTCCGCCTGAGCTGGGCCATGGATGGTTGTGGCGTGCATGGAGGCACCTTGATGTGGAAACAATCAATGCGCAGGAACACGAAACCCCTTGAGGGCACAGCCCGAGCTTGCACGTGATCAGTCACTTTGATGCTCGTATTCGCCTCACTGCAACATAGCAACCCGCGAGTTCGCAGCATCCCAACACAATACTTTGTCTCAGCCCCCAGCCCAAACGTTGTTCGAGCACTCAGGCGCGGGTCGCCGTCGGATGCTCAGAGCCTGGCGCATTATGCACTAATTTTACTGAGACATTTTGGTACACTCTCATTTTAACACACAACCTGGAGCTTGCGGCGTGCCAAAAGCTGGACCTGGCCTCGCTGGTTTGTATCAGCTCCCGGGTGATGAAGTCCTGTTCGGATATGTGCGAAGCTGCAAAAGCGAGGCCCGCACAATTGAAAGATCTCAAGTCTGAAGGTACCACAACAGGCATCTCCGACAGGAAATGTTTTGAATGTGTCGTCCTGAATTTCGTTGATTGCGCTGCCATCGGGGCCTAAAGTCAATTCTGAGACGCACATGGTGCGTGCCGCAACGTCCCATGTCGGATCCCGCAACATACTTGCAAGAAGCGAAGCTCTCGGCCGATGCACAAGTCTGTCAGCAGCTCCAGGATGCGTTGGACAAACTTGACCCAGTAGTAGGGGTCCCTGAGGAGGAGAAGCATGGCTTTCGGTCATCTTGGGCTACTATGGCTACTCCTGTAGGCCCCCTGCTTCTGCAAGCTGTCCTTGTTCTGCGCAAATTCTTTGTACTCTTCCTCGCTCACCACGGTCTTCCTGCCAAAGCACACCATCGGGGTGACGGACTGAGGTGCAGCAACCGTGCCGCAAGCTTGCCTTCAGACAAACATCCGAGAGCTGAGAGCAGAAGAGCTTTGGCTACCGCTGCGACATAGGCTTCAAACACTCTTCACAGGATACTGGGAGGAACCTGAATTGCGTGCCTGCGGGTGAACAGCTTCCACAGAACATCCACGATGACTCTGATTCCTCCCAGGTTTTCCTGCGATGCATTCTGCAAACGTCCAGGGCATGTCGGTGAAATTTTCTTCTTGAGATGCAAACTCGTAAGCGAAGAGGCCTCTGCAGTCCCTGTTGTGCACTTCTTGCGAAATTGCTCCAAAACCTGCTGAAACCTTGGTGGACTGATCTTGTGATATGCTTCAAGAACTATCTTGTGATAAGCTTCAGCTACTGCTTTGGCCAGGCCCTGACTGGCCGAGCTTGATGGTGCAGTCCGTCTCCTCTGCGGAGTCTGCTGGCTGGGGTCGTGCCTGGCATTGCAAGGCAAAGAGAGCAGCAAACTCCCTGAAGAGAATGAGGACTCGGCAAAGGCCATGGTGAGCAGGTACAGGGTGTGAGCCTTGAAATTGGAAGACTCCTTCGCTCAATCTGGTGCAAGGCTGCGCAATACTCGGAGAAGCTGGCGGAGAGCGTGCTCAACAAGTCGGTTGTAGTCGCAACCTGCCGCAACACGTGATCACTGTAAAGGTCTCAATCCGGCACAAATCACGCATGAAAGTAGCAGCTCTGCAAACATCGAACATGCCGTTTTCGCACGAACTTGATTGAACAAGCACGAGTTTGGGGGAACGCGCAGCTCACAAGGACGTTTCACCAAGTGAGGGCCCACGCCTGACAGCAAGGCACCAACTCGGGCACCAGGTCTCTTGAGAGGAAGACGTCCTGCAACGGCCGTTCGACCATCAACAAACTGCCTTGTCATTCCCGCACAGGACGGTGAAAATTGGCCATGTTAATCCGGCGTAAGGGTGTCTGGCTTGCGTAGGTACACCACCTCTAATCCCCTCCCAAATGGCCCCGGACAGATGCACCCTTTGTTTGGTGGAATGGGTACCCCCCCTTGTCACGGACAGGTGTCCGGGAGCGGACGGTGCATCGGCATTTCAGCCCGACCAGGGGGTGGACACCAAATTCCCCCACCCCCCAACCGTACTCGCCTTCAACCCTACCCCCTCCTCCAACTTCCCGGCCGGTTTGGCTTTCCTGCCTTACCACTCCCACATTTGGGGTGCAGTGAGCCTGCGTGTTGCAACTGGACACCTGCGATCTCCGATTTGGGATGCCTTGCTGCGGGGCAGGGCGTGGGCCGCGGGTCGCGGGGGCTTTATTTTACTTTAAAAAATGAAACATGCTGAATATGGCATTAAAGTATGAATCATAGATGTCCGGCATCATGATTGCTCGTCGGGCCGCTTCTCGGCGCTCAGGAGTGTTCACCTGCAGATTACGGGACGAAATCAGGGATTCTTGCTACTACTCTGGCGCACACATATATACACAAGCACAAGCCCAAGCACAAGCCCAAGCACAAGCACAAACACAAGCACACGCACACGCGCACGCGCACGCACACATCCACGCACCCACGCACGCGCACGCACCCACGCACGCGCACGCGCCCATGCACCCACGCGCCCACGCACCCACGCACCCACGCACGCACCCGCACCCACCCACCCACCCACACACACACACACACACACACACACACACACACACACACACACAACACACACACACACACAGACACAGACACAGACACACAGACAGACACAGACACAGACACAGACACAGACACATACACAGACACAGACACAGAACAGACACAGACAACAGACCAGACACAGACACAGACACACACACACAGACAGACACAGACCACACACAGACACACACACCACACACACACACACACACACCACACACACACAACACACAACACAGACACAGACACACACAGCGACACACACACACACACACACACACACACACACACACACACACACACACACACACACACACACACACACACACACACACACACACACACACACACACACAAACAACACTTTGGGCAACTGGAACGAATCTCACATCTTGCCTTGGAAACCCTGCGTGAAATGAGTTCTACGGGGTCCGACCTGTTTTGCAATGTGGGGAGCCTATCCGCTTAAGGACGGACCGCATGCGGATGTCTGTTCAATGATGTGGATTTGGGCTTGTAAAACGTTCCATCATGGGATGGCACCGTGGGCAGCTTGGGGCATCCAAGACTCCAAGACCGTCGACAGTCCCACTTGCAGCTACACAGAGTTCACCTGCTCACAACATAACCTCTCTAGGCCCTTGGGCAAGGTCGGGAGATGGGCAAATGCCCCAAGCGGGATGTCAATGTGACATCTTGAAATGGCGCGCGTGGAATCAACTTGAGATGCGACTCCCTACCTACCTCCCTCCCTCCTTCACACACTCGCACACTGGAGGCTGATGGAAAGTACAGCCTGTGAGCAGTGCAGTTCCCCGGACCTCGTAGGGCGAGATTGTCAGGAGGCCCGCGTTTGCGGCGCTGTTGGTTTTGAAAGGCATGAGCCTGAACCGATCGATCATTCTCTCTTTGGCAAAACCTCTGACCGTCAATCCTTGCAACGTACTTTCAGCTGGGCTCTGCACAAGGGCAGGAACGATTCCAACTGGATTCTCACCTTGAACGGGCAAGCAATGACAGCGATGCAGATGAAAGCAAGATCCGGCTTTTCTGGAAGGTCCGTTACTTGTGTTGGGACTTCCCTAAGCTGTCACGTCCTGCATGGTGTCACCTCGACAAATATTTTGGAACTGCAGCCAGGATACAAAATCTTCATCTGGCAATGGAGGGGCCGTCTGCAGGGCACTATGCACATTCTCCACCCGCGGGCATGAAACACTTCAGTAGCCATGCTCGGCGCGGCCTGGTTCGTCAGAGCTCGCGTCACCTAGCGACTAAGTCCTACAGATCTGTTATAACGAACTCAAAAGTCTAGTACGCTCCCGGTCTCTCCCTAGCGCGGCCATCTGCAACGGCCACAGTTCCGCCGAACGTCTTAGCTTGGCCGCGCACGTTGTTTGAAGGGGTCGCAGAGACCGCCTGAGAGACCTCCGTACCCTTTGTGCTGCCAGCAATAGACTCCTTGGCAAATTGTGGAATGAGTTTTTTCAAAGGTGAGGGTCTCCTGCTGGTTAGCCCTGACATCCAGCCACGGAGTCCTTGCAGAAGCCATGGAAACTACTCTTGGTGCCTGGCCGGTCGGCTTCGGGCCGAAGTTGCCGCACGCGGTGAAGTTGCCGCACGCGGTGAAGAACCGTTGAAACCTGGGGACTCATGTCGGCAACCGCACTTCTGCGGGCTTCCGCAGCGTATGAGTGACAAACTGTCGCCCAAAAAAATTGGAACCAAACTTTCCAATCCACAATCTGTCGTCTAGACTACGTTGAAGAATATTGCCGGAATGGAAAAGGTGTTGCAAGTTCGCCTGCTGCGCTGCAGCTGCATTTGCCAGGCTGAAGCATGGTAGGCAACAGATGTGTAGTAGCACATGGTGCACTCAGAAGTGCCGTACTTGAAGAGCAATCGCCACCGGCAGAAGGCAGTAGGAGACTCAAAGCAGCTTGAGGAAGAATGATTCATTGTCCCGAACACGACGCCAACAAGGACTTCAGGTTCATGCATACAAAATACCTTCCTGGATTAGAAAAGGCAAGTGTCGCTAGCCGTGAGCTAATTATGACTTGACAATGCTTGCCCCCCCACAACTGGCATAAGATGCAGGCTTTGGTTTCCAGCAGCAGACGACGTGGCACCCGTTGCATTTCCAAGTGGGGTGCCTTCATCGACTGCTCCGTGACAAGTCTTGCTACCTGTACAACACTGCGCAATGTGGTGCAAGCTCAACGGCCTTCTCCTAAGGATGAGGTCGTCAAGGTGAAGTGGCTTGCACCAATGATGTTCTGGTCCTGCCGCTCTTGGCCAATCGCGGAACAATGCGAACTAGCATGAGCTTTGCCACCATGTGTCCTGCACTTGGTACTCATAATGCGGCTTTGAGATTTCGAGCCTTGTGCCCGTGCCAACATGCGCGCACCCTCAACCTCGCTGCAAAGTGAGAGACCAAGCCCGCCGCGCACGGGGTCGAGCTGGTTTGGCGCTCTTGGCGAGGCCGTAGAACACCTCTGCTGGAGCCCAGGGCTTCTCTTCACAGTCTGGTGAGCGATGCCCATCTCTGATTCGCTGGTGCAGGGTTTGCAAAGCTTGAGACCTGCAAGTGTGCAGTGGCCCTGTTGTCACCTGCAGCCTCGACATCCGTCACGAGCTTGTAGAGGAATCACGGATGTGTTCAAGTGTCCAAGGTGTGTCAGGTATTGGCCTTCTCTTTGGCCGCCGCATCGGTAAGTCCTCCGGCTTCCTGCATTCATAGGGCATGAAAACGAACCAGAATCGACCAGACGTACTTGCAGGGCATCGAAGGATCCTCGATCTCCTCGGCCTTGTCCGAGCTGCCCTGTTTGCTGCGGTCCTCCTCCTGAACCGCAAGCTATTCATGCTTTTTTAGACTCCTCTCAACCCCTGCCCCCACCTCCCTTTCAGCTGAGACCGAGCCTCGATCTCCATGATGAAGGACAGGAATGCCCAGCCTGGCTTCCCCGCACCAGGCGACTCGTGTGTGGGCACATGCTAAACTCATGCTAAGGCTGCTAAGGCCCCGCACCCTTTTGCTCCTTGAGCTCCTTCATGTCCTGCACAGTGCTTCCGGCTCCAAGGCAGCGCAGTGGTCCATTGTCATGCAGCTCTCCTTGAGTGGCCTCGGAGGTGTGTCTGCACCTCCTTTGTCAGTCCAGTTCCATATGCGGCGGCGCTTCTGCATATTGGCATTCCTGCGCAGCTACGACAGCGCTTGCTCTCAACCTCTTGGCTTTCTTTGCCTCAACCACCGACAGCAACCAACAACACGGTACACTGTCCTCAGCTCGCGGACCTCCTCATACCGCAGGCGCAAGTGGTCATCCTGCACCAAGCGCAGACCATCCCGCCGGAACAGGAAGGAGATCTGCTAAGCGTGCTGTAAACGGTTCCACGATTCCGCGCTCCACTCCGTGCAAACTTATTCCAAAGATGGCCTGCTGCTTCCGGACAATACGGAAAGATGCATCGATGGGAAGCACATCGTACCCCTCTTCAACCTTCCTCGGTGAAGAAAGGACGATGATGCATGGGACAGGTTTGACACCTAGACTCTAACAGCTAGGCGATTGCTTCCGAAGAGGTCTTGGCTGAGGATTCCACCGCTTCAATTCCAGGGTAGACTCCGACGAGCTGTGGCCTCTGCGTCGCCACGTCAAGCATCAAGCCATCTCACAAGGCAAGAGCTGGGGCGAGAGCAGTCCCACTCGATGCGAATTTGTGTGGAGATGCCCTTGTCCATTCGAGACCACACTGAGAATGAGAATGCCTGTGACAAGCAATCAGAACAAGCTTTTGAGAGGAGAAATGTACTGCGCGAATGGTAGGTCAGGGACCCTCTCGCTCCGCGAGGGGAGGAAGAAATGTTCACGCTTCTCGTCAGCTTCCGCCCTGTCAGACTGATGAATTTGAACTGCGTTCGACTGCATATGACAGCTGGTAGCAATCGGAGTTCCGTGAGCCCAGCCCTGAGTTCTTCAGGTATGTCAGGATGCGGTAGTCGTGATTCAGCTCCTTGACGTCCTGGCTGACTGGGATGAGTGCCCCCCCCCCCCCCCGGATGCCAAGCTCATTCTCATCAGATGCCACTCATTGGAAATCATAGGAACTTTCCCGTCCTGCTTCTTGGAATTGATTTTCGGCAAGACTGGGCCGTACGGGTGCAGTGCCTGGGCTTCGAGAATCTACACGTTGCGCTGTGCCATTGCGGGCATCTTGCACCGGCTGTGGCTTACAGACCTAACGAATCCTAGAACGCTCCAAACCGTCAGAGATCGTCAGAGCTGCTGTGTACATCACCTCGAGCACCTCGGGTTTTGTGCCGCTGTCACAGGGCCATCGCCGGTTGGCATGTGTTTGCATGATATCTCGCACATCCCGACGCCATGCACCCTTGCATCGTGCTGGGAGGCCAGCCCTGGACCGCATTTTCCGGTTGCAATTCATTGTGATTGCTCGCAAAGACTCGACCTCGATGCCGTTCGCTGGATGCGACGAGCATCCAAGACTCTAAGGCTGCTAACTGATAACCCTTGGGCTCCTGCCATGAGCGTGATGTCAGGATGCAAATCCGCCAGAAGGGACTGGCCAGCAAGCTCGCCCAGCAGAGGTGCGTTTTGCGTGCAGAGGCTTTTCAACCGAACAGCTACAACAACACCATTTGCCGTTGTTAGGACTCTGTTCATGACATGTAGCCTGGTCATTGATGCCAATGTCAACTTCCACGTTCCGAAGCATGTCCTGGACAAGCTTCCCGACAATTCGACAATTCGATGGGCACAGCCACCAGCTACAGTCTATGAGCGGCGGACATACAAGTCTCGCAGGCCATCACCCTCATCGAACGCCAACATCTGGATGAGCGGAATGCAGTTGGTCGTCGGAAACCTACGCTGAAAGCCGTGTGACCATGGACGGCCCTGTCCCCACGCGCAGTCAGGATATTCACCGAGGCTTGCGCTGATCCTGCATGAGGTTGGACAAGCACTGACAGCAATTCGAAATCGAACCTGGGCAGCTCGATCAAGCGGATCAAGCTAGTGGATAATGGGACCGGGATGAGTCTGGCAACTCGCACATCACTCACATGACCAGTCTTGCTCGAAGTCTTTTCTGAGCAACTGACCACAAATTTCTCGGAAGAGTCGCGTGCTCGCCGTGTACGGCAGCAAGCGGTATACTGGCATGGTGTGGCAATCACTGGCAGTCACTGGCAATCACTGGACAACTTTCACGCTCGGCAAGACCTGATTTGTACAGCGTGTTGGTCTGCGGATTGGTGCAGAAGCCAGGGATGTCGTACTGGAAATTGGCTTTGGAGTTGGCAAACCTGCACTAGTTGCCCTAAGGCTCTGCTCGCCGTCGTCGCTCCGTCAACTGAGACATGCAAAGCAGATGAACTCGACCTCGGCAAGAAGTCCCGGATGACACTGAGGATCCGCATCATTTTTGGAACCACCTCTCAACTGCAGAGCCGTCATCCTAGACCCTGGATTTTGAGTCTAGGGCTAGGGTACGGTCCGACAGAACGTGATCAACTCACTGAATTTTGGGGCTCCAAACAAGAATGGGGCGAGGGGTGCTTGGGGAAAGTCAGTGGAGTTTGGGCTGAGAGTTGTTGAGAGTTGAACAGGGCCAGTTCTGGCCTCGAGCTGGATGAGTTGGGAATGCTCCTCTGGGCTGGTAGTGCAGCAGATGTACTTCAAGACCGAAGCTGCACCTCACGAAGCTCATACGCTTGTCTGAAGCTATTTGCGCGAGCCTGGCGGTAGCAGTACTCAGGACAAGGCTAAAGCAGAGGTTCAAGTCAAAGAAGAGCTCCTGCCAGGAGCAAGCAAGCACATTCAGCAGCCAGAGCCCACCCCGAAATGGCCACTGCAATGGGAGGCTAAAACAGTGTCCCCAGTGTCACGGGCATCTTCTTGCCCCACAGCCTGTCGAAAACCAGCTTGGGGTGAGTTAGGGCCAAGTCAACCGGGCGTGCACTGCCCTGTGGCCTCCAAGCTCGAATCCATGGGTCGCAGGACTTGGTGCATGGTGCTGGCCTTGCAGTCTGAGGGAGATGACGGATTCGGCGCACATCCAGCTTATGAAAAACCTTCACCAAGGCGGGGTTCTGTTTTAGAGCAAGCTACTGGCATGGCATGCCTTGAATGAGAGGCATGTGCCCCCCATCTTGGCACGAGGGGGGGGGGGGGGGGGGGGGGTTCCTCGTGCGCGTGATATGTTCGCATGCACGAGGACCTGGCTCCATGCTTGTCCTTGCCACCACTGCCAGTACCCTTGCTCATTACCTAAGCTGGCCCAAAACAACTCAAGAGGCAAACGCAATTTGGCTGACCCCAGAATGATCGAGGCTGAGCGGCGCCTTGGGTGAACGTGTCAGTGGATATAATCGAGAACCGCATGCCTGTCATGAGACCATCTCTGTTGCAATCACCGATGTCTCGTGCTGACATCTCTCAGGGAATTCCGCCTTGTCGAATGATTGTGAAAATCTTCGACTTCTGCTCTTTGCTTGTGTCGGGCCTGGATAGTAGCCTCAGTCCGTGCTTGCTCCCCGCGTGGAGGCTCTGCATTCAGTCTGCCATGGAAGGTGCTGGATCTGACTCTGAGCTTCGCACTCAAGCAGAGGACGCACGATTCGGACAGAAGCCTCTCGGAATCCACGACGGCAGGCGCAACGTAGCGTGGCGACGCTCTAATGACAAACATATGACAGCTTCAACAATTTCGGCATTCCGTGCATTCGGCCTTCAGGCCATCCTCTGCAAGGCGAGAGTCAGGCTTCAGATACTTCCACAAGATGTCTGCCTGAGAAGCTGGGATCTGCTGGGGCTCAGTGAACCAAGGCATGGAAGTGCCCAACAAGTCCTACTCCAAATCCTTGGGAAGTCTTTAAGATTGTCTGGGCCAGCGGCAAAGGCGATAAGAGATCCTCGGCTAGGGTCTTCTTGGATCCGCGACCGCAATTGTGGATATGGCGGTTTCCGAAATTGGGGTACCATATTGGGGTCTTTCTAAGAAGGGAATCCTACGATTTGGGTTCCACTTTTCCCCTATTTTCGTAAACCCCCTAAAGGGTCGGCTAGCTTCCTCGGAAGAGGACTTGAGACCAATGTTGACAGGCTGCGCTCGGCGGACTCCGGCTGCTGGAAGGTCTGCTCCATGCCTCAACCAGAAAAAAACAAGCTGAGACAGAACAGAGCGATTAAACCAGGAGGCAACACAACAGTGGCAAGGGCGAAAGCATGCGCGAGGACCCGGGTGCCCCGGCTCATCAGTGTCTTGTCTATGCTGCCTCGGGACATCAGGAGTGACGATCACAAGTTCTGCGCATGGCTAAAGGCGTCCAAAGTGCTCTTGGAGAACAGTCCAATATTCTTGGGCATCGTGAGCAGTTCCAGGATCGCCTGAGTCAAGCGTCGCGACTGTTTTGCAAGACGCGTGCAGCAAACCGGGCTTCCAAGCCTCGCAAATCGCCTGGGCTGTGTAGGAGTCCAAGGAGTCCATGAGCTCCTTGGCTTCTGAAGGCTCCCAGGACATGAACTTCTACGTGCTTCGTGTCCTGCTACCGAATACAAGAGCACCCGACATCTCAAATTCAACATACCACGAGTACCTAAGGCCCTGGGTTCGGGCGGTTGGGAAACAGCCGGCCACATATTTCCGTATCTGTCAACTGCATGAGCACATGGCACAATGCATTCCTAGACGGTGTACTCCTAGAGGTTTAGATGGGGAGGGATGGGACCATGGTTCGGTTCGTGTGGACACTGGCTGTAGCATCCATGTGCACCCCTGCCTTCTGCATTCCAGGTTGATCTTGCTGCAGCTCAGCACCGGCCAAGCCACCACCGATTCTTCTACCCACCCACCACGACAGAAAAAAGGTGAGAAGCCGAGTGGGGACAACTAGATAATCTTATTCGCTTCGCTGTGCACCAGTTCGAGGAGGGGGCCTAACTAGCATAACGTTCCATGGGTCTGCCCCACAAGCACGAGCAGCCGGGCTGCGATCAGGCGCTGCCTGGCATCCGACATTCTCGATAGACTGGCCTCACAGACGTTCATGTGGGGTAGACGCCGCGGTAGGTAGGGGTACCATGGTTATGATCTGCCAGCCTTCGTCATCGCAACCAGACACAGCGCAAAGAACCGCTGGATTGGCCGCAGCCTCCAACAAGGGCGGTGGAGGTCGCATCACGACCCCGCGCGCATGCGAACTCAGGAACGCAGCCAGGTCAGAGCGCAGCTCTGTGTACTTTCTTTGCACTGGGGCCCGCACTTCTCAGCAACACGCCCGTAGGAACCGGAGCCACGCAGAGCCGCTGCAGCGGCTGCCTCGATGGAAATTCTGACGTCGAAGAGTAAAGGAAACCGCAACCGAAACCAAGGGGAAATCGTAGAAACCACTGTTTTAGGGCTTGTCCTCAGAGGTTTAGGGGCTTTAGCTTCGGTTGCGGCCTCTGGCCTAGTTTCCGCTGTGCCCCTTCCTCATTTCGGTTTCGAGCCTAGGCCCCAGTAGTTTCCGTTACGTCATTCACTCGATATCGAAACTAAACAGGGCTTACACATGCCCTACAAGAAGCCTCAGCTACTCAGCTACTCAGCTACAGCAACGGCGCCTCGGCATTGTCGTCCTTGGAAGCATCGATGTCCTGAAGCTCTGCCACTTGAACGTGGCTCATGCCGCGGACAACTCTGCCCCGGGGTCCTGCCCACCATTGACGACGGAACCTGGTACGAATCAAAGAGTTTACTGCGGGCCTCAGAAGAGCGAAACTTGGGATCTTGCCGTCTCCGATGCCCTCGAGAGTTTTCCCGGCAATCCGAGCAGCACGTGCCCAGCCTTGGCGTCGGGGAGGCGCAGATGCCACTCACAAACAGTCCACAGATCTGTTTGCACGGTCGAAAAGAGGAAACTCAGCACAGTACGCAGAACATCTTCCTGATAAATCACGGTCTTGGAAGGGTCTTGCCTCAGTTCAATGTCGGCCCATGACTGCCCAGCAGTTGAGTGGTCTGTTACGAGGCCAGCGGCTGCAGGATCACCAGCTCTTCCGGAAGCGCCATGCCTGCCAAACATGAGCACATTCCTAAGCAACGGCTCCCAATGCAAGAAGGTCCATTTGAAATAATTACTTCGAGCATGAATGCTCCACACTGCTCAACATCCGAAACCTATGGCTGCTGGGAGGCCTTCTACGACCTCATCATTTGCCCCATCTCCTCCGGTGTCCTGCAAGGAAGCATGCCCGGGCTTGCGCGCTGGCCACGCTGCGACTCGGATTCCTCGGATTCTGTCCTGCTCTCCTCTTGCCAGCGCCAGCTCCTGCAGCAGCTCCTCCTCAATGTCTTCCACCTTCATTGGGTGACCACATGTGACAACACACACACACACACACACACACACACACACACCTGCACAGACAACTCTCCAGTGTCTAGAGAGGCATCTGCTCACGTCTGAAATTTCGTTTGAATCTCCAGCGGCCTGCTTGAAGATGAACTCTGCCACCTTGGGCTTTCTCAGGGGTGCTCTGGTACTTTTGTACATAGTCCCAGCCAATTGTTCGCAGTTTCTCTTTTCGAGCTTCTTTTTCGAGGCTCCGGCTGTCTGGCTGCGGTTGGGAATGATGGCGAAGGCTGCAGTGCCTTGGGGGTGCAGTGAGGAATAGGGGGACTTGGCTCGGTCACATGCGATCCAGCGGCAATTCAGCTTGACCTTCTGCTCCGTCATGTCCTGGCACGGATGGCAAGTTAAGGCTTCGGAGTAGCTCGAAGTGGCACATGTAGTGGCACGCCTTCATGACCATGTTGGTGCAGAGCAGCTTCAGGATGACTCGCGGTGGCTCATCCTGGAGCCTGGTGGCTTTTAGGGATACCCAGGTCAGGTGCAGGGGGGTTTCGTCTCATTCGTCACTCAGAAGTCGAAGCGAAGTGTCAGCCGGGCTGCAGCTCCGCATCCTCTTGCTCGAAAGGTTCGATGGCGCGCCCGCCCATGAACTGCACCTCTGCACTGGTTCCGCCGGATCCAAGGCAAGGCTGAAAAAAGGTCTCGAATCTCTGCCTGGTAGTAGATGGAGTCGGCGAAGTCGAGGCTCCTTAGACCGTTCGAGACCTTTCGATGCCCTGGATGCCAGATTGTAAGCCTCATGTCATCCTGCACCTACACTGAGCCCTGCACTTGCACAGGATCTTGTCAGCTGTGGTTCCTTCGTAACGCTGTGAGAGTTCCTCACGGGAAAGGAAGGACAAGCAAAATCCAGAGGAACAGCGACCATATGCAACCTTCAAATAGTTGGACAGTTTGGGCAAGCAGTGCACTGCGTCTCCTCTCGCATCTCCTGCAATGGACAGTGGGCGTCGGGTGGCATAGGACGTAAGACAGGCCAAAGGCAGCTGGACTGCAACCGGCCAGCTCTCTAAGCTATGGTTCGCTTTGGGGTAAAAATGTTGTAATGCTCCCCGTCTTGTATTGTAGGAAACCCAAAGGAATACCAGAACTCAGGGCAGCTGCCTCACCACGCTTGGGCATCGGCTTCGTGTGGCACATCACGACTACACAAGGAGGAACCTGTCCAGATGCGTCTGAAGCTTAAGAGTTTAACAAAAACTCGCCATGACGGACCGGGACCCCACCATACCCTGCAACTCTCCTACTCGTCGGATATTCCCATATGAAAAGTCTTGGGTTCATCGGCATTGCCTACACTCGGGGCCTCACGGCTCTTCACTGGCTGATCCAGCTCGGACTCGCTGTGTGAGATCCAGATGTAAATCCTGGAAGAGCACCACGTAGAATACTAAAGTATAGTAGAATATGTTATTGTATATTGTAGTATAGTATCGTATATTAAAAAGTATTATAGTATATTATAGAATATTGCATTGCCCCGACAAAGCAACTTGGCCGACTAGAGACTCTGCTTGAGGTTTCCAAGTTACAGGTCACAATTAGGCGCTGCAAGACAAGCCAGGCGCACTCGTTAGGGTTTGTGCAGATAGGATAAGGCTGCTCCTTGTCCTGCATCAGAAAAGAAGCATGGGACAGGCCCTCTAAAATGCGGGGAGCAGGTCGCAACGGGTCCGGCTGCCACAACTTGACCTGGGTTCTCACCTCGATTGGCAAGGATACTCCTTATGACTTTCTGGACACCTTAGGGCCTTCCACACCAGCTGCCACTTTGTCACTAGGCCGGGGGCATTCCCCACAAGCGGCGGAAGCGGTATGCACTCCACTGCAATTCCCGGCCTCAAGCACGTGTGGTGCAGGTGCAAGGGGCCTTCTTTGTGTACGAACGAAAGCAGAAACCCTGATGTCGGCGCGCCAGGGCAGCCAGGTACCATCACTTGATGGAGCTTTCGAGTCGTCTTTTCAAACTTTCAAAGCCTGAGCTCCTCACGCCCCTTGAATCTGGAGCTTTCGAATGCGGCTCACTCCCTGAGCATGCTCGGGCTTCATGGCCTCAAGCCACGACCAGAGGGGCATTCTTCTGAAACTGATGTCAAGCCTAGATTCGAACTCCTGAATCTACCCAGGAGCACGCAGCTGCCGAGCTGTGATGATTTCTGGGTTGGCGGCATCTGCCAGTGGAGGAGCCAGCAAAGGGCGTGTTTCCTGCAATCTGCAGCACAGTGTTCGACTTGTGCAAGGCCTGTACGGTGCTCGGGTACGTGTCCTGCATCGACTTCACACAAGATAGACATCCATAAAGGATCTTGCCAATGTAGAAGCGTTCTTCCGCGGAGATCTCGTCCTGCAATCCAGCAGGTTTCGCCGGACAAGTTCAGGGAGGTGTCGCTTGGCCCCGTTTTGACATCAGCGCATCCGTACCAGCAGGTGTGTCAGCATGCAACAACCTAGCTTCATCATGCTTAGCCATCCTCCGAGTAGGACGTCACCGTCTCCATCAGGCGGGTCTGGTCACATTGCTTCAGCCTGCGTGTTTCAACGGCAAGCGCTGTCGATGTTGGCTCGGCAAGCATTGTTGGCTGAGATCAGGGCACAAAGCCCAACAGAGTCTCGTAAAGGCCCCGAACTCGTCGATCACCTTGCTGCATGACCTTGGTCAAGCAGCATTAACAGTCAACAGTCCAAAGCTGCGATGATCTCGTACGTGTGCAAGTTAGGCTCAAGACCATCTCCATGAGACGCTTGAAGTGGTGAGATCTCGGCATACATATGTATATGTATGTATATATATATATGTATATACATACAGTTACGCGACTACAAATTCTATCGTTATGCAACTTTATAGCTATACGTATGATCTTTCAGATGCCATTTCTGTCGTCCATTCGTTCGCTCATGTTCCTTTATTTCCTTTTGTTAGGCATCAGAGACTCTCGCCCGGTTTCTCTCTGACTGGGCATGGCACTGGCACATGTCCTCGGCCCATGTCCTGCATTCTGCAGGGCGACGACAAGGTGAGAACAAGCAACGCGGTAGCTGCCACTGCGCCTTCGAATCTCAGCCGTTGATCGAGAGACCAGTCGAATCAACAGCTCCAGGGTTCTCGTCCTGATCCAAGATTTCATCGGGCTAGCACGGAATTGTCCACTCACAGAAGACGGCTTCTCTGATGAGGTCCAAGCACTGTGAGGCTTTGCGAGCACGACAGATACATGAAGAACGTGTGCACAGCATTTGCCTCAGGCAGGTTGCAAAGCCAACGTCACCCGGGCACGTATGTGCCAACCCTTCTAAAACTCGCTCGATGCACCTCGCTGCCTATGCAGTCTCGTTTCCACCACTCACTGTTCGAGTAGACAGGCCTTCGGATCAGCCATGAGTTCGACATTGCGGCGGATCTCCACCGATGTCCTCAGCACCGGAGAGAGTGGTTCTGCGTACTATAGAGTGCAAAACGGAGGTTCCGACATCAGTCGCTGCGTCACGTGGGGAGCGCGGTCTTCGAGCCGCGCCTTGCAATCCAATTCTCCTTTCCATCGCTCTCCCGGCTCCCTCCCATTGCTTCATGTCCGAACGCACCTTGTCAACCGTTTGATCCACCTGTCCGGAATGGCAAGAAACATGCACATCCACCAAGGATGCAATGGTTGAGACAGGATGCCGGGTCCAAAGGTGGAGCTATCAGATTCTTGATCAGCTCCAGTCGGATGCTGTCCTGCACATGGGACTGGCGGCTAGATGATGCCAGGAGTGCTGGTCGTGCTCGCGGCTCAAAGTTACCCTGGTGGAGAAAGAACGTGAAAGAGATCTTTCGACTCAAGAAGCTGACCCGGAAGTCCTCGACTCCTTTTTCTCCGAGAGGGGGCTCCCAGTTCAGGATGTTCGTGACCTGGGCTGCAAGGCAGGCACGGCCCGTGCAATCGTCTGCATGGCTGAGCTTCATGGCAAGCTCCGCAGCTGCGGCGAATGTCGATGCCTTCCAGGGGTAGTTTGTCTGCTGGAGCTGATCAGTGGCCTTTGGCCCCCTTGCCTCTTGGCACGTCTGCAACAGCCGGTACACTGCCTGCCCCACTCACCACCATGAGCTACACATGAGCCCCCCCGCTTTAAAAATCGCGTATATACCCAAAAAACGATGAAGAACGTGTGACGATTCTTCGGGTTCCTCCACGCGACGTTCTCGCCCAGGCGGTGCCTCGGTGGAAAGAGTCAGGGCACTTCAACTCTCCAAACACCCCCCCAAACGTATGCAGAAACGTCCTTCCTTTCCACTCCTTCTACTGTACTGTACTACATTTGCTACATTATCTACATTTTCCCACGTTCTACGACATTTTGCTTCCCACTACTAGCTTCTTTATTAGGTTCTCCTCCTCTCATATTCCTCGGGCCACACCTCTGGGGGCCCGCGCTGCCATAAGCATCAGCACGACGCGCCGCCTGAGAATCGAGCTAACGAGCTCTGCTTCGCAGAGCAGAGGGGGGGGGAGGTTGGCGCGTAGAGGGAAGAGAGAGAGAGAGAGAGAGAGACAGAGAGAGCGAGAGCGAGAGAGCGAGAGAGCGAGAGAGCGAGAGAGCGAGAGAGAGAGGGAGAGAGGGAGACAAAAGGGATAACATGGGATGACTCTGTGGCGAGCATCGCTTAGGCCCATTCAGCTCATGCTTCAGCCCCGCACAGGCCGGCCGTGACCGCCGGGTCCGCCAGGTTACGCAGGGCGAAGACGGCGCTCCGGCGCTGGGCCTCCCGCCAGACTGCATTCGAGGGCAAAGACCACGAGTGACTATGCGTGATTGCACTTCTGTTCATTGTGTTTTTTCATATGATTCACAATGACTCACATGTTTCCCGAATGATCCGAATGGTTGGCGACATGTTCTTTAGCTCGAGGGTCTGGAGCGTGCAGATAGGGCGCGATTCCCCGGCCCACGCGCAATCCTTATGAGTGTCGTCATTTTGGGACCCTCGGTCGTATCGCTTGTTCGAGGTCGCGGTCCCACGGGCATTATCGAAATTCGAAAACGCCCATGGCTGGCGCTGCTTGCAAGATCCTGTCCTGTTTGCCGATGTCGCAAGTCTTGCTGCACGACTTGCCGCACTTGTACTATTGCCGGCTGATGCTTTGACTGTTTGCCAACTTCCAAAACTCAACTATTGCTCCGTGTCTATTTTACGAACTGTTCTACGTTGAGCCCTTGTCCTGTGGCATAAGGGCCCTTTGCTGTCTTTTCCGCCGCGCACGCAGCACATCCAGACCGGAGCGCAGAGTTCCTGTGAAAGCCATTGGAATCTGCGGCACTCGACGTTTAGATCACACCGTCCAAACTTTCTGCTCTTCTGTCCTTGTGTCGTGTTCTCTTGTCCGGTTCACGTGTCGTGACCGCATGTCTGTCGCTTCTCTGTCGCATCTTCATGTCTTGATGTCGTGTCCTCACGTCATGACTTGTTGCCGCCTTTCTGTTGTGTTGTTGTGTTTCCTCGACTTCAACAAGCCTTGCAAGACGAGCACTTGGGTTCGCATTGTCTGGTGGCCTCGGAGCCGCCGGACAGCAGCTCACAGAGCACCTCCACGCCCTGCCTCTGGGCCACCACCTTCAGCGTGGTGTGTAGGGCCAGTGTAGGGCAAGGGCAAATGCCCTGAAACGGTACCCTGGTACAGTGAGTGGTGCAATGTCATGTGACTCACCTGGCGGGTGTCGAAGCTGGCGCGAACCGCCACTGGCATGCTCAACGGATTCGGAAGGAGGTCGATGCCGCTTCGCCCCAGCTCCTCAGCTTCCGCAGACCGCAGGCTAGCACTAACGCAGGAAAGGCTGCTGCCCCCCAAGACTCCAGCGGATTCATCGAACTCTTCGTGTGTGCTTTTCCAGGCCATCAGCTCCTGCCGCGGTTGCTTAGCGTCGCAGAACTATGATATGGCACCGCCACTACTTCAGCATTTACTCCCGAGCAGTTGCCTCACGGCGTTTGTTGAAGAGCGCTTCATTCGGCTCAAGGGACTTAAAGCCGAAGATGTTGACGCCTCAGAACACTGAAAGACTTAAAGAGTTCAAAGTTCGGCGCAAGACTGAAGTGAGGAGCTCGCAGTAGATCCATGCGTGTGGTATTTCCCTGGCGCGTTCGATCGATCTCTCAAGCGATCAAGCCAGTGCAAAGACATCGTTGGCTAAGCTGCTGCAAGCCCTTTTAGATCACCATAGGCACACAGGTACATGACATCAGCACAGGCCGGTTTGGCGCTCTGTCGAACTCCCAGCCCGGGCAGCCGATGCAAAGGTCAGCAGTCCCGTAGGAACACATCAGCCTGGCGAAGAGGCAAAACGCCCTCCAGCCGTTCTCCTGCTGACTCGGGCGCCGAACTCTAAGTTCCGGGCTGGATTTCATTGGGTATTTCTTCTGCCCATGTCAGCTCACCTGGTCTACCATAACAATGGCCTTCCTGGCCAGTACTTGGCCGGGCTCACTTCGTACGGAGCCGAGTGATCGAGGCCACCGCCATTGACCGCAAGGCTCAGGACGAAGTGGTCCAAGCAAACACACAAATGGGTCCACTTGAAGCCTGAGCATGATGGCTCCCAGAAGCAGCTGAAGCTCAGAACACCACATGAACCGCATGGACTCACGAGTGTAGGATCAAGACATTCCATGGGTCTGGTCTTGATCACAAACTGATGTGGTGCCGCGTTGTGCGTGAACCTTCATGATGTTGGTCGGGAGGATTCAGTTGCTAGACTTGCAGAACCGGCTATCCGGGCCTCAAGACGATCGGGTGAAGACCTGGGCAAGTCCAGTGCACATCGAGAAACGAACTGAAGCTAACTCAGCAGCGTGGCCTGCTCGGTTGCCCAATGTCCTGCCAACAGTATGGCTGTGTTCGGCTCTGATACCATTACCCTTGATGCCACTGGAAGTCTCCGAGATTCCGGCTCCGAAGATGAGATACCCACAGCCATCTGGATGTCGCTTGCCTCCACTTGTCATGCTTTGGGAGTCTCAGATGTCTGAAGTCTGAAGTCTGGGTGCAGTGCCGTGAAACCCTTGTAGACCATCCAAGCAACCTGATGTTTCGAAGGAAGGCACCCCTGGATCCAACTGCTTGAAGTAAGCAGCCCACCTTTCCTGGACTGTTGAACTCCTCGTTCAGGTAGGTGTGAAAGCTGATACCTAAGGAGATTTCTCAAGGGGGAACTCCCAGCACATCCCAGCAGCAAAGCAAGGTGCTGCGGTGCTTTCAGGCGGCTCCAAGAGGTACTGCCGCGCGCAAACTCACACTCAGTGAAGAGAACCTCCGAGTCGGGCCTGGCAAACTCTTCACAAATTCACCCAGAGTTTCAGCTTACAGGGATTCCATGCCCGTCAAGCCTGAGGAGCAGAAGTTCGTTCGGCAACGTCCATGTGGCCTGAGTTGAAGCATCGGCATTGCCAGAACAGACAGATGCTAGGATGTATGGCAGGCATTTGCAGACTGGACACAGGAGTGCACGAAAAGTTCGTCAGGGTCTTGATGATGTAAGCGCTGTCATGGCAGGTGACCTCTACATCTCAGCAGCTGTCTGCACGAGCGACTGAAACGTACTGCGGCGTCGGCCTCATGCGGATCCACCACGGATCCAGGCGCAAACCCGACGCCGATGCTATTTGCAGACTCCTTCCAGATGTGCCTCATGACTATCATGACTGTACGTGGCACCACTACCATGCCGTGGATGATGCTACAAAGTCCTCCGAAGCCAAATCAACAATCTTCTCGACGGCCTTGCTTGATGGCAAGGAGAAGGGCGGATGTGCTAATTGACAATGCACAGAGCACAACGTGCCTGTTGGTAGTGCACGAAGTTGCTGCGACCCTGCTCAGAAAGTGACAGCCTCACGAGCAACTGGAAACTTTTTGGCACATGCATGAGAGCAGGATAGTCAGCAGGATTGTACGATGTGGGTAGGTCTGCAGCCCGTAGTAGAACCTGGAAGCCGCCACATGTTCGTCAGTCCTGGCAAGCGCAACAACTGCTGCAAGGCCTCTTCTGCATCTGTGCGCTGCCGCCGGACAAGTACGAAGGCAAAGAGCCTATGAGAACGTATAGGAACGCACAAGGACATGCAAACTGACAAGAGAGAGAAAAGGGAAGGACGACTCTTTTGATGTCCGAGGGTCATGGCAGTGCGCTTCGTGGGATCCCGGAGCTCCGCGACAGAGGGTCGAGTCAGGAGCACCTCTCTCGGGCCCCACGCTCCGTGAGATGGGCTTCACTTTCCCACTATTGGTGACCTGTACCTAGGTTGTATCTGTGTGGCCTTGTACATGAGGGTGAAGATCTCGGCCTCCGAGGTGATGGCTGCGTGGGGCTCATCCTCCAAAGTGTGCGCAGGTGGCCCAACTCGTGAAGATGCACTCAGCTGGGCCTCGCCCAGGTGTGCGAGGTAGGAAAGCAACACCAGCACGGCACTGTCGATCTCCTCTTGTGTCGCCTGCAGCGAACAAGAGACAGTGTCAGCGGTCACTGGTTACTTACTCATTTGAAAACTCACTTGCCTCTGTGGATTATGAGATATCACGATACTGCTTGGCCGGCACTGCATCGTCACGGCGCGCACCTTGTCAGCTCCCGCAAGGCCACCGTCCAGCGTCCTCACAGCACATCTCTTGAAATGACGCTGCCGAGATCTCGTCTGCAAGAGCTGGGGAAGCTACTTGGAGTGCAGTTTGACGACTTGGTGTACGAGGAGTTGCTGATCCATGACCTAGGCGAATCTCGCAGAAAGCGAATCTTGTGGAGCTTCCAACACAGAAACTTTTGGCATCCCAAGCATTGGGCCAACTGACGCTTCTCCTTTACCTCTTCCAGCGTTGTGGCTTCAAAGCATGGGAGGACCTGAGTGCATGGTTCAAATCGGGCGCAGCCAATCTCTTCAAAAATCTGTCACTACCCAGCAAGGGCCACACGTGCAAGCGATAGCCCAGGTTCTCATCAGTGATTGCCTGCACTGCACAGGCATTCGGCATTGCCTATATACATATGTATATATATATATACATACATATGTATGTGTGTTTTTATTATGTATAGACTCTGTATAGACATATATCCGCCGACCCCAGCCGAGGGCGGCGTCAGTGAAGACCCACTGCTTTTTATACTACCTTCCAGACCTCCATGCTGGCTGCCATCCATGGCTACACGCCCTCTCACCCCCCCCCCCCCCCCCCCCCCCCCCCCCCCCCAACCCCGCTATGCCTCTAGACCCGATCAAATGACTTTGGGCCCCAGCGCACGCCCGCCCGCTCGGCGCGCTCTGGTTGCTCCGCCCTTCCCGCGCTCCACCCGCCCTCCATGGCCCTCGACCCCCATGGCCCCCATGGACCCATGCCTCCATGGCCCCATGGCTCCTGGCGCCATGGCCCCCAATGTCTCCATGCTTCGACGCCCAAAAAAAGGTTTGTGGCTCCTGGCCCCATGGCCCCATGGTCCCCTGGCTCTATGCCTCTAGACCCAATCAAATGACTTTAAAGGGCCCCAGTGCATGCCCGCCCGCTCCGCCCGCTCCGCTTGCTCCGCCCTTCCCCCACTCCACCCGCCCTCCCTCGACCCCCATGGACCCATGGCTCCTGGTTCCGTGGCCCCCAATGGCTCCATGACCCCATCCCCTTCTCCACCCCACCCAGTTCGTGGCTCCCATGGTCCCCTGGCCCTATGCCTCTAGACCCGATCAAATGACTTTAAAGGGCCCCAGCGCATGCCCGCCCGCTCCGCCCCCACTTGCTCCGCCCTTCCCCCGCTCCACAAGCCCTCCATGGCCCTCGACCCCCATCCGCCAACCCCCTAAAGGGCCCCTCCCAATCCCCTCCCCGCCCCCCATGGACCCATGCCTCCTAACTCCATGGCCCCCAATGGCTCCATGGCCCCATCTTCTCGACCTGGCGCCAGGCAGACCCGATCAAATGACTTTAAAGGGCGAAAGCGCATGCCAGCCCGCTCCTCCCGCTCCGCTTGCTCCGCCCTTCCCCCACTCCACCCGCCCTCCATGGCCCTCGACCCCCATGGCCCCCATGGACCCATGCCTCCATGGCCCCATGGCTCCTGCCGCCAACCTAGTTTGTAATGGCTTTAAATGACTTTAAAGGGCCCCAGTGCTTCCCCCCTCCACGGCCCTCGACCCCCATGGCCCCCCATGGCTCCTGGCTCCATGGCCCCCAAATGGCTTCATGCCCCATCCTTGGCCCCATGGCCCCATAGTCCGGGGCCCTATGCTTCCAGACCCGATCAGATGACTGGGCATCTCCTCCAGCCCCCATGGACCCATGGCGGCTCCTGGCTCCATGGCCCCCAATGGCTCCATGGCCCCATCTTCTCGACCACCAAACCCCCCTAGTTCGTGGCTCCTGGCCCCATGGCCCTATGCCGCGAGACCCGCTCCGCCCACTCCGCTTGCTCCGCCCTTCCCGCTCCACGGTCATGCCTCTAGACCCGATCAAATGACTTTAAAGGCCCCAGTGCATGCCTCCCCGCTCAGCCCGCTCCGCTTGCTCCGCCCTTCCCCCACTCCACCCGCCCTCCATGGCCCTCGACCCCCATGGCTCCATGGCCCCCAATGGCTCCATGACCCCATCCTTGGCCCCTTCTCCACCTTGCTTAGTTCATGGCTCCTGGCCCCATGGCCCCATGGTCCCCTGGCCCTATGCCTCTAGGCCTCCCCCACTCCACCCGCCCTCCATGTGGCTCCCATGGACCCATGCCTCCATGGCCCCATGGCTCCTGGCGCTTGACCCCCGTGAACCCATGGCTCCTGGCCCCATGGTCGCATAGCTCTTTCAGCTGACTTTAAAGGGTCCCAGTGCATGCCCCCCCCACTCCTAGCTTCACACGCATACTACACCCTGGAGACTGACTAAACTTTACCTACGGTCTAGCCCGAAATTCTAAAGCCGAAGCCCTACACCCTATAGCCAAACTGCACCTACACACACACACATATATATATATATATATATATATATATATATATAGATATATATAGATATATAGATATATAGATATATAGATATATAGATATATAGATATATAGATATATAGATATATAGATATATAGATATATAGATATATAGATATATAGATATACATATACATATACACACGCACACATACATATATATATATATATATACATATGCATATGTATATATATATATATATATATACATACATATATTCACGTATAATGGATACATTATGTGTATAGAGTACACATATAGATGTATATATGTATCCATATACATACAGATGTGTATACATCTATATATATATATATATATATATATATATATATATACGTATACGTATATAGACCTATATATACATAATACATGTACATACTATATATATATATATATACACCTGAAAACAGTTTCAATACACAATATGCATACAGTTACATTGCAGCTCGCGCCCGTCGTGGCTTGGGGCGCAAGCCCCAACTTCAATCTGGGGTCGGCGGCACTGGCGGTAGCCATTAATATATATATATATAATAATTTATTTATTTATTTATTTATTTATTTATTTATTTATGCATTATATTTATACTTATTTTTCTTGATTTACATACTACATACATATATATATATATATACATCGCAGCTGAGGCTGCCTCGGTGGTCTTCTGCAGGGCTTCCCTCAACGTCGTCACATGTTGTTGTGTGTACAGCATCATGAAGTGCAAAACTACAATCTTCGGTATGAGCACACTAGCCGTTTCTGAACGCTCCGGACAAAGCGTGTGGAAACACACTCAAAACAGAGTCCACTTAGAAGCTGAAGCCTAGTGTCAGTACTCTACTCGCTGGTTAGTCCTGTCGTAGCACGTCGAAGCTCAAAGACGAAGCTGAGGGTGCGACATCCCCCCACTACCCAACTGCGTTGCCTTGAGTCGCCAAGATGATCCAAGATGCGTCATGACAGTTTCACGGCTTCAGCGCGCTCATTGCGACCCGTCTGCATCCTTGTCAGCTGACACTTTGTCCATGTCGTAGACAAACCTTGCTGTGTCTTTGCTACGTTGGATAGCTGCCGGACAGCGAAGACTTGTCAAAACCCATTTCGGGCTCGTGCTGCCACTCGAAGCAGTCTCCGGACAGTTCAAGCAGGGTAGGCGTGGATGCGCCAGCCTGGCATTTTGTTCAGCCAAACAGCATGACTATGCAGCGTCTGGCGTGCGGCAACATCAGCAACATGGCGGAAGCCTTCATTTGCATGCTCTTGTTGAACAAGGCCGCAAGCTCGCCTACATCTCAATCTCTGAGAACAAGGTACTTAAAAAGGTGCTTAAAAGCACGTTGAAGCCAGGGAGGCAAGGCATGGCAAGGCATGGCGACGCCTTCCACAAAGAGCTTCACGGCGCCCCGTCCAATCGGTATGGGATCCAGCTCCACCTTTTGTTGGCAAGAGGGTTTTACGTAAAAACAAGTAGTTGAAAAAACGTCGCCCTCTGCAACAGAATTTTCTTGCGGCGTGGATTGACCAGGAAGGAATCCATCTGTCGATTCGAAGTCTCACCATTACCCTGCTGCCCGGGACCACTATTCAAATACTCGGCTCTGCGATTCATGAGGCGTCAGATCACTGTCTGTTGGCCCCAACGGCCCGCAAAAAGAATGATGTTGCAAACTCGCACTAGAATATACGAGAATCATCTTTGCAACGAGTTGGAGCTGACAGTACTTGTCTGAGAAAGGGGCACTCAAAGTGGTGGCCATGGGAATGTGGCATCGAAACACCCTTGCCGTAGGGTGGCGCCTCTCTGTTCCATGCTCGAGGCTGGCACTGGGTGATGTGGAACGACACAGAATGCCAAGGACCATGCATGAGCTCTGACGAGGTGTGCTGGGACTCCACAAAGCCTTGCAGCTGCAGGGACACGCAGCCACCAAGTGTCAAGCAGTCGGCAGTCGTCGCTGACTTGACATCCAAGGCACGCGTCGGGCAGTCTTCAAAGGCGACCATTCTGATCCTGGAATACGCACATCAGCACATGCTGTGGGAAAATTTGGCAAGGAAGGAGAGCGAAAGAAACAAAGAGGAAGGCCCTTCTGAGATCTCTGAGGTGGCGGCAACGTCCGCAGAATGTTGCGAACCAATGCCGGATCTTGAACCGTGTCCAGGCCCGTGGGACCGCCTTGCAGGCTCATGGCCAGGGCCTGCCAAAGGGCCCACGCTTTGCATTATTCTTGTGGGTACCTCATGGTACCTCCATACAGGAGAAGGACAGGAGTACTGCTTCAACAGCTCAGTTTAAGCAGGAATGAACCCTTGGCCGGCACTCCTCCGAGAATTTGGACATGTTCGATCGCACCTTGTGTCAGCCAGCCACAAACCGCGCCACACGTGATGGAGTTGTGCATGGCAGGGCGCAATGTTGACGGCACCGGACAATGCCGTGATGATGACCTGGAGCTGGTCTAATGGACTTCACAGGGGGCATCAGAGGTGAAGTCAAGGGCCAAAGGGGGCTCTCGTGGCTTCTCATGGGCTCTCATGACTTTGCCTGCTTGTCTTCTGTACCCGGGACGGCTGCTGCGGCGGCCTTGCAGCTCCCCGCAACTTCTCACTATTCAACTGCACTGGGAAGAACATGTGGTGCATGTGGTGCATCAAGCCTGCTTTGCATCCTGGCCTGGTGCAACAGGTGGCAATGGACTAATCAGGAATAAGGACGGAAAGTCGTAACAGCAAACGTGCCTTCAT